GTCCCGAAGTGGGATCAGCCAGCGCCACAGAAAACAGGCGTAGGAAGGGGTGTAAGTGTCGTGCTGTCACGAAAGAAGCAGTGTGAGGCTCCAGAGTCCAGCGTGAACGACAGCAAACCGTCCTCCGAGGTAGCCGCTGGACTAGAGTCTACACAAGAACCTACACTAGCAACAGGCAACGGAGCAAGGCTAGCACCTAAGCTAACAACACCAGAGTAAACAGAGTCAGAAACACTAGAGTCAACAACAGCATACATAGCATGAGGAGCACCAATCAGATCAACTAACTGCTCAGCAGACATGCCCCACAGAGCGGAGCCGTAACGCTGAACAAGAGGAAGCCAGTCAGGGGCAGGAGCACCAACCCCGTAGACCAAACGAACCGTGTCAGTGAGCTGAGCAAAACACTGACCAGGGGGGTGAAAGCGGCCACAAGGGTGGCCCCGGCGAGCACCTGTCAGAACCTGATAGGTGCAGGGAGGGTAAGCAGCACCGCTCTGGGTCTGACGCAGCCCCGACCCCGGAGCCAGCTGCGGCCGCTGCTGCTGCTGAGGCTGCTGGGAGGAGAGGGGCTGCCGCTGCTGCTGAAGCTGCTGCTGACGCTGAGCCTGGTACCACGCCGCTGCTCCACCTCCCGTGGCCGGAAGTACAGGAGACGACTGACGAACTCGGGCGTCGCCACCACCAGCAGGCGCAGTGGAGTCACCAGTCGCTGCACGAGACGCCTCTCCAGGCCCTGCACGCCCACCGCCGCCAGGCGCAACGTCACCTCCACTACCTCCGCCTCCACCACCACTACCACCACTAGAACCGCCTTTCTTGCCACCCCTACCGCGGGACCGCGACGCAGTCGTAACAGCAGCTGCAGTCGCGTCAGTAGCGGCAGTGGCAAGAGAGGCAGTAAAGGTGGGTAACTGCGGGACTGTGCACCCGTGGAAGAGTGGGGGGAGCATAGCACCAGAGGCAGCGGCTACCGAGCGAAGGTTGCTCTCGACGTCCTTGAGCGCAGACTCAAGGACCTCGACGGTGAGCTCACTAGGGTGCTTCAGCAGAAGCGCGTCGCGAACGGAGGCAAGGCGGTCAGGGAGGCTAGTGGCGATGAAATAGATAGTAATCGCCATAGGGGGAGGAAGCAGTGCAAGCTGTGCCTCAGTGCAAGCAGCGCGCGGTAACTGGCGTCGAGCGAGCGGAGGTGAGCGATCAAGTCAGCAGAGCGCTCAAAAGACGCAAGGTCAGGGAACAGGAACGGGAGGAAAAGGCGGCCAAGAGAGACAGTAGCGGGAGTAGAGTAGCGGGCCTTAATCGCAGTGAGGTACTCAGCAGCGGTGCAAACCTCAGTGAAGTGAACCTCCTCAGACTCAGGGAGGAGGCTGCTGAGCGCGATGCAGGCCGCAGCGTCACGCGACGTCCAAGCCGTCTGGTCAGCTCGCTGGGTGGTAAAGTGAGCTCTAGCGGCGTCGTCAGGGGCAGGTCCTAAAGGCGTAGGGTCGGGGGGCGCAGGGAGGGCACCAGCAGCGTGCGCCCAGAGGGTCTCGCCTGCCTGGACCTGACTCTCTAACAGACGGCGAGCGCGAAGAAGCCAGACGGAAAAGTCAAGAGGTCTACCGTCAGCGTCGAAACGAAGAACACGCTGGGTCGCCATAGCGAAAACGAACGGACGAAGCGGCGGGCAACGGGAGCGGACGCAGCGGTGGAAAACGGAAGTGGGGCACGGGCCAGGGCGACGGGCTAGGGCGCTGGCTAGGGCGACGCGCTAGGGCGCGGTCTGGGGCGCGGCTAGGGCGACGGTCTAGGGCGAGCTGGGGCGTGGGCCTGGGCAACGGGCAAGGGGCGCGGGCCTGGGCGACGAGCTAGGGCGCTGGCTAGGGCGACGGGCAGGCAAGGGGCGCGGGCCTGGGCGACGGGCTAGGGCGCGGGCCTGGGCGACGGGCTAGGGCGCGAGCCAGGGCGACGGGCTAGGGCGCGAGCCAGGGCGACGGGCTAGGGCGCGAGCCAGGGCGACGGGCTAGGGCGCGGGCTAGGGCGACGGGCAGGGGCGCGGGCCCGGCGACGGGCTAGGACGCGGGCCTGGGCGACGGGCTAGGGCGGGGGCCAGGGCAACGGGCTAGGGCGCGGGCCTGGGCGACGGGCAGCGGGGGGAGGCGCGGTTCGACGGGCAGCGGGGGGAAGCACGGGTCGACGGGCAGCGGGGGAAGCGCGGGTCAACGGGCAGCCGGGGGAAGCGCGGGTGCTACGGGCAGCGGGGGGGGGGGGGGGGGGGAAGCGCGGTTCGACGGGCAGCGGGGGGAAGCGCGGGTCGACGGGCAGCGGGGGGAGCGCAGCGCGACGGGCAGCGGTACGCTAGATCGGGCTACACTGGATCGGGCTACGCTAGATCGGGAGGAAGAACGAGCGGTAACGAACGAACGGGACTAGATCGGGCCGGCACTAGGCTCGGGCAAGACGGGCGAAACGAGTGAGACAGGCTCGGAAGAAACGAACGAGGACGGGAGGAGCGGGATCCCACAGGATCCGAACCTAGGTGATACCATGTCAAACTGAGGAATTGATGATGCATTCATGTTGGTTGGGGTACAAGTAGCTAACCCTAACTTTTGTACTCCCTAAGACAAACCTCACTATAGGCTACCACATTTGACAACAATATCTGCCACAATAAGAGTCCCCCTACCCGTTCAAGAGTCCCGGGAGACTTTCTTACTGGCGGGTCTTCTAGCCGGAACTATACGGTACGCTCTTAGATTTGCTACACATCACATGCATGCTTAGCACAGCCAAAACACAGTCTTGCTTTTCAGGTTGATTCAAACGCACTACACAAACATCCACCATACAAAACCTTTATAGGACCTTCTACCTTGAGTGAAGGACATGAGCTGGTATATGATTGCTTCAACTGGATTGGTGATGTTTCCAGTTGCTGCTTAGTAAGGCTTCTGCCTCCTGCCTTTCCGCCGTGGGGTGGGCCCCTGTCACTACATTGGGACGCTGTTCTGAGGGCATCTGAGAGCTGGGTGGGGCTCAAGGCGCCAGTGCTCACAGCACGGGCCAGGAGGGTCACCATCTCTTCCTCGCTAAGCTCCACACGCACTCCGCCACCGCTGCTGCCCCCTGCCAAGCCTGCTGCCCACCCCTCCTCGCGCTCTTCCCTGCCCCGGGCGCTGCCCCTGCCCCCTCTGCCCCTCTGGCGCTGGCTCCTGGGCGAGGCGGAGGACGCAGGCGGCGAGGGCGGGTGAGGGGAGAGCTTGAAGTGGAAGGAGGGCTTGTGCGTGTTGGGCGGGCACTGCATGCCCTGGCAGCAGCAACAGCGCACGGGGCACAGAGGAGAACCACTTATATGTTTGATACGCACATCACTCCCAAACCATTGGCTGCTGCACAGCTGAGGGGGCTGGGGACGTTCTAGATGAGCTAAGTGTGTTCCAAACTGCAAGTCACCATTCCATGATCACACCCCAGCTTTGCAGGTCCAGCGTTAGGCAGCGAAAATCAGGTGGCTGAGCGAGCAGAGGAAAATTGAGCAGAAAACAAGAGCTCACCTGGCAGCAGAGCAACCCACCTGGCAGCAGAGCAACCCACCTGGCAGCACCGTACCCACCTGGCAGCGCGCCCAGTCAGTGATGCGGTAGACCTGTCCGTCCGTGCACGTGTAAAAGTGCTGTGGGCCCTTCTGCTCGCACGGCAGGGGGTGTATGTGGCAGGGGTAGCACAGGGGAGGGAGGAAGTCAGGTGATGACATTGTGACAGGTGGCCGTGGGATGGTGGCAGGTGGCCGTGGGATGGTGGCAGGTGGCGGTGGCAATGGGGAAGCACGAGGGGAGTGAGTGAAGAAGCATGGTGTGAGAGTGGCAGTGCTGTGAGAGTGGCAGTGCTGTGAGAGTGGCAGTGCTGTGAGAGTGGCAGTGCTGTGAGAGTGGCAGGTGCTGTAAGAGTGGCAGTGCTGTGAGAGTGGCAGTGCTGTGAGAGTGGCAGTGCTGTGAGAGTGGCAGTGCTGTGAGAGTGGCAGTGCTGTGAGAGTGGCAGTGCTGTGAGAGTGGCAGTGCTGTGAGAGTGGCAGTGCTGTGAGAGTGGCAGTGCTGTGAGAGTGGCAGTGCTGTGAGAGTGGCAGTGCTGTGAGAGTGGCAGTGCTGTGAGAGTGGCAGTGCTGTGAGAGTGGCAGTGCTGTGAGAGTGGCAGTGCTGTGAGAGTGGCAGTGCTGTGAGAGTGGCAGTGCTGTGAGAGTGGCAGTGCTGTGAGAGTGGCAGTGCTGTGTCGGTTGGTGAGTGCAGAGTGTGTGGCAGCATGTGCACTGACAAGAGAGAGCATGCCAAACAAGGCAGGCTGGGGTTTGTTCCACCCAGCCATCCCCCTCCTTGCATGGGTGGTGCCTCTCACACTCCTGCCACATGAACCCATGCACGCGGGCACACAGGCATACACACACACAGGCATACTCACACAGGCATACACACACACAGGCACACACGCACACAGGCACACACGCACACAGGCACACACGCACACAGGCATACACGCACACAGGCATACACGCACACAGGCATACACGCACACAGACGCCTACACTTGCACAAAAGCATGGTACATAGTCTTTCTCCCATGAAGAAAATAAGTGAAGAACTCGAATTCCACTCCACCTATAACCAATAGCTTCAGTACACATGCCCCCACCTGCCACTGCATCCCACTCCACCCCAGTGTACCCCACTGGACCCCACTGCACCCCACCTGGCACCAGCGGGCTTGGCTGCAGGGGCGGTTGACGGGGCGCCACACATGCGCCATCCCACACTCTGTGCATGCCACTGGCCGCCCCCCCTCCTCCTCCTCGCCGCCTGCTGGCCCCCCTGCCTGCCCCACCCCCCCTCCCCCTTTCCCTGCTGCCCCTTCCATGCCCCCTGCTGCCGCCCTGCCAGTTGTTGTGCTGCTCGTCTGGACACCACATGGGGTTGTGGCAGGTGAAGGGGGGAGGGAGGGGGAAGGGGGAAATCGGGGGCGAGGGAAGGAATTTGGGAGAGGAGAAGCCGCAGTATTGAGTAAACGCAGGGGCGAAGTAAATCCATCCGCCAACTCCGCTGCCTGCCACCACACCTTCCTCGCCTGCTTCCCTTGCCTCCTGCCACCACCATACATAGAGCACCCTATGAGCCCCCCCCCTCGTTCCTATCATTTCTGATCTGCCTACCACTCCATGGCCACCCGCACCCCCAGCGCTAAGCTAACTTGGCATCAGCCCAAACTACACTGGACTGCCATATCGCACTGACCTGCCACGTCAGCACGGACCTGCCACGTCAGCACGCACCTGCCACATGTGTGCAGCCCGGCGTGTGATGAGCTCAACGAGCTGCTCGCGCCTCAGCTCGCCCTCGTATTCTCGCCGCCTCCCCTCGTCTGATAACACCTGCCCGGCACCCCACACACACACATGCACACATGCACGCGCGCGCGCGCACACACACACACACACACCACACACACACACACACACACACACAACACCGCGTTGACAGGCAAGCGAAAGGAAAAGGGAAGAGATGGCAACGAGCACATGCAGTGGCATGGAGTGGTGGTCAGTGAGTCATGTATGAAGAAAGCACATGGTGTACCTCGTATGCGCTCTGCAGGCGTTGAAAAGCCACTATGGCATTCTTCTCGTCCCCCCCATGCTTGTCCGGATGCACTAGCATTGCCTGCACGTCACATGCACATGCACATGTTCAGGCACAGGCACATGCACAGGCACAGGCACATGCACAGGCACATGCACAGGCACATGCACAGGCACATGCACAGGCACATGCACAGGCCAGGCACAACGCATCACTGTAGTCAGCAACTGCAAACCGCATACTACAAGCTCACGCGTACCAAAGCTCTTCACACCACTCACTCCCAGCCACTGCTCACCTACATCTCCTCCTTCCCCCTCTCCACCCCACTCCCTCCCAGCCACTCCCAGCCTCCTATCCTCCCCAGCCTCGTCTCCTTCCCCCAGCCCCTCCATATCCCAGTCACCCTCCCCCCATGCGCCCTCTCCCATTCCCCATCCGCCCCTACCCCTCCCCCGGGCCCCCACCATGCGGCGGTACTCCTTCTTCAGGGCGCTCTCGTCCACAGCCGCACAGAAGGGCGCCAGGCGAAGCACCTCGTAGTGGTTGCTGCACCGCACTATGCGCTCTATCTCCCCGCCCCCACTCGCCTCTCCCCCGGCCCCCCCTCCCCCTGCCAACCCCGCTTCCCCCTCCCCTACCGCTCCCTCCACCCCTACCCCAGGCTCCCCCCCCCCAGCAGTGCTTGCTTGGGACTGGTTTGCGGGGGACGAGTCGGGTTGGGCGGGGTCATCTTGGAGGGAGGAGGCGAGGAGGAGCAGCAGGTCGCAGGCCAGGAAGGAGGCGAGCAGCGTGAGGCACAGCGTGGTGAGCCCTGCGCGCACCACCACGTGGTACACCGTTGACGCCACCAGCAGCAGCAGCGCTGCACGGGGGGACCCGCTCGCTGCCACTATCCCTGGTGGATGCGCAGGGGTGGAGAGCGGGGGTAGAGAGCAAGGGGGGGAGAGCAGGGGGAAAGAGCGCGGGTGGGAGGGTGGGTGGGCCGGGGGGAGAAAGGTGGCGCTGGGGGAGTTGGTGGGCAGGAGAACGGGAACGAGGGGAGGCAGGCAAGACGTGCGTGTGTGGGTGGGGTGGGGGGCCGGGCAAGGCAAGAGTGTGTGTGAGTGGGGGAGAGAGGACCAGCCAATCAGTTGGTGCTTAAGAATACTCAACAACCACCTCAGACGGCAGCGCTCAAGGTGTCTCGTCGCTGACCTGCTGTGAGGGCGGGGTGCAACCTACCGGCTGTGAGGGCGGTGGCGAGGGCGAAGAGCAGCAGCTTGGCGCGCAGTGCTGTGAAGAGCGCCAGCAGCACCAGCAGCGCGAGTGTGAGCAGCAGCGGCAGGAAGAATGACAGCAGCACCAGCACCACCTGCTCGCCGCAGCCGATGGGAGGGGGAGGAGGGTGCAGAAATGGGGTGGCGGAGGAGGGGGAAGAAGTGGGGTGGCGGAAGAGGGGGAAGAAGTGGGGTGGCGGAAGAGGGGGAAGAAGTGGGTGGAAAGCAGGTGGGGTAGGAGGCGTGAGGGGAGGAGCCACGTGGGGGATGGTGGGCAAGCACAAGTGGGGATGGTGGCAAGCACAAGTGGGGATGGTGGCAAGCACAAGTGGGGATGGTGGCAAGCACAAGTGGGGATGGTGGCAAGGCAAGCACAAGTGGGGATGGTGGCAAGGCAAGCACAAGTGGGGATGGTGGCAAGGCAAGCACAAGTGGGGATGGTGGCAAGGCAAGCACAAGTGGGGATGCGTGAGGCAAGGGTGGATGGAGGAGGGAGTGGGCGTGCGAGGGGTTGAGCGAGGGGGTGGGCGACGAGGCGGGCGAGGGGGGGGCGTACGAGGGAGGGCAGCAGCACGAGCCAGCCGAGGGTGCGCCCCATGCCCACCAGCGCGCCCACCAGCGGCAGCACCGCCGACCCCAGCGACGGCGGCACCAGCGAGACGCACCCGCGGATCACGAACGCCGCCGCCGCCACCACCGCCCACAAGCCCGCCGCCGCCGCCAACCGCGCTGCCGCCCCCGCCACGCGCCACGCGACCGCGCAGTATCGGGCCGCCCCCGCTCCGCGAACGCGCTCCCCGCGCTCTCACGTCGCGCCCATGGGGGAAAGCCGTTTGCGGGGCCCCTACTGTGCCATTGTGGTGACGGCGATCGTGGCGACGCTGACGACGCGCCGTGCGACGTGCTATGCGACGAGGCTGCTCGCGACGAGGCGGCGTGCGGTCGCTTCCCCGAGGCCCGCGCGGGTCCTCTCCGCGCCTCGCCCCTCGCCATGGCGCCGCGCACCCAGCAGCGGGACTCTCGGCGGCGTTTACGGCGACAATTGCGCAGTCTAAGGCCCAGCTACGAAGGCATCTTGCGCCGCCGCAAGGAGAGACGGGAGAGCACAAGATGTTCAGTCATAATTCTCGGAGAGCAGCACTCGTGCAGTTAGGCTGAAACGAGAAAAAAAATATCGGTACGCGAGAAGAGACTCGGAGAGCCGTGCGACTCGAGTGTGGCTTGGTGGAGTGGTGGGAAAAGCGCACGAAAACTATACCGAGGACGGTTGGATGGCCGCTTGATGGTGGAGAAACATGCAGCACATGTGGTACCTTTGAGAACCCTCAGTTCCCGACAACGAACGGATTAACGCGCGCTGTACATCCAAGCTATTGTTGTATTTACATAATTATAGCTCTACATCAAACAGCTTGATGGAACACATTTCTAAGCGCAATTTGATGTACAAGAGGATTACAAGAAAGCATGCATGGATTTGTGCAAACTAAAATCGCGCATCATCATGTGCACTAGCACATCTATGGCTGCACTCGCTAGCCCCACCTGGTGCAGCAAGTCTGAAGCACACAGCCAACATGGCATCCAGCACATGCCGGCACGCCATGCCCTCAGCTGCACCCTCAGCACCACTGCTCACCGAGCAGCACCGCTCATCACTGCAACAACGCACATCCCCCACCGGATCTACCACCTGTGGCCCCTCACCACCTTCTCCTCTTACGTTCCCCCACCGCTCCTCCACGTCCTCCTCGTCGGCTCGCCCCTCCACCATTCCGTGCCGCCATTGCAGCTCCTCCAGCAGCAGCCGGGCCACCCCACATGCCGACGCCAATACTCGATGCACGTGCCGCCGCACGCGTGCCCCACACTGCCCTGCCCTGCCACGTGGCAGTCTTGCATTGGCTGTGGGACTGCACCAACAAGGCATGTGTCTGGGTGCAGACTGTGCTGCAAGGGCTGTGAGTTGGTTTTATCTATTCCGTGTGGGCACAGGGTCTTCTCTTTCTCTGACCCACAGACTTCCATCCCCTGCTGCCCTCTGCTTTCCTCCTCCGTAACCTCCGAAATCTCAATTCTCTCTCCTGCACAGCCTCCTTCCTTTTCCCATTCTTGTCCCTGCCTCTCCCCTTGTCTCGCGGCTGCCTTACACTGTTCATCGGCCTCACACCCCCTGTGCGTGCACAAGCTCTCATCGCCCCCTGTCACCTGCACTGCAGTAAACACCTTCCCCAGCTGAAATGCCCCCAAACCCACCCCCCTCATGCTCCCGTCCCCTCCTCCACCGCCCCTCATGCCACCGCCACCATGTTTTGCTGCCGCCTGTCCTGCACCTACCAGGCCGCTTTCACCCGAACCAGGACCTGAGGCTCGGTCAAGCGGGAGTGGCTGGGCAGTAAGGGGTGTGGGAGGATTGGATGGTTGGGAGGGCTGGAGAAGGGAGGGAGTGTGGGTGGCAGGGAGGAGAGAGGAGTGGGAGAGGGCCGGAGGGGAGAGTGGCGAATGAAAAGCGCGAGGAGAGATGTGGAGGGGCGAGGGAATGGTGGTGGTGGGGGTGAGTGAGGGAGGGAGGGCAAGAGGGAGTGAGTGGTGGGGAGGGTGGTGATGGTGACGGTGTGTGTGTCTGCTGGGTGGCGCCTTGAGAGGTGTGTGAGAGAGGGAGGGAGGAGGTGGTAACAGTAGGGGTGGTGGTGGGAAGGGTGGGAGGCGGCAGCAGTGGAGGCGAAGCAGCAGTGGGTGCAGGCACAGACGAGGTGACAGGGAGGGCAGTGGGTGACACTCGGAAGCGAGGGCGGCGGTCAAAGTGGCAGGTGAGGGCGCTGTGCTGACTCGTGGCAGCAGCACCACCACCACCGCCAGTAGCAGCAGCACCGTGGGCAGCACGAGCGCCCACATGATCCGCACAGCAGGCCTCATACCGCCTTTTCCTGCTGCTGCTCCCACCCCCGCACTGTGTGGAACTAAGTCATCCGCATCATGAGCCTCCACAGGCACGCCCCCAGCGTGCGTGCTGTCACTGCCACCACTCGCCCTCGTCGCATGGGTCGCATGGCTGATGTTGGCGGCAGTCTGGCTGGCAAAAGGCACGACGTCACACTGTGCCAGGGGCGGAGGGAGAGCACATGCTGTTGAGGCGTGTAGCTCCGGAGCACACAATCCACCCTCCTCTTCCATCCCTCTATAATCTTCTATGCCATCCACCCCCTCCTCTACTTCCTGCTTCACTCCTCTCCCCCCCTCTATCGCCTCACTCGCCCTCCACCCCCCTACCCTCGCCTCCCCCTGCACTGTCTCCCATTCCCCTGCTCCCTGCACCGTCTGCTGCTCTCCATCCCCCCACTCCTCGCTCTCCTCGGCCATTCCTTCTTCCCTCTCGTCTCCCTCGCTACACACCCACCTCCCTCTCCATAATTCCCGCGTCCTCATAAAAATTTGACCATCCTTCGCTTGCGCCCTCTGCTCTCCTCTCCTGCCTCCCCCACCCCTCCCCTTCTTTCCCCTCCCCTTCCCCACTCGCCATTCCTTCCTCGTCTCCCCCTTCCCCCTCCCCCTCCCCCCTTCCCCCCTCGCCCGCGCGCCTCTCTCTCGCGCCACTCCCTCTCCACCGCCTGCAGCAGCGCCGCATCACCCAGGGGCGAACCTTCCAGGATCTTGCGGATGCGCCCCACGCCCTCCTCCTCTGACTCTTTCCACCTCCTCCACCAGCGCCGCCACGCCCCTCGCCTGCACGCCCGCCACAAACCGCACTGCCCGCTCGTACGCGCCCTCCTCTCCCCCCTGCTGGTTGCCAGAGGGGAGGGCGGGCGCGTGGGAGGGCTGGGGCTGCGCTGGTGCAGGGTGGGAGGGCGAGGCGGAGTGGGACTGTGCGGAGTGGGCCTGGGCGGAGTGTGGGGGGCCTTGAGGGGGCGTGGAGAGGCCGCGCAGGAGAGGGTACTTGCGGCGCATGGCGGAGTTCCAATAGTTCTTTATGGCGTTGTCCGTGCTGTGGAGGGGGGACGGTGGGGGGAAGAGGGACAGGAGAGGAGGGGTGAGAGTGTGAGGAAGGGGGGATATATAAGAGGCTGTTGTGTGGTAGAAGGGAGGGGTTGCATGTGGAGTGATGGAGGAAGGAGAGAGAATTGCAGTGGACAACGGGTGGCAAAGTGAACGGTGCTGAAGGCAGTAGGTGCGCACCGTCCGGGAAGGTTCTTGGCGATGAGGGCCCACTTGTTGCCGTGGATGGCGTGCGCTGTGATGATGCGCGCATCCTCCTCCACCGTGAACTGGCCTCGCCTCAACGCCGGGTCCAGCTGGTTGCACCACCTGGTGTGATGTGAGGGAGAGGGAGGGAGGGAAGGATGAAGGGAGGGAGGGAGTGATGGAGTGAGGGAGGAAAGGAGGGATGGATAGATGGAGGGGGATGTGTGTGCCCAGCATGGGCTCGGAAAAGAGAAGATGTGCAGAGCCAGGAAAGGTAAAGAGCAACTGAACTACAATCAAGGTGAAGCAGATCAACACAGAATCACTCCCTTGTTTCCACTCATCCCAGCACATCTCGCCCCACCTCACCGCACTGCACCGTGTGACGCACCTGAGTCGGCAGCTCTTCCCCGGCCTGCCAGGGATACCAGCAGCGATGACGCTCCAGTTTTTCGCCCCGTGCACCGCCACCAGCGCCGCCAGCCGCTCATCCTCCTCCGCCGTCCACGCCCCCCTGTTCACCACCGATGCTCCCCTCCGCCCTCCGCCACTCCGCCTCCTCTGCTCCTTCTCCCCGTCCTCCTCCGCTTCCTCGCCCCCCCTGCTCCCCCTATCCTGCTCCCCTGTCAGCCCTCCGCTCGCCTCGCTGCTGCTGCCGCCGCCTCTCTCTCGTTCCCAGCCTTCCCCATACTCTCCGCCCCCTCGCCACAGCTGTCCGCCTCCCCCTCCTTGCCGGCTCCCCCGCGATCCCACGCATTCTCTCCCCCGGTACCCATTTCCGCCGCCCCTCCCCGCGCTTTTGTTCCCCTGGAAGCCGCGCCATGTGCCCCCGACGTGGCGGAGACAAGTGGGCGCGCGCTGCTGGCTGGGGAGGCTCCCCTGAGCGCCTCCTCGCGCGGCTGTTCCCCCTGCCGCTCCCCCGGATGCTCCTGCGCCCGGCTGGCGGTCGCTGCTCGTCCAATTCCCGCCGGCAGCACCAGCCGCAACGGCCCCCCGGGCTTGGCGGGCGTGGATCCGCCGACAAGGGGGGGGGGGAAGGGGCGCGCGGAGAGGGCTGCGAGCGGAACGAATCGAGGGGCAGTGTGCATGCCGCTGCGCTCCGCCGCTGGGTTGGCGGAAGAATCGTCTGGATGTGATGCGGCGGGTGGTTGCGCGGGCAGCGCAGTGGCGCGGGTGAGCGGAGCCATTTGCGGGCGATGCGCGGAGGTTAGAAATAGCAGCTCGCAAGCTCAAGTGTCTGGTACGCTCTAAAAGCGTGCGAGCGATGCTGCAGCTAATAGTAGTCCTCGGGTGGGTGTGCGTGACGGGTGGTTAATTGTTGCTCTCAGATGCTTGCTTGCGATCGACGGTCGCCTACGGAGCTGCGGCGCGGTTAGCCATCCCCCCGAAGTCAGCAGAGCGAGTGGTTGCGCGCAACTTGAGCGCGGAAAACCTCCTCGCCTTCCCTAACTGCAAGCTCCGTAAATGCTTCAAGCATCGTGGCTGCTGTGCCAAGCTACCGCTAACACGTGGGGGGTGGAGCCACATGAACAGAGCCGTTTCGCTTCACTTCTGAGACGAGGCGTTCGCGCAACCCTGACCGCTCGGTTCCGCTGTTGGGTCTGCGCTCGCTCCCCAAAAGCTTCTTACATCCGCTCGATGAAAGCTCGGCGGAGGTCGTTGGTAAACCGAGGAGACGAAACGTCTCGTTCTGCCTTCTTGCGAGCATCACAGGCACAACAGATGGCGGTTAAAAGACGAAACGGCACTTCCTCGTTACTAGGTTCGCGGACCGAAAATGCTGAAAGCAATCTGAGTGCACACTCAGTACTAAATCGGTGTAAATTTGACGGACGATTTCTCTTATGTGTCAAAAACTATTGCAGAACGGACTCAAGTAGTGTAGTTATTGAAGGTATATTCCCTTGGGCCTGGGGTGGCCCAGTCCCCAAGGCAGAAATGTTCCCGAGGCAAAGCAGTTTCAAGGGCAAACTTGTTCCCAAGGTAGCCCAGTTCCCGAGGCAATTTCGTTCCCTAGGTTGTTCCGACAAAGGTGTTTCCGAACCGAGCCCAAGGCAGCACGGCATCATTCCCGCGCACACATCCCAAGGCCAGGCCGGAGCACCTGCACCCACCGACCACCCCCACCACCCGACGGACCACCCGCCATCCTCCATATCTCCTCGCTGCTCCTCGCCATTCTCAAAGCATCATTGCGAATTCGCTCGCCTTTCTCTCGCGAGCAGCGCCGCGTAGTTGCCGGCTACGTTCACCCTACGGACCCACGGGGGACGGAAGTCTGCACCGGTAGGAATGGCGGGAGGAGCGGAGACGGCGGGCGATGTATCGGTCCACGTCACCACGCCGCTGCTGCCGCGCGAGGTACGGCGCAGCGCGAAGGGGAATGCGCCGTGATGTGCAGATATTGTGCGCATTACAGTTCATCAATCTTGCTACTTGCCCTGCGCTGCTTTCCGCCTTCTTCCTAGTATCCCCTGCGCTCCCTTCTATCCACCTCTTTGCCATCCCCCTTGCCTCTCCTCAGGATTCTGCTCCCGCAAGACACGTGTCGCCCGGCGACGGAAGCCCTTCATCGCCGCATTCCCCGGGTGCGCGTCGCATCGCTACAGCTTCAAGGATCGCCGCATTCATCGGGTGCGTCGCTCTGCTCGGCGCGCTCTGCCTCCTCGCGCCGCGCCGAACCGCCTTGGAGACACGTGCTGACGATGCCGTCGAGATTAGCAGCAGCAGAAGCGCGGCTGTTCGCTTCTTCGCGTTCGGCGACTGGGGTCGCAACGGCACGTTCAACCAGTCGCTCATCGCACAGCAGGTGCGACGCACGCCCTTTCTCATCGTCCTTCACGCTGTGACCACACGCCATCCGCACACCCCTTCCTTGCTATGCAATGCACCCATCTTTCCTTCTACCCTGTGCGGTGGAGATGGGTGCAGTGGGGCAACAAATGGTCCCTCAGTTTGTGGTGTCGGTGGGGGACAACTTCTATGACGAGGGGCTGACAAACGTGAACGATGACAAGTTTGCGCGCTCCTTCACCAACACCTACACGCACCGCAGCCTGCAGGTCCCCTGGTACGCAGGTACGCCTCCCAATCTTTCTCACCCTCCCTCTCTTGATCATTCCCTCCCCCCCTCTCACTCTTTGTCGCACTCTCTCGTACACAAGGGACGCACTGCGCACTTCTTCTGGACCTGTGTGAGCAGCGGTGGCGTTCATGAGAGCTTTTGTTGCAATACGCCATCACTCCATGTGCGAGCAATCCTTTAATGCATTCACGTGTCAATGCACAAACACACTCACGTACCTCACTTCACCACAGCTCACACTGCTCCGTTCCCCCGCCCCCGCACCCCCTTTTTCCTGCCCCATTCCCTCCACCAGTGCTGGGCAACCACGACTACTACGGCAACGTTCTCGCTCAGCTCAGCTCAACTTGGCATCAGCCCAAACTACACTGGACTGCCATATCGCACTGACCTGCCACGTCAGCACGGACCTGCCACGTCAGCACGCACCTGCCACATGTGTGCAGCCCGGCGTGTGATGAGCTCAACGAGCTGCTGGCGCCTCAGCTCGCCCTCGTATTCTCGCCGCCTCCCCTCGTCTGATAACACCTGCCCGGCACCCCACACACACACATGCACACATGCACGCGCGCGCGCGCACACACACACACACACACACACACACACACACACACACACACACAACCGCGTTGACAGGCAAGCGAAAGGAAAAGGGAAGAGATGGCAACGAGCACATGCAGTGGCATGGAGTGGTGGTCAGTGAGTCATGTATGAAGAAAGCACATGGTGTACCTCGTATGCGCTCTGCAGGCGTTGAAAAGCCACTATGGCATTCTTCTCGTCCCCCCCATGCTTGTCCGGATGCACTAGCATTGCCTGCACGTCACATGCACATGCACATGTTCAGGCACAGGCACATGCACAGGCACAGGCACATGCACAGGCACATGCACAGGCACATGCACAGGCACATGCACATGCACATGCACATGCACAGGCACAGGCACACAACTCATCACTGTAAGTCAGCAACTGCAAACCGCATACTACAAGCTCACGCGTAATTCCCATAAAGCTCTTCACACCACTCCCTCCCAGCCACTTCCCAGCCTCCTATCCTCCCCAGCCTCGTCTCCTTCCCCCCAGCCCCTCCATATCCCAAGTCACCCTCCCCCCCATGCGCCCTCTCCCATTCCCCATCCGCCCCTACCCCTCCCCCCGGCCCCCACCATGCGGCGGTACTCCTTCTTCAGGGCGCTCTCGTCCACAGCCGCACAGAAGGGCGCCAGGCGAAGCACCTCGTAGTGGTTGCTGCACCACACTATGCGCTCTATCTCCCCGCCCCCACTCGCCTCTCCCCCGGCCCCCCCTCCCCCTGCCAACCCCGCTTCCCCCTCCCCTACCGCTCCCTCCACCCCTACCCCAGGCTCCCCCCCCCCAGCAGTGCTTGCTTGGGACTGGTTTGCGGGGGACGAGTCGGGTTGGGCGGGGTCATCTTGGAGGGAGGAGGCGAGGAGGAGCAGCAGGTCGCAGGCCAGGAAGGAGGCGAGCAGCGTGAGGCACAGCGTGGTGAGCCCTGCGCGCACCACCACGTGGTACACCGTTGACGCCACCAGCAGCAGCAGCGCTGCACGGGGGGACCCGCTCGCTGCCACTATCCCTGGTGGATGCGCAGGGGTGGAGAGCGGGGGGTAGAGAGCAAGGGGGGAGAGCAGGGGGGAAAGAGCGCGGGTGGGAGGGTGGGTGGGCCGGGGGGAGAAAGGTGGCGCTGGGGGAGTTGGTGGGCAGGAGAACGGGAACGAGGGGAGGCAGGCAAGACGTGCGTGTGTGGGTGGGGTGGGGGGCCGGGCAAGGCAAGAGTGTGTGTGAGTGGGGGAGAGAGGACCAGCCAATCAGTTGGTGCTTAAGAATACTCAACAACCACCTCAGACGGCAGCGCTCAAGGTGTCTCGCTGACCTGCTGTGAGGGCGGGGTGCAACCTACCGGCTGTGAGGGCGGTGGCGAGGGCGAAGAGCAGCAGCTTGGCGCGCAGTGCTGTGAAGAGCGCCAGCAGCACCAGCAGCGCGAGTGTGAGCAGCAGCGGCAGGAAGAATGACAGCAGCACCAGCACCACCTGCTCGCCGCAGCCGATGGGAGGGGGAGGAGGGTGCAGAAATGGGGTGGCGGAGGAGGGGGAAGAAGTGGGGTGGCGGAAGAGGGGGAAGAAGTGGGGTGGCGGGAAGAGGGGGAAGAAGTGGGTGGAAAGCAGGTGGGGTAGGAGGCGTGAGGGGAGGAGCCACGTGGGGATGGTGGCAAGCACAAGTGGGGATGGTGGCAAGCACAAGTGGGGATGGTGGCAAGCACAAGTGGGGATGGTGGCAAGCACAAGTGGGGATGGTGGCAAGGCAAGCACAAGTGGGGATGGTGGCAAGGCAAGCACAAGTGGGGATGGTGGCAAGGCAAGCACAAGTGGGGATGGTGGCAAGGCAAGCACAAGTGGGGATGCGTGAGGCAAGGGTGGATGGAGGAGGAGTGGGCGTGCGAGGGGTTGAGCGAGGGGGTGGGCGACGAGGCGGGCGAGGGGGGGGCGTACGAGGGAGGGCAGCAGCAGCACGAGCCAGCCGAGGGTGCGCCCCATGCCCACCAGCGCGCCCACCAGCGGCAGCACCGCCGACCCCAGCGACGGCGGCACCAGCGAGACGCACCCGCGGATCACGAACGCCGCCGCCGCCACCACCGCCCACAAGCCCGCCGCCGCCGCCAACCGCGCTGCCGCCCCCGCCACGCGCCACGCGACCGCGCAGTATCGGGCCGCCCGCTCCGCGAACGCGCTCCCCGCGCTCTCACGTCGCGCCCATGGGGGAAAGCCGTTTGCGGGGCCCCTACTGTGCCATTGTGGTGACGGCGATCGTGGCGACGCTGACGACGCGCCGTGCGACGTGCTATGCGACGAGGCTGCTCGCGACGAGGCGGCGTGCGGTCGCTTCCCCGAGGCCCGCGCGGGTCCTCTCCGCGCCTCGCCCCTCGCCATGGCGCCGCGCACCCAGCAGCGGGACTCTCGGCGGCGTTTACGGCGACAATTGCGCAGTCTAAGGCCCAGCTACGAAGGCATCTTGCGCCGCCGCAAGGAGAGACGGGAGAGCACAAGATGTTCAGTCATAATTCTCGGAGAGCAGCACTCGTGCAGTTAGGCTGAAACGAAAAAAAAATATCGGTACGCGAGAAGAGACTCGGAGAGCCGTGCGACTCGAGTGTGGCTTGGTGGAGTGGTGGGAAAAGCGCACGAAAACTATACCGAGGACGGTTGGATGGCCGCTTGATGGTGGAGAAACATGCAGCACATGTGGTACCTTTGAGAACCCTCAGTTCCCGACAACGAACGGATTAACGCGCGCTGTACATCCAAGCTATTGTTGTATTTACATAATTATAGCTCTACATCAAACAGCTTGATGGAACACATTTCTAAGCGCAATTTGATGTACAAGAGGATTACAAGAAAGCATGCATGGATTTGTGCAAACTAAAATCGCGCATCATCATGTGCACTAGCACATCTATGGCTGCACTCGCTAGCCCCACCTGGTGCAGCAAGTCTGAAGCACACAGCCAACATGGCATCCAGCACATGCCGGCATGCCATGCCCTCAGCTGCACCCTCAGCACCACTGCTCACCGAGCAGCACCGCTCATCACTGCAACAACGCACATCCCCCACCGGATCTACCACCTGTGGCCCCTCACCACCTTCTCCTCTTACGTTCCCCCACCGCTCCTCCACGTCCTCCTCGTCGGCTCGCCCCTCCACCATTCCGTGCCGCCATTGCAGCTCCTCCAGCAGCAGCCGGGCCACCCCACATGCCGACGCCAATACTCGATGCACGTGCCGCCGCACGCGTGCCCCACACTGCCCCTGCCCTGCCACGTGGCAGTCTTGCATTGGCTGTGGGACTGCACCAACAAGGCATGTGTCTGGGTGCAGACTGTGCTGCAAGGGCTGTGAGTTGGTTTTATCTATTCCGTGTGGGCACAGGGTCTTCTCTTTCTCTGACCCACAGACTTCCATCCCCTGCTGCCCTCTGCTTTCCTCCTCCGTAACCTCCGAAATCTCAATTCTCTCTCCTGCACAGCCTCCTTCCTTTTCCCATTCTTGTCCCTGCCTCTCCCCTTGTCTCGCGGCTGCCTTACACTGTTCATCGGCCTCACACCCCCTGTGCGTGCACAAGCTCTCATCGCCCCCTGTCACCTGCACTGCAGTAAACACCTTCCCCAGCTGAAATGCCCCCAAACCCACCCCCCTCATGCTCCCGTCCCCTCCTCCACCGCCCCTCATGCCACCGCCACCATGTTTTGCTGCCGCCTGTCCTGCACCTACCAGGCCGCTTTCACCCGAACCAGGACCTGAGGCTCGGTCAAGCGGGAGTGGCTGGGCAGTAAGGGGTGTGGGAGGATTGGATGGTTGGGAGGGCTGGAGAAGGGAGGGAGTGTGGGTGGCAGGGAGGAGAGAGGAGTGGGAGAGGCCGGAGGGGAGAGTGGCGAATGAAAAGCGCGAGGAGAGATGTGGAGGGGCGAGGGAATGGTGGTGGTGGGGGTGAGTGAGGGAGGGAGGGCAAGAGGGAGTGAGTGGTGGGGAGGGTGGTGATGGTGACGGTGTGTGTGTCTGCTGGGTGGCGCCTTGAGAGGTGTGTGAGAGAGGGAGGGAGGAGGTGGTAACAGTAGGGGTGGTGGTGGGAAGGGTGGGAGGCGGCAGCAGTGGAGGCGAAGCAGCAGTGGGTGCAGGCACAGACGAGGTGACAGGGAGGGCAGTGGGTGACACTCGGAAGCGAGGGCGGCGGTCAAAGTGGCAGGTGAGGGCGCTGTGCTGACTCGTGGCAGCAGCACCACCACCACCGCCAGTAGCAGCAGCACCGTGGGCAGCACGAGCGCCCACATGATCCGCACAGCAGGCCTCATACCGCCTTTTCCTGCTGCTGCTCCCACCCGCACTGTGTGGAACTAAGTCATCCGCATCATGAGCCTCCACAGGCACGCCCCAGCGTGCGTGCTGTCACTGCCACCACTCGCCCTCGTCGCATGGGTCGCATGGCTGATGTTGGCGGCAGTCTGGCTGGCAAAAGGCACGACGTCACACTGTGCCAGGGGCGGAGGGAGAGCACATGCTGTTGAGGCGTGTAGCTCCGGAGCACACAATCCACCCTCCTCTTCCATCCCTCTATAATCTTCTATGCCATCCACCCCCTCCTCTACTTCCTGCTTCACTCCTCTCCCCCCTCTATCGCCTCACTCGCCCTCCACCCCCCTACCCTCGCCTCCCCCTGCACTGTCTCCCATTCCCCTGCTCCCTGCACCGTCTGCTGCTCTCCATCCCCCCACTCCTCGCTCTCCTCGGCCATTCCTTCTTCCCTCTCGTCTCCCTCGCTTACACCCACCTCCCTCTCCATAATTCCCGCGTCCTCATAAAAAATTTGACCATCCTTCGCCCTTGCTCCCTCTCCTGCCTCCCCCACGCCCTCCCCTTCTTTCCCCTCCCCTTCCCCACTCGCCATTCCTTCCTCGTCTCCCCCTTCCCCCTCCCCCTCTCCCCCTTCCCCCCCTCGCCCGCGCGCCTCTCTCTCGCGCCACTCCCTCTCCACCGCCTGCAGCAGCGCCGCATCACCCAGGGGCGAACCTTCCAGGATCTTGCGGATGCGCCCCACGCCCTCCTCCTCCCTGACTCTTTCCACCTCCTCCACCAGCGCCGCCACGCCCCTCGCCTGCACGCCCGCCACAAACCGCACTGCCCGCTCGTACGCGCCCTCCTCTCCCCCCTGCTGGTTGCCAGAGGGGAGGGCGGGCGCGTGGGAGGGCTGGGGCTGCGCTGGTGCAGGGTGGGAGGGCGAGGCGGAGTGGGACTGTGCGGAGTGGGCCTGGGCGGAGTGTGGGGGCCTTGAGGGGGCGTGGAGAGGCCGCGCAGGAGAGGGTACTTGCGGCGCATGGCGGAGTTCCAATAGTTCTTTATGGCGTTGTCCGTGCTGTGGAGGGGGGACGGTGGGGGGAAGAGGGACAGGAGAGGAGGGGTGAGAGTGTGAGGAAGGGGGGATATATAAGAGGCTGTTGTGTGGTAGAAGGGAGGGGTTGCATGTGGAGTGATGGAGGAAGGAGAGAGAATTGCAGTGGACAACGGGTGGCAAAGTGAACGGTGCTGAAGGCAGTAGGTGCGCACCGTCCGGGAAGGTTCTTGGCGATGAGGGCCCACTTGTTGCCGTGGATGGCGTGCGCTGTGATGATGCGCGCATCCTCCTCCACCGTGAACTGGCCTCGCCTCAACGCCGGGTCCAGCTGGTTGCACCACCTGGTGTGATGTGAGGGAGAGGGGAGGGAGGGAAGGATGAAGGGAGGGAGGGAGTGATGGAGTGAGGGAGGAAAGGAGGGATGGATAGATGGAGGGGGATGTGTGTGCCCAGCATGGGCTCGGAAAAGAGAAGATGTGCAGAGCCAGGAAAGGTAAAGAGCAACTGAACTACAATCAAGGTGAAGCAGATCAACACAGAATCACTCCCTTGTTTCCACTCATCCCAGCACATCTCGCCCCACCTCACCGCACTGCACCGTGTGACGCACCTGAGTCGGCAGCTCTTCCCCGGCCTGCCAGGGATACCAGCAGCGATGACGCTCCAGTTTTTCGCCCCGTGCACCGCCACCAGCGCCGCCAGCCGCTCATCCTCCTCCGCCGTCCACGCCCCCCTGTTCACCACCGATGCTCCCCTCCGCCCTCCGCCACTCCGCCTCCTCTGCTCCTTCTCCCCGTCCTCCTCCGCTTCCTCGCCCCCCCTGCTCCCCCTATCCTGCTCCCCTGTCAGCCCTCCGCTCGCCTCGCTGCTGCTGCCGCCTCTCCTCTCGTTCCCAGCCTTCCCCATACTCTCCGCCCCCTCGCCACAGCTGTCCGCCTCCCCCTCCTTGCCGGCTCCCCCGCGATCCCACGCATTCTCTCCCCCGGTACCCATTTCCGCCGCCCCTCCCCGCGCTTTTGTTCCCCTGGAAGCCGCGCCATGTGCCCCCGACGTGGCGGAGACAAGTGGGCGCGCGCTGCTGGCTGGGGAGGCTCCCCTGAGCGCCTCCTCGCGCGGCTGTTCCCCCTGCCGCTCCCCCGGATGCTCCTGCGCCCGGCTGGCGGTCGCTGCTCGTCCAATTCCCGCCGGCAGCACCAGCCGCAACGGCCCCCCAGGCTTGGCGGGCGTGGATCCGCCGACAAGGGGGGAGGGGGAGGGGCGCGCGGAGAGGGCTGCGAGCGGAACGAATCGAGGGGCAGTGTGCATGCCGCTGCGCTCCGCCGCTGGGTTGGCGGAAGAATCGTCTGGATGTGATGCGGCGGGTGGTTGCGCGGGCAGCGCAGTGGCGCGGGTGAGCGGAGCCATTTGCGGGCGATGCGCGGAGGTTAGAAATAGCAGCTCGCAAGCTCAAGTGTCTGGTACGCTCTAAAAGCGTGCGAGCGATGCTGCAGCTAATAGTAGTCCTCGGGTGGGTGTGCGTGACGGGTGGTTAATTGTTGCTCTCAGATGCTTGCTTGCGATCGACGGTCGCCTACGGAGCTGCGGCGCGGTTAGCCATCCCCCCGAAGTCAGCAGAGCGAGTGGTTGCGCGCAACTTGAGCGCGGAAAACCTCCTCGCCTTCCCTAACTGCAAGCTCCGTAAATGCTTCAAGCATCGTGGCTGCTGTGCCAAGCTACCGCTAACACGTGGGGGGTGGAGCCACATGAACAGAGCCGTTTCGCTTCACTTCTGAGACGAGGCGTTCGCGCAACCCTGACCGCTCGGTTCCGCTGTTGGGTCTGCGCTCGCTCCCCAAAAGCTTCTTACATCCGCTCGATGAAAGCTCGGCGGAGGTCGTTGGTAAACCGAGGAGACGAAACGTCTCGTTCTGCCTTCTTGCGAGCATCACAGGCACAACAGATGGCGGTTAAAAGACGAAACGGCACTTCCTCGTTACTAGGTTCGCGGACCGAAAATGCTGAAAGCAATCTGAGTGCACACTCAGTACTAAATCGGTGTAAATTTGACGGACGATTTCTCTTATGTGTCAAAAACTATTGCAGAACGGACTCAAGTAGTGTAGTTATTGAAGGTATATTCCCTTGGGCCTGGGGTGGCCCAGTCCCCAAGGCAGAAATGTTCCCGAGGCAAAGCAGTTTCAAGGGCAAACTTGTTCCCAAGGTAGCCCAGTTCCCGAGGCAATTTCGTTCCCTAGGTTGTTCCGACAAAGGTGTTTCCGAACCGAGCCCAAGGCAGCACGGCATCATTCCCGCGCAACACATCCCAAGGCCAGGCCGGAGCACCTGCACCCACCGACCACCCCCACCACCCGACGGACCACCCGCCATCCTCCATATCTCCTCGCTGCTCCTCGCCATTCTCAAAGCATCATTGCGAATTCGCTCGCCTTTCTCTCGCGAGCAGCGCCGCGTAGTTGCCGGCTACGTTCACCCTACGGACCCACGGGGGACGGAAGTCTGCACCGGTAGGAATGGCGGGAGGAGCGGAGACGGCGGGCGATGTATCGGTCCACGTCACCACGCCGCTGCTGCCGCGCGAGGTACGGCGCAGCGCGAAGGGGAATGCGCCGTGATGTGCAGATATTGTGCGCATTACAGTTCATCAATCTTGCTACTTGCCCTGCGCTGCTTTCCGCCTTCTTCCTAGTATCCCCTGCGCTCCCTTCTATCCACCTCTTTGCCATCCCCCTTGCCTCTCCTCAGGATTCTGCTCCCGCAAGACACGTGTCGCCCGGCGACGGAAGCCCTTCATCGCCGCATTCCCCGGGTGCGCGTCGCATCGCTACAGCTTCAAGGATCGCCGCATTCATCGGGTGCGTCGCTCTGCTCGGCGCGCTCTGCCTCCTCGCGCCGCGCCGAACCGCCTTGGAGACACGTGCTGACGATGCCGTCGAGATTAGCAGCAGCAGAAGCGCGGCTGTTCGCTTCTTCGCGTTCGGCGACTGGGGTCGCAACGGCACGTTCAACCAGTCGCTCATCGCACAGCAGGTGCGACGCACGCCCTTTCTCATCGTCCTTCACGCTGTGACCACACGCCATCCGCACACCCCTTCCTTGCTATGCAATGCACCCATCTTTCCTTCTACCCTGTGCGGTGGAGATGGGTGCAGTGGGGCAACAAATGGTCCCTCAGTTTGTGGTGTCGGTGGGGGACAACTTCTATGACGAGGGGCTGACAAACGTGAACGATGACAAGTTTGCGCGCTCCTTCACCAACACCTACACGCACCGCAGCCTGCAGGTCCCCTGGTACGCAGGTACGCCTCCCAATCTTTCTCACCCTCCCTCTCTTGATCATTCCCTCCCCCCCTCTCACTCTTTGTCGCACTCTCTCGTACACAAGGGACGCACTGCGCACTTCTTCTGGACCTGTGTGAGCAGCGGTGGCGTTCATGAGAGCTTTTGTTGCAATACGCCATCACTCCATGTGCGAGCAATCCTTTAATGCATTCACGTGTCAATGCACAAACACACTCACGTACCTCACTTCACCACAGCTCACACTGCTCCGTTCCCCCGCCCCCGCACCCCCTTTTTCCTGCCCCATTCCCTCCACCAGTGCTGGGCAACCACGACTACTACGGCAACGTTCTCGCTCAGCTCAGCTCAACTTGGCATCAGCCCAAACTACACTGGACTGCCATATCGCACTGACCTGCCACGTCAGCACGGACCTGCCACGTCAGCACGCACCTGCCACATGTGTGCAGCCCGGCGTGTGATGAGCTCAACGAGCTGCTGGCGCCTCAGCTCGCCCTCGTATTCTCGCCGCCTCCCCTCGTCTGATAACACCTGCCCGGCACCCCACACACACACATGCACACATGCACGCGCGCGCGCGCACACACACACACACACACACACACACACACACACACACACACACAACCGCGTTGACAGGCAAGCGAAAGGAAAAGGGAAGAGATGGCAACGAGCACATGCAGTGGCATGGAGTGGTGGTCAGTGAGTCATGTATGAAGAAAGCACATGGTGTACCTCGTATGCGCTCTGCAGGCGTTGAAAAGCCACTATGGCATTCTTCTCGTCCCCCCCATGCTTGTCCGGATGCACTAGCATTGCCTGCACGTCACATGCACATGCACATGTTCAGGCACAGGCACATGCACAGGCACAGGCACATGCACAGGCACATGCACAGGCACATGCACAGGCACATGCACATGCACATGCACATGCACAGGCACAGGCACACAACTCATCACTGTAAGTCAGCAACTGCAAACCGCATACTACAAGCTCACGCGTAATTCCCATAAAGCTCTTCACACCACTCCCTCCCAGCCACTTCCCAGCCTCCTATCCTCCCCAGCCTCGTCTCCTTCCCCCCAGCCCCTCCATATCCCAAGTCACCCTCCCCCCCATGCGCCCTCTCCCATTCCCCATCCGCCCCTACCCCTCCCCCCGGCCCCCACCATGCGGCGGTACTCCTTCTTCAGGGCGCTCTCGTCCACAGCCGCACAGAAGGGCGCCAGGCGAAGCACCTCGTAGTGGTTGCTGCACCACACTATGCGCTCTATCTCCCCGCCCCCACTCGCCTCTCCCCCGGCCCCCCCTCCCCCTGCCAACCCCGCTTCCCCCTCCCCTACCGCTCCCTCCACCCCTACCCCAGGCTCCCCCCCCCCAGCAGTGCTTGCTTGGGACTGGTTTGCGGGGGACGAGTCGGGTTGGGCGGGGTCATCTTGGAGGGAGGAGGCGAGGAGGAGCAGCAGGTCGCAGGCCAGGAAGGAGGCGAGCAGCGTGAGGCACAGCGTGGTGAGCCCTGCGCGCACCACCACGTGGTACACCGTTGACGCCACCAGCAGCAGCAGCGCTGCACGGGGGGACCCGCTCGCTGCCACTATCCCTGGTGGATGCGCAGGGGTGGAGAGCGGGGGGTAGAGAGCAAGGGGGGGAGAGCAGGGGGGAAAGAGCGCGGGTGGGAGGGTGGGTGGGCCGGGGGGAGAAAGGTGGCGCTGGGGGAGTTGGTGGGCAGGAGAACGGGAACGAGGGGAGGCAGGCAAGACGTGCGTGTGTGGGTGGGGTGGGGGGCCGGGCAAGGCAAGAGTGTGTGTGAGTGGGGGAGAGAGGACCAGCCAATCAGTTGGTGCTTAAGAATACTCAACAACCACCTCAGACGGCAGCGCTCAAGGTGTCTCGCTGACCTGCTGTGAGGGCGGGGTGCAACCTACCGGCTGTGAGGGCGGTGGCGAGGGCGAAGAGCAGCAGCTTGGCGCGCAGTGCTGTGAAGAGCGCCAGCAGCACCAGCAGCGCGAGTGTGAGCAGCAGCGGCAGGAAGAATGACAGCAGCACCAGCACCACCTGCTCGCCGCAGCCGATGGGAGGGGGAGGAGGGTGCAGAAATGGGGTGGCGGAGGAGGGGGAAGAAGTGGGGTGGCGGAAGAGGGGGAAGAAGTGGGGTGGCGGAAGAGGGGGAAGAAGTGGGTGGAAAGCAGGTGGGGTAGGAGGCGTGAGGGGAGGAGCCACGTGGGGGATGGTGGCAAGCACAAGTGGGGATGGTGGCAAGCACAAGTGGGGATGGTGGCAAGCACAAGTGGGGATGGTGGCAAGCACAAGTGGGGATGGTGGCAAGGCAAGCACAAGTGGGGATGGTGGCAAGGCAAGCACAAGTGGGGATGGTGGCAAGGCAAGCACAAGTGGGGATGGTGGCAAGGCAAGCACAAGTGGGGATGCGTGAGGCAAGGGTGGATGGAGGAGGGAGTGGGCGTGCGAGGGGTTGAGCGAGGGGGTGGGCGACGAGGCGGGCGAGGGGGGGGCGTACGAGGGAGGGCAGCAGCACGAGCCAGCCGAGGGTGCGCCCCATGCCCACCAGCGCGCCCACCAGCGGCAGCACCGCCGACCCCAGCGACGGCGGCACCAGCGAGACGCACCCGCGGATCACGAACGCCGCCGCCGCCACCACCGCCCACAAGCCCGCCGCCGCCGCCAACCGCGCTGCCGCCCCCGCCACGCGCCACGCGACCGCGCAGTATCGGGCCGCCCGCTCCGCGAACGCGCTCCCCGCGCTCTCACGTCGCGCCCATGGGGGAAAGCCGTTTGCGGGGCCCCTACTGTGCCATTGTGGTGACGGCGATCGTGGCGACGCTGACGACGCGCCGTGCGACGTGCTATGCGACGAGGCTGCTCGCGACGAGGCGGCGTGCGGTCGCTTCCCCGAGGCCCGCGCGGGTCCTCTCCGCGCCTCGCCCCTCGCCATGGCGCCGCGCACCCAGCAGCGGGACTCTCGGCGGCGTTTACGGCGACAATTGCGCAGTCTAAGGCCCAGCTACGAAGGCATCTTGCGCCGCCGCAAGGAGAGACGGGAGAGCACAAGATGTTCAGTCATAATTCTCGGAGAGCAGCACTCGTGCAGTTAGGCTGAAACAAGAAAAAAAATATCGGTACGCGAGAAGAGACTCGGAGAGCCGTGCGACTCGAGTGTGGCTTGGTGGAGTGGTGGGAAAAGCGCACGAAAACTATACCGAGGACGGTTGGATGGCCGCTTGATGGTGGAGAAACATGCAGCACATGTGGTACCTTTGAGAACCCTCAGTTCCCGACAACGAACGGATTAACGCGCGCTGTACATCCAAGCTATTGTTGTATTTACATAATTATAGCTCTACATCAAACAGCTTGATGGAACACATTTCTAAGCGCAATTTGATGTACAAGAGGATTACAAGAAAGCATGCATGGATTTGTGCAAACTAAAATCGCGCATCATCATGTGCACTAGCACATCTATGGCTGCACTCGCTAGCCCCACCTGGTGCAGCAAGTCTGAAGCACACAGCCAACATGGCATCCAGCACATGCCGGCACGCCATGCCCTCAGCTGCACCCTCAGCACCACTGCTCACCGAGCAGCACCGCTCATCACTGCAACAACGCACATCCCCCACCGGATCTACCACCTGTGGCCCCTCACCACCTTCTCCTCTTACGTTCCCCCACCGCTCCTCCACGTCCTCCTCGTCGGCTCGCCCCTCCACCATTCCGTGCCGCCATTGCAGCTCCTCCAGCAGCAGCCGGGCCACCCCACATGCCGACGCCAATACTCGATGCACGTGCCGCCGCACGCGTGCCCCACACTGCCCCTGCCCTGCCACGTGGCAGTCTTGCATTGGCTGTGGGACTGCACCAACAAGGCATGTGTCTGGGTGCAGACTGTGCTGCAAGGGCTGTGAGTTGGTTTTATCTATTCCGTGTGGGCACAGGGTCTTCTCTTTCTCTGACCCACAGACTTCCATCCCCTGCTGCCCTCTGCTTTCCTCCTCCGTAACCTCCGAAATCTCAATTCTCTCTCCTGCACAGCCTCCTTCCTTTTCCCATTCTTGTCCCTGCCTCTCCCCTTGTCTCGCGGCTGCCTTACACTGTTCATCGGCCTCACACCCCCTGTGCGTGCACAAGCTCTCATCGCCCCCTGTCACCTGCACTGCAGTAAACACCTTCCCCAGCTGAAATGCCCCCAAACCCACCCCCCTCATGCTCCCGTCCCCTCCTCCACCGCCCCTCATGCCACCGCCACCATGTTTTGCTGCCGCCTGTCCTGCACCTACCAGGCCGCTTTCACCCGAACCAGGACCTGAGGCTCGGTCAAGCGGGAGTGGCTGGGCAGTAAGGGGTGTGGGAGGATTGGATGGTTGGGAGGGCTGGAGAAGGGAGGGAGTGTGGGTGGCAGGGAGGAGAGAGGAGTGGGAGAGGCCGGAGGGGAGAGTGGCGAATGAAAAGCGCGAGGAGAGATGTGGAGGGGCGAGGGAATGGTGGTGGTGGGGGTGAGTGAGGGAGGGAGGGCAAGAGGGAGTGAGTGGTGGGGAGGGTGGTGATGGTGACGGTGTGTGTGTCTGCTGGGTGGCGCCTTGAGAGGTGTGTGAGAGAGGGAGGGAGGAGGTGGTAACAGTAGGGGTGGTGGTGGGAAGGGTGGGAGGCGGCAGCAGTGGAGGCGAAGCAGCAGTGGGTGCAGGCACAGACGAGGTGACAGGGAGGGCAGTGGGTGACACTCGGAAGCGAGGGCGGCGGTCAAAGTGGCAGGTGAGGGCGCTGTGCTGACTCGTGGCAGCAGCACCACCACCACCGCCAGTAGCAGCAGCACCGTGGGCAGCACGAGCGCCCACATGATCCGCACAGCAGGCCTCATACCGCCTTTTCCTGCTGCTGCTCCCACCCGCACTGTGTGGAACTAAGTCATCCGCATCATGAGCCTCCACAGGCACGCCCCCAGCGTGCGTGCTGTCACTGCCACCACTCGCCCTCGTCGCATGGGTCGCATGGCTGATGTTGGCGGCAGTCTGGCTGGCAAAAGGCACGACGTCACACTGTGCCAGGGGCGGAGGGAGAGCACATGCTGTTGAGGCGTGTAGCTCCGGAGCACACAATCCACCCTCCTCTTCCATCCCTCTATAATCTTCTATGCCATCCACCCCCTCCTCTACTTCCTGCTTCACTCCTCTCCCCCCCTCTATCGCCTCACTCGCCCTCCACCCCCCTACCCTCGCCTCCCCCTGCACTGTCTCCCATTCCCCTGCTCCCTGCACCGTCTGCTGCTCTCCATCCCCCCACTCCTCGCTCTCCTCGGCCATTCCTTCTTCCCTCTCGTCTCCCTCGCTTACACCCACCTCCCTCTCCATAATTCCCGCGTCCTCATAAAAAATTTGACCATCCTTCGCCCTTGCTCCCTCTCCTGCCTCCCCCACGCCCTCCCCTTCTTTCCCCTCCCCTTCCCCACTCGCCATTCCTTCCTCGTCTCCCCCTTCCCCCTCCCCCTCTCCCCCTTCCCCCCCTCGCCCGCGCGCCTCTCTCTCGCGCCACTCCCTCTCCACCGCCTGCAGCAGCGCCGCATCACCCAGGGGCGAACCTTCCAGGATCTTGCGGATGCGCCCCACGCCCTCCTCCTCCCTGACTCTTTCCACCTCCTCCACCAGCGCCGCCACGCCCCTCGCCTGCACGCCCGCCACAAACCGCACTGCCCGCTCGTACGCGCCCTCCTCTCCCCCCTGCTGGTTGCCAGAGGGGAGGGCGGGCGCGTGGGAGGGCTGGGGCTGCGCTGGTGCAGGGTGGGAGGGCGAGGCGGAGTGGGACTGTGCGGAGTGGGCCTGGGCGGAGTGTGGGGGGCCTTGAGGGGGCGTGGAGAGGCCGCGCAGGAGAGGGTACTTGCGGCGCATGGCGGAGTTCCAATAGTTCTTTATGGCGTTGTCCGTGCTGTGGAGGGGGGACGGTGGGGGGAAGAGGGACAGGAGAGGAGGGGTGAGAGTGTGAGGAAGGGGGGATATATAAGAGGCTGTTGTGTGGTAGAAGGGAGGGGTTGCATGTGGAGTGATGGAGGAAGGAGAGAGAATTGCAGTGGACAACGGGTGGCAAAGTGAACGGTGCTGAAGGCAGTAGGTGCGCACCGTCCGGGAAGGTTCTTGGCGATGAGGGCCCACTTGTTGCCGTGGATGGCGTGCGCTGTGATGATGCGCGCATCCTCCTCCACCGTGAACTGGCCTCGCCTCAACGCCGGGTCCAGCTGGTTGCACCACCTGGTGTGATGTGAGGGAGAGGGGAGGGAGGGAAGGATGAAGGGAGGGAGGGAGTGATGGAGTGAGGGAGGAAAGGAGGGATGGATAGATGGAGGGGGATGTGTGTGCCCAGCATGGGCTCGGAAAAGAGAAGATGTGCAGAGCCAGGAAAGGTAAAGAGCAACTGAACTACAATCAAGGTGAAGCAGATCAACACAGAATCACTCCCTTGTTTCCACTCATCCCAGCACATCTCGCCCCACCTCACCGCACTGCACCGTGTGACGCACCTGAGTCGGCAGCTCTTCCCCGGCCTGCCAGGGATACCAGCAGCGATGACGCTCCAGTTTTTCGCCCCGTGCACCGCCACCAGCGCCGCCAGCCGCTCATCCTCCTCCGCCGTCCACGCCCCCCTGTTCACCACCGATGCTCCCCTCCGCCCTCCGCCACTCCGCCTCCTCTGCTCCTTCTCCCCGTCCTCCTCCGCTTCCTCGCCCCCCCTGCTCCCCCTATCCTGCTCCCCTGTCAGCCCTCCGCTCGCCTCGCTGCTGCTGCCGCCTCTCCTCTCGTTCCCAGCCTTCCCCATACTCTCCGCCCCCTCGCCACAGCTGTCCGCCTCCCCCTCCTTGCCGGCTCCCCCGCGATCCCACGCATTCTCTCCCCCGGTACCCATTTCCGCCGCCCCTCCCCGCGCTTTTGTTCCCCTGGAAGCCGCGCCATGTGCCCCCGACGTGGCGGAGACAAGTGGGCGCGCGCTGCTGGCTGGGGAGGCTCCCCTGAGCGCCTCCTCGCGCGGCTGTTCCCCCTGCCGCTCCCCCGGATGCTCCTGCGCCCGGCTGGCGGTCGCTGCTCGTCCAATTCCCGCCGGCAGCACCAGCCGCAACGGCCCCCCAGGCTTGGCGGGCGTGGATCCGCCGACAAGGGGGGAGGGGGAGGGGCGCGCGGAGAGGGCTGCGAGCGGAACGAATCGAGGGGCAGTGTGCATGCCGCTGCGCTCCGCCGCTGGGTTGGCGGAAGAATCGTCTGGATGTGATGCGGCGGGTGGTTGCGCGGGCAGCGCAGTGGCGCGGGTGAGCGGAGCCATTTGCGGGCGATGCGCGGAGGTTAGAAATAGCAGCTCGCAAGCTCAAGTGTCTGGTACGCTCTAAAAGCGTGCGAGCGATGCTGCAGCTAATAGTAGTCCTCGGGTGGGTGTGCGTGACGGGTGGTTAATTGTTGCTCTCAGATGCTTGCTTGCGATCGACGGTCGCCTACGGAGCTGCGGCGCGGTTAGCCATCCCCCCGAAGTCAGCAGAGCGAGTGGTTGCGCGCAACTTGAGCGCGGAAAACCTCCTCGCCTTCCCTAACTGCAAGCTCCGTAAATGCTTCAAGCATCGTGGCTGCTGTGCCAAGCTACCGCTAACACGTGGGGGGTGGAGCCACATGAACAGAGCCGTTTCGCTTCACTTCTGAGACGAGGCGTTCGCGCAACCCTGACCGCTCGGTTCCGCTGTTGGGTCTGCGCTCGCTCCCCAAAAGCTTCTTACATCCGCTCGATGAAAGCTCGGCGGAGGTCGTTGGTAAACCGAGGAGACGAAACGTCTCGTTCTGCCTTCTTGCGAGCATCACAGGCACAACAGATGGCGGTTAAAAGACGAAACGGCACTTCCTCGTTACTAGGTTCGCGGACCGAAAATGCTGAAAGCAATCTGAGTGCACACTCAGTACTAAATCGGTGTAAATTTGACGGACGATTTCTCTTATGTGTCAAAAACTATTGCAGAACGGACTCAAGTAGTGTAGTTATTGAAGGTATATTCCCTTGGGCCTGGGGTGGCCCAGTCCCCAAGGCAGAAATGTTCCCGAGGCAAAGCAGTTTCAAGGGCAAACTTGTTCCCAAGGTAGCCCAGTTCCCGAGGCAATTTCGTTCCCTAGGTTGTTCCGACAAAGGTGTTTCCGAACCGAGCCCAAGGCAGCACGGCATCATTCCCGCGCAACACATCCCAAGGCCAGGCCGGAGCACCTGCACCCACCGACCACCCCCACCACCCGACGGACCACCCGCCATCCTCCATATCTCCTCGCTGCTCCTCGCCATTCTCAAAGCATCATTGCGAATTCGCTCGCCTTTCTCTCGCGAGCAGCGCCGCGTAGTTGCCGGCTACGTTCACCCTACGGACCCACGGGGGACGGAAGTCTGCACCGGTAGGAATGGCGGGAGGAGCGGAGACGGCGGGCGATGTATCGGTCCACGTCACCACGCCGCTGCTGCCGCGCGAGGTACGGCGCAGCGCGAAGGGGAATGCGCCGTGATGTGCAGATATTGTGCGCATTACAGTTCATCAATCTTGCTACTTGCCCTGCGCTGCTTTCCGCCTTCTTCCTAGTATCCCCTGCGCTCCCTTCTATCCACCTCTTTGCCATCCCCCTTGCCTCTCCTCAGGATTCTGCTCCCGCAAGACACGTGTCGCCCGGCGACGGAAGCCCTTCATCGCCGCATTCCCCGGGTGCGCGTCGCATCGCTACAGCTTCAAGGATCGCCGCATTCATCGGGTACGTCGCTCTGCTCGGCGCGCTCTGCCTCCTCGCGCCGCGCCGAACCGCCTTGGAGACACGTGCTGACGATGCCGTCGAGATTAGCAGCAGCAGAAGCGCGGCTGTTCGCTTCTTCGCGTTCGGCGACTGGGGTCGCAACGGCACGTTCAACCAGTCGCTCATCGCACAGCAGGTGCGACGCACGCCCTTTCTCATCGTCCTTCACGCTGTGACCACACGCCATCCGCACACCCCTTCCTTGCTATGCAATGCACCCATCTTTCCTTCTACCCTGTGCGGTGGAGATGGGTGCAGTGGGGCAACAAATGGTCCCTCAGTTTGTGGTGTCGGTGGGGGACAACTTCTATGACGAGGGGCTGACAAACGTGAACGATGACAAGTTTGCGCGCTCCTTCACCAACATCTACACGCACCGCAGCCTGCAGGTCCCCTGGTACGCAGGTACGCCTCCCAATCTTTCTCACCCTCCCTCTCTTGATCATTCCCTCCCCCCCTCTCACTCTTTGTCGCACTCTCTCGTACACAAGGGACGCACTGCGCACTTCTTCTGGACCTGTGTGAGCAGCGGTGGCGTTCATGAGAGCTTTTGTTGCAATACGCCATCACTCCATGTGCGAGCAATCCTTTAATGCATTCACGTGTCAATGCACAAACACACTCACGTACCTCACTTCACCACAGCTCACACTGCTCCGTTCCCCCGCCCCCGCACCCCCTTTTTCCTGCCCCATTCCCTCCACCAGTGCTGGGCAACCACGACTACTACGGCAACGTTCTCGCTCAGCTGCACCCAGCCCTCGCCAACAGGGACCCGCGCTGGGTGTGCCGCCGCAGCATGGCGCTCTCGCTGCCGCTCTGCCCCTCCGCCAGCGTTGACTGCGTTGACCTGGTTGACCTGTTCCTGTACGACACCACGCCCCTCGTCCCCGCGTACCGCCACAAGCAGGGGCGGTGTGTGGACTGGCGCGGACTCAACACCGCCAACTGGACACAGCAGGAGACCACGCAGCTGCAGGTGATTTGGGGAAGACACCTGCTGCTGTGCTGCCCCCTTCCACATCGCTCACACCACCATAGCTTGCAACTGCCTCCCTTTCCCAAAGCTCTTGGTAACGCGACCCCCCCATTCCCGTCCCCTTTGGACAGTTCGTCTGGCACATTCTGCTGCTCACAGCTCGCTGCCTCTGTCTCACCATCCTCCGCTCCTTCCCTCCCCCAACCCCCTCTCTTCCCCTTCGTCCTCCTCCTCTCTGTCTTTTCCTCCTCCCCGTACGTGCTGCAGGAGCTGGAGGGGTGGCTGGGCAACTCTCGGGCGCGGTGGAAGGTGGTGGTGGGGCACCACCCGGTGTTCAGCTACGGGCACCACGGCCACCAGCAGGAGATGATCCACCGCGTCAAGCCGCTGCTCGAGGTGAGCTGCATAGATGACCCACCTCTGTGTGCATGTGCATACATTGATCTGCCCACGCATGTCTTTGAGCTGTGCATTAACTCTCCTGTTTCCCATCTGCTCTCCCCCGACCATGTGTCACCAGCGCTACGGAGTGGATGCATATCTAAACGGGCACGACCACAACATGCAGCATGTGAAGAAGGATGACAGGTACCATACATGCACCACGTGTGATGAGTCGATTTTTGAGTCGACTCAAAAATCGACTCAGCATGTGAAGAAGGATGACAGGTACCATACATGCACCACAAAACCTTCTACGTGCATGCATCATGTCTCGCACCCTTTCTCACCACCATGGCACATGCACCTTTGCACCAAGGTCGGGCCTTGGAGTATCCAATGCACGTGGAGTGTGTTTTGCATTCATTCCCTTCATCCTCGCCTTGTCTTCCCCCCCTCACTTGCTGTCCTCTCTTCCCCCCCTCACTTGCTGTCCTCTCTTCCACACCTGCGTCCTCGCCTCACCCACCCCAGTCCAGTGCACTACTTCACGGTGGGGGGTGGATCCAAGGCATGGCGCAGCGACGCCCCCTCACAAGCCCCCGGGCTGCGTTTCTACTTCCCAGGCCAGGGCTTCAGCGCCCTCCAAGTGGACAGGGATAGACTCTCAGTGGCCTTCTATGGGGTGGACGGCCAGCAGATGTACTCCACTACTTTGAGAAAATGAGGGCTCTGCCAGGGCTTCAGACAGCGTGGCGCAGGTGGACGGGAACCACCTCTCAGTGGCCTTTTATGGCGTGGATGGCCAGCAAATGTACTCCGCTACTCTGCAGCCCTTTGATGTGGAGGTTTCTTTGCATTTGCAAGGCTGTTCAAACTCATTGTCATGTACGTCAGCTAAGCTTATACCGTATGTTTATTTTGTAAGCCTAAGTTGTCTGGCTAGTGCAGTCTGTGGCCTGTCACCTCACAGCTGTAAAGTTATAGGAACCAACACATGCCATTCTCAACACACATGATGTGCAGACCTACTCGATTCGCATGGAGAGAGGCAGCAGTTGAGATAGGGGAGTGTGTGTTGGGAGAGTGGTGTGCTCGACTGGTAACGGTGACAACAGCTTCCCACTGCTCATGACTTGAGTCGCTTGGCATCTGCGTCCGGCACACTCGCATCATCCTCCCCCGCCTGCATGCAACAAGGGCAGCACCGCACAGCACCGTACAGCACAGCACAGCACCGTAAAGCACAGCATGTGCATTGGTGAGGAAGCGCATAAGAGCAGGTGACATGGGCATAGGCCATAAGCATGCGAAGAGCGCATTGGATGGCGCTTGGAAGTGCGGGTTGACAGGTGCTGACAGGGCAAGCCAATGCAGAACGCGTGCAAGGCATTCAAGTCAAGAATAGTGTGTGGCAGCTCGGCATTCCAAACTCCGCACTCACCGTCAGAGCAAGCTGGGCGAGCACTCACACAACACTAACTCATGGTTCTCCCTTCCCCCCCACCCTCTCCCCACCACAGACCATTACCTTGTTTCTCCCCGCCCACCCACCTTCTCTCCTGGCACCACGGCGTAGCGCTCAGCAGGCGACACCCACGTGGCAGCAGCATCGGGCACCTCCGCATGCGCTGCTGCCGCTGCGTCCTTCCTTCCGCCCGGCCCGCTGATGTGGCGACACCTGTCACCGTCCGCACTTATGGCCTCCACTCGCTTGGGCAGGTTCCTGGAAAGTGGGCCGGCGAGAGAGAGGGCAGGCAGGCGTGAACGGCAGGGCCTTTGAAAGAATCCCATGAGCCGCACATCTAGCCTGCTCATGCCAGCGCCATGACCCATGAATGCTCAAGCATCTCACCACACTGCATGGGCTGACCTGTCCTGCGCACACAGCAGCACTCCCACCTGTTGGTGGTATCACCACGGCCTAGCTGGCCGCTGGTGGCTCGCCCCCACGAGTACACATTGTCCCCCTCTCTCACCACCACCGTGTGATGATGATGATGTCCCATGGGTCACACAAAAACTGTCGGTGATAGGATCATGACCTAACCTATCCGTGATAGCACCATGTCACATGTACCCACCTGTCGGTGGTATCGCCGTGGCCCAGCTGGCCACTGGTGGCTCGCCCCCACGAGTACACGTTGCCCCCCTCACTCAACACCACCGTGTGCCGCCACCCACACGCCACCGCCACCACCCGCTGCCGCCACAGTGTTATTAAAGTAGGGGAGGAGGAGGGAGGGTGGAGGGGTTGGGCAGTGAAACAGGGGAAAGAAGGTGTGGATATGGCGAGTTGGGATCAGAGCAGCATGGGGCGGGGAGCACATAGACACACCTGCTGTAGCAACTCATTCACCTTGAAAGCTCGTCCAAATCTCCACTCACTCACTCTTCTACCCCCCTCTGTGGCAGCACACACATACTGACCTCGGAAATGCTCTCTATCCGCTGGGGCGAGCACTGGTCCTCCGAGTTGCCCACTCCCACCTGCCCGAACTGATAGGCAGACGATGCAAGAGGTGCGGCAGGGTCGAGCAGGCAGTGTGATAGGGAGATGGGAGTGCAGAGAGGACAAGAGAGGTGAAGAGGGGGATGGTGAGAGTGGTATGAGAAGGGATGGGAGAAATTCTGGCTATGTGGAAGTTCAGGGGAGCAGACCAGCGTGAAACAGTCTCTCACCCCTTGCTCCCTCTCACTCACTCTCACTCTGTTCCACAACACCCACTCACTCTGTTCCACAACACCCACTCACTCTGTTCCAACCCCATGCGTACACCACGCCATCTGCGTCCAGAGCAACGGAGTGCCGCCACCCTCCTGACACCTGCTCGCACCCCAGCAAAGGAAGCAGGGGGTGAACGGTTGAAGAGGGTCAGATGGTTATCAGAAGCCTGATGGAGTCAAGTGTGTAGGGAAAGGACTTGGATGACTTTCAGAACCCGATGAGCAAGGGGAGGAGGGAAGGCGTGCAGAGAGAGCAGTGCACGCGAGAAAGAGGAATCTCATGTATGCCCCGCACCTGCACAATGTGTTTTCCTTGCATGCCTGGGAGCTCATCTGCACGATACGCTTGTCCTGCATAGCAGGCACGGGCGAAGGCATGAGGTGGTCCTGGAAGTCCCCATGCCCCAGCTGCCCGTACTTGCAAGGCTGGGATGGGAGCTACCTGCATGATGCATGCCTGTGGTGGGCTCACCTGCACGATACGCTTGTCCTGCATAGCAGGCACGGGCGAGGGCGTGAGGTGGTCCTGGAAGTCGCCGTGGCCCAGCTGCCCGTACTTGCTCCACCCATATGTGAACAGCCGCCCCTCCTCGTTCACCGCTATTGTGTGCCGCCACCCACACGCCACCTGCGCTATGCGCTCCGACTGCCAGCAATGGAGTCGCAGGGAAGAGGGTAGTGGAGGGGGGAGAGGTGATGTATGGAGGTGAGGCATAGAGGGGCATCGCCGTTCACTGCTATTGTGTGCCGCCACCCACACGCCACCTGCGCTATGCGCTCCGACTGGCAGCAATAGGGATGCAGGTCAGGGAGGGGAGTGGAGAGGTGAGAGGTGATGGATGGGCGAGGATGAGAGAGGGGAGGGGAGAGCTGGAGCAGCAGCTGGCAGGCATCCTGGGGGAATGAATGAAATCCCTACTTCCTCACACCTGCCCGTGACCCTCGACGCTCCCTCTACGTGCCCCACCGCACGCCTCGATGCCTGTGACCCTCGGCAGGCGCAACTATCCATCTGCACATCTCGGTTCTTTCGCCCTCCCCCCTTTCCCCCACCTACCACTTCTGTTCTGCGCACCTCAATGGCTGTGACCTGCTCAGGCAGCTTTCTGTCAAGCCAGTCCCCCAGCCCCAGGTGTCCATAGCGCCGGCACTGCCCCCACCCCCTTGGCACCTCCATGCCTGTGGCGCTACATGCACCTTCCCATCCTCCCACTTTATCATCCGTGACAAAACATGCTAACCCCACGCACCTCAATGGCCGTGACCTGCTCGGGCAGCTTCCTGTCAAGGCGGTCCCCCAGCCCCAGGTTGCCGTAGCGCCCCCACCCCCATCCGTACAGCCGGCCATCCTCCGCTGCCGCTGCTGTGTGCTCCGCCCCCGCTGCCACCATCCTCAGCGGCACGCCCTGCCGCACACGAAGGAGAAGGGGGGGAGGTGGGGGGGGAGGTGAAGGGGAGAGGGGAAGGAGGTGAAAGGGGAAGGAGGTGGGGGGGTTGGAGGAGGGAAAGGAAGAGAGGAGAGGGGGGGAAAGGAGGGAGAGGCGTATGGGTTGGTGAAAATGGGAAGGGGAAAGGTAGAGGGGAAGGCAGGGGTAGCGCCCCCACCCCCACCCGTACAGCCGGCCATCCTCCGCTGCCGCTGCTGTGTGCTCCGCCCCCGCTGCCACCATCCTCAGCGGCACCCCTGCAGTGGGGGGAGGCGGGGGGGAGACGGCGGAAGAGGGGATGGATGGGAAGGGGAAGGCGGGGAGGGTGGGGATGGGGAAGGTTGGAGAGGCGATGGATGGGTTGGTGGCAATGGAGAGGTTGAGGGGTGGAGGGGAGGGCAGCAGAGGCAAGGGATGGCAGGGGAAACAGAGGTTGGAAGAGGGGGGCACGGGAGCGACAATCTGAGTGGAGCAGTAACAGGCAGGCAGAGCAGTGCACGCGAGAAATGCGTAGGGGTGGGAGAGACTAGGAATGGGAGGGGTTAGGAAAGGGAGGGCCTAGGAAGCGAGGGACTCGAAAGGGAAGGAGCTATCCTACGAATGCGAGGGCCTACAGCGGGGAACGGGGGGCCTTACCGCGAGGGCGGTGATCTGTGTGGGCACGAGTGGATGGAAGGGCCTTACAGCAAGGCGTGCGAGAGGCTTACAGAGAGCGCAGTGATCTGTGTGGGCACGAGCGCGTCGTCCAGCGTGCCTAGCCCCAAGTGGCCGCAGGGAGAGGGGGAACAAGTGGATGGAAGGGCCTTACAGCAAGGCGTGCGAGAGCCTTACCGCGAGGAGTGGGGGGCCCTTACAGCGAGCGCGGTGATGTGCGTGGGCAGGAGCGCGTCGTCCAGCGTGCCCAACCCCAACTGGCCGTTCTGATTGCGCCCCCAACTGGTGATGCGCGAGGGGGCACCGCGAGGAGTGCGGGGTGAGGGGGGCGAGAAGGGGAGAGACGAGGAGGGAACGAAGGGGGGTAATGAGTTTAGTATGTGTGTGGCTCTGTGCAACAAGCAACCCGAGTGAGCACGGCTATGCTCGCCCCAGGAGCCACCTAAGGGCCTTGAGGCCTACCAGAGCAACAGCGCGGCCCACCTGCACCACCTGCACCTGCCCGTTCACCACCTGACCGCCCAATCACCTGAACGCGGTGCCATTAGCGTCGACAGCGATGCAGTGGCAGTCGCCGCACGCGATGTGCTTGATGGGTCGTCCGCACAGCGACGCCACGGCGTGCGGCAGAAACACGTCGCTCGAATGCCCGTGCCCCAGCCGCCCAAAGTCGCCCCTGCGCGTGGCGGCGGGACGCGGCGGGCGGGGATGGGCGGAAGGGGACATGGGAGATTAACAAACGGGGGCGTGGGGAGATTAGTGGAGGGGGGAATGGGCGTTGAGCCACCGCCCCCACCTATCGACACACCACCCCCCGTTATCAGCTCGGGCAAACCCCCGCCTATGAACTCACCAGCCGACCCGCCGATTACTACTCACCACCCCGCCGGCCCGCCGATTACTACTCACCACCCCCCTCGCGCTCAGCTCACCAGCCCCAGGACCAGAGCGTCTGCGAGTCCTCCGAGTAAGCCGTCGCGTGGTCCGCTTTGTTACAGGTGCTTAACGGGAACTCTCAAATAACACCTCACCGCCCCGCCGACCCCGTTGACTCGCCACACCCTCTCCTCCCCCCCCTCCACACCCATTATCTCACCAGCCCCAGGACCAGAGCGTCTGCGAGTCCTCCGAGTACGCCGTCGTGTGGTCCGCGCCGCACGCGAGCGCCGACACGCGCTTCCCCGCGAGCGCCGCGACCTCCGTGGGCTCGAGCTGCTCCTCCGCGCTGCCCAGCCCCAGCTGCCCGTCCTCCCCGCGCCCCCACGCGCACACGCGGTCGTCCGCTGACACGCGCACGGGGAAGGGGGAGAGCGCGATATGGGCGCGAATGGCAACGGCTTTGGTGTCGATACAGAAGTAGACACGGACAGATGAATTCTAGGGTTGCCGGGCTACAGACGCGGAAAGGCTCGGACCGCAATCGGAAAGCGGAGATTAGAGCTGCGGCAGATAAAAATGCAGAGGTGAAGATTCGCGAAACAAATTTATCCAACATACCAATACATCGGATAAAATGCATCTAATTGTCTAGAAAAGATTGAAAGAATATGCCAAGAAACACGCACAGAGAAGCGCGACGGTGTGACTGGCGCCTGCTGATATTGCCACTACACGACACTCGGAATCTTGAGACGCCATGTCTTGTGGTGCGAGGTAGGCACTAGTCTCGTTGAACAGAATCTAGGGTAAAATGGGAAAAGCGGAGCTGTGGAATAGCCAATGGCTCGAACAGGCTGACCCTTCATTCCTCCGGACAACCGCGATAATGAGAAACGATGTCGGAATTTGAGAGCATATGTGGCGTTAAAACTATCGGATAGGTCATTCTAGTCATTTATAGAAAAAAAAACAGCATATGAGTAACTGATAACAGATGCCACTCAAGGACCCCGTGAGAACGTGTCGTATTTTTTATTCATGTGGGTGGAGAACGTGGCCCCAGAGAGACTATCCGCTCATCTTACTTTAGCTTACTATATTCAGCTAGTCTTTGTATGCTCTCATAATTTTTCAAGTGAACATTCTCCTCACTGTTTGGTAACGGAACTGGTAGCAAGCGGGTCTATCCTGAGTGACTGTTCCGATGCATCAGCTGCCAGCAGTTTCAGTTGACCATCCTCGTCCCCGCAGGCCCATAAGATTTACGGGCAGATTTGCCGTGTGAAAAGCACGTCCTAGCAACACCCTCGCTGAACAGTCCCTGAAGGATGTGGTGGTTTCCCAACGAGAATCGGAGCCTCGTGTTACCTTTGGCCAATAGTAGCACAGAGAACCTGGTCGTCACGTTCGGACATTAGAGAGCGGCTCGGCAAATTTCGGTCCGACAGCTGTTGAGGTGCAGCAAGTGCGAACAGTGCAGTGTGCAGCAGGCTTGACGAATCAGGAAATTTCACTGTAAGCTTTGACAGCCCGGATCAACACAGCCCAGATCAATTCCACAACGGCCAACTTCATTGATACTCAAATTATGCCTGACGCGGTTTGCAAGCGTACTCAACCTCGATTTCTCATCGCTGATTGGTTCTCGCTTTTCAATCACACTTTTCAAGCTACAAACACCTCCGAAATGTGACAGAAACAGAGCGTGATGACCGACCATAAATAGATAATATTGTGTGTAGGTTCTTCCTAAAAATAGACAAATAAAAACAATTATTACTCAACCATTTACAAAGAAAATTGTATAAAACGCGAATTTAGTAAAGATAAAAACCCGTTGGAAAACAAAATGCAGACTAGGAATAACTTCACAGAATAGACGGCACCGTCAACCCTTCGTTGGCTGTGGACCTTCTGACCTTGTACGGAAGAAAATTAAAACTCCTTTGGATGGCATCAACCCTAAACATCATGCGACAAAGTTTAAGGGTTGATGCCATCCTGACTGAATGCCTTTCACTAGGAAGGTTCTTTTTAATTGGCTGCGGGTAACAAGCTCCGCTGGGCGGTGTCGTTTGTTCAAGCATATAAACCTAAACTAGAATTTATCCCGTATTTAGGGTTAAATTAGCAGATTATGTCTTGCTTATCCACGCGTTAGTATGTTCCCTTTTTTTGTTGGGTATCTGCGGACCTGCTGGTGGCGACTTTGTTTCAAATAAGTTCCTATAACAAACTTCCCAAGTATTTGTAGCTACTATACTGAGAAATTGTCGGTTGAGTACGCTTGCAAACCGCGTCAGGCATAATTTGAGTATCAATGAAGTTGGCCGATTCCACAAACTACCACACCCAGCTGTGCTGTGCGTCGCCCCCAACCACCCACTCGCCTCGTGGGATCGCGCCTTCCTCAACCGCGACTCGCGAATTCTCTCCATTCTCAACTCCATTCACCCACCCGCAGTTTTGCTGAAGCAACGATCCCCCGTCACATGCGCCGCCGGACCAATCTCCCGCAACGTCAACGCCCCTGGGTTTTTGTAACCCCGCTTGTACCAATAGCCTAACCACCACTAACAGAGAGAGCGCGTAAGCTCCCGCAACAAGCCTAATCAAACCTCTCTCTTGAACACCCTGGAGCAGCGACGACGCCAGTTCTGAATTGCTGCGCGAGATTCGCCACCACTAGCTTTAAAACCAGGCCCGCCATTGTCGCAGTCCTTAAAGCGCGTCGCATCGTAGAGCTACTTCCGTGCCTGGCTCGTTCTCCGCGTACCTCCCCGTTCCACTCCCCCCTTCCCCCAACTCCTCCGCCATGGGCGCAGCGGGGTCGCGCGAGGTGTGGGTGGTGATGCCGGACGGCCGCGCGGAGAGCTTCCGTGAGCCAATCACCGTCGCGCAGCTGCTGGCGCAGCACCCGGGGTATCTCGTGTCGCAGCCTGACCTGCCCGGGAACCCCGGCGAGAATCACGGCGCGAACCGCGGGCGGCGGTGGAATCTGCCAGCGGAAGAGGAGCTGCGGCTCGGGGAGATGTACGTGCTGCACTCCGCTGAGCTGGCGAGCGTCGAGGACGTGTTCGCTGACGTGGCGAACCGCGTGCAGACTAGGGTAAGGGGGAACGTTCAAAATGAGTACCCCAATGCAATGCAAGTGAAATGCTATCGCTTTCCTTTGAGCTCCCCTGGCGCACTCACCATCCGCCCCTCTCCATCTTACCCCCCTCCCCGCATCCGCGCATGTTTACGCGCAGGACCAGCCACAGCGGGAGCCGCGCAAGGCTCGCGGAGGCCATTCCCGCTCCAAGTCCGCTTCCCTCGTCGACGGTGGTTCGCTGGTGGGAACCGAACACGCGGAATGGCATGATGCCTTAGTTTCCGCCGGAACTCGCGGCGGTGGCGCTGGCGGAAGGCACAAGGGCAGCCGACCGCGGAGGGTGCGCGCAGTGGGGGAAGGGAGGCGCGCGGAGCGCCAGATCCCAGAAAACGACACGCGGCACGCCAACGCAGTGGCTGCGGCTGTAGCCGCGGAGAGCTCCCTCGAGACCTCCGCGGGATACAGCGCCAGAAGCCTCCCCCACAGCCCCTCGTCCTCCCCCTCCCCCCCACTCTCCCCTCGCCTTTCCCCTCCCCGCGCCCGCCACGGCCAGCGTCACGCGCGCGGGCTTCCCCCACGCGTTACGTCGCGCCTGGCGCAAGCGCACGGGCATTGCAGGCGCGCATCCATAAACGCGCTCCCCGTGGGGGAAGGAGGGGAGGAGAGACGGGCGGAGACACGAACAGGCAGGGAGGAGCAGCGACGAGAGGGTTACCAGGTAACGAGCGGAGTGTTGTTCGGAATCTCGGATGGTGATAGCAGCGACGGGTCAATGGTGCTGACGTCACCGAAGATTGACATCTCGGATGTGATTGGCTACGACGTGTCCCCTGTGTCGTCACCTGAGGGCGAAGGCGAGCGTGGGCGCGGAGCGCATGGGCGGGGAGAGAAAGCGGGGAGAGAGCAGCGACGTGGGGGCGCACAGGTGCACGCACATGCGCGCGACACTCGCGAGTCTTCTGGTGGGTGCAGCAACAGCGGGTGCCGCGCGGAGGGGATGCGCGGGGAGCGCCAGCCATTACACTCCGCGGAAAGGGAGCCACTCCATTCCGCCCATCTCCCACGCGGCACTGCGAGTAGAACTGGTGCGGGTGGCGCGGGGAGAGAGGCGGAGCAGCGAGGGCGGGCGCGGGCAGGGGAGAGGGGGGTGGCGGGGGAGGCGAAGGGGCAGGGGGAGGTTTCAGCCGCGTTGCAGGCGCATTTGCAGTGGGGGAACGTGGCGGGGAGTGGGGGGAGGAGAGCGGTGAGGGGAGGGCGGCCAGTGGGGCGTAGTGTTTCCGCGGAGGAGGAGGGGGGACCTATCGTGAGGGCCAGGAGGGAGGGTTGGAGTGTGGGAGAGGTGTGGGAAGAGAGAACGGAGGAGGAGGAACAGGATGAGGAGGAAAATGGGGAGGAAGAGGAGGAAGAAGAAGACGAGGAGGAGGAACAGGAAGAGGACGAGGAGGACGAGGAGGAGGAGGAGGAGGAGGAAGAGGAGGAAGAGGAGGAGGAAGAAGAAGACGAGGAGGAGGAAGAAGAGGAGGAGGGGATGAAGGTCAGGGAGGGGGGGAAGCAGTCAGAGGCGGCATTGCAGTGCACGTCCCTCGACCATCCCGCTCAGCCTCTCTTCTCCGCCTGTGCCGCCCTCGCCCACGCCGTTCTGCCCCCCACCTCCTCCCCCAGGCCTCTTCCGGACGAAGGGGATGGGCAGACGCGGGTGGCGGACGGCGAGAGGGAAGGCAGAGGGGCAGGCGAGGGGGAGGGGGACGGGGCAGGTGAGGGGGAGAGAGCAGGGAAGGGGCAAACAGAGGGGAGTGTGGATGGAAGCAGCAGCAGCGGAGGCAGGCGAAAGGTCAAGCGGGGGAAAGAAGCGAAGCAGGTGAGAGGAGAGGCGGGAGGGGAGGGGGATGGAGCGACGGGCATGGCTTCTAGTGGCTTCAAGCGCAGTAGCAAAGCGGGCGGAGGCAAGGGAGTAACGGGGAGAAGAGGGGAAAGTGGGAGAAGAGGAGGAAAAGGGGGAGCAGGTGCAGAGGAGACAGCAGCAGCAGGGAGCAACTGGGAAGTGGCGAGTGGGGCAGCGCAGCGCAGGAAGCAGAAGGGCAGCAGCAGCCGCACGGCACAGAGCGCAGCAGCAGAGAGCAGAGGTGCAGTGAGTGTGGGCGAGTATGTGCGGTCAGCTTCGATGCGCTCCGAGGTGCTGCTGCGCTCGCCTGACATGCTGGCTGACATGCCACTGCTGCGGGAGGATAGGGGGCAGGGGCGCGCAGCAGTAGCAGGAGGGCCGCTGGGGACAGCGGGAAAAAGGGCAGGAGGTGGAGCAGGGGGGGCAGCAACAGGGGGAGCAGCAGGGGGGAGAGCAGCAGCAGGGGGAGCAGCAGGGGGGAGAGCAGCAGCAGGGGGAGCAGCAGCAGGGGGGAGAGCAGCAGCAGGGGGAGCAGCAGCAGGGGGGGCAGGGGGAGGAGGTTCGGGAGGGACTGGGGAGAAGAGCAAGGGGGCAGGCGGCGCAAGGGCTCATTCGTGGACGAGGAGTTTGGAACGATTCTAGAGGAGTTCATGCCGGTGGGGACCGGTGGGGGGCGGGTGGGGGGTGCGTGCCACAGCAAGGCGCTGGTGAGTGCTCTGGCTGCTGCTGCTGCCACGCCTGCTCTGCTGCACACTCCCAGTGGCAGACTGCTGCACACCCCCAGTGGCCGACTCGTGCCTAACCCCACTGCTCCCAGTGCCACCAGCAGCGGCAGACTGCAGTGAGGGCACGGCACAAGGCGGCGCTGACTACTGGAGGGCCACAGCAAGGCGGTGTGTGAATGCCGTGTCTGCCGCACCCGCGCTGCTGCACACTGAATGCAGTAGACTGCCTCACACACACACCCTCCCAGTGGCCGACTGGTGCCCTCCCCCGCTTCTCCCAGCACTACTTGCAGCAGCAAACTGCAGAGAAGACAGCTGAGAGGTGGTGAGGTGCAGGAACTTGAGTTGTTCAGTTAACAACATTCTGTTCCATGCTGTGCCTTGCTAACTTGAAGTGGCTACAACAGGTGCATGCAGTCCCATCCCATCACGTGCCAGGTACCGTAGCACGGTGCGGTAGCAGGCATGTGAGCGGTAACAGGCACTTGCGTATGTATGCTGCTTTTGCTAACTTGAATTGTCCAGTAACATTCTGTGCCACACTTACATATGGTGTACCAGGAAACACAGGGGCCTGCACTTTACCCCTGGCTTGGCATATTAAAGACCTGAAAACTTAAAGCGTATTCCTATCCTCGTATCAAGAGAACCTCATATCAAGAATGTACTTTTTGCCTGGTAAAACTAGCGAGAGGTTTTGGGTTTAGGGGAATTTTCAGTGGGAGGTTGATATGAGGTATTCTTGATATGAGGATAGGAATACGCCCTTAGTTTGGCTGATTACCCCTGAAGCAAGAAACACTGGCAGCATAGCATTACAGGAGTCAGTTTGCACGCATGCATCCAAGCTAAACTAGGCAGCACCCACATCTCCTCTACACATCCTCTGCACCTAACATCGCCTGACCCATCCTAAGAATAAAACAAGCCTACTATGATCAAAGCAAGCGCTGCGCTTGCCTTCTGGTTAGCGCGTACCATCATCCGCTGGAGACCTAAAGTGGGAGAGAGGAAAGAGGGCATCTCCTCAGTCCATCCTCCCTCCCCTTGAACCTCACATGGCCGTTTTGAACACGATGCATCGCCTCGACTCCGGGAACTCCTTGTTGCCATCCCCGGGATTCAGATTAATCACACTCGTCTCGTTATAAGCCAGCTGCAGCGACTGTAGCTTCACGCGCACGCACGCGCCATCATAAAACTCCATCATGCTCTCCCCGTCCGTGGCCCTCCTGTGAAGCCGCCCTATCTGTCCCGTCACGTAAAACATCTCCCTGTAGCTCGCCGGTGCTGACGTGTAGTCCACACAGGACAAAATCTGCAACCGGTTGTGGTCCACCGAGTCCACCTCCACGTACTTTCCGGGCGGCAGCTTGTTTGTCTTTAGCGCCGGGCTGATGGCCGAGTCGGCAACAGTGCCGTTGAGGTGGAAGAGAGGCACGGCGGTCTGATGCTGCTCGAAGTAGAAGTCGCAGAGAGACAGGGGGTTAGCCGGACACATAATCTTGCATGGTCCCGTAGGCTTGGGGAACTCAGCAGGGGGAATGGGCGCGGGGGGAGCCTCGGGGGAACCCTCGGGGGGAGACTCGGGGGGAGATTCGGGGGGAGTCTCGTCGGGGGAGTTTGGGGTGGACTGGGGGGTGACTGGCCCGGAGGGGGAAGGTGTGGGCGGGGGTGGGGAGGACGTGCGGGGCGGGGGCGACTGGGTTTTGGTGGTTGCCAGGGGGGGAATGAGTACCTGCGCGTGCGGGGGCGTGGGCGGGCTGTCGGGGGAGCCTGGGGGGGAGGGGGATGGGGATTCCTCTCCTGGCGCGGCGGGGGATCCCGGAGCACGAGGGGAGGGGGAGGGCTTGAGCGGGGAAGGCGGCTGCAAGGTCTGAATCTTCGTCAAGGGGGATGGTCGGGGGTCCCGGGGGAGGAGGGGGAGTCGGGGGAAGGGGGAGACGAGGGGGAGTGGGAGGGCGGGCTGTCGGTACTCGTCTTGCGCGAGGGCGGGGAAGAGGAAGGCGGAGAGTCTTCTCCTGGCGGGCTGTCGGGGGAAGACGGCGGAGAGCCAGGCGCGCCGGGCGCACCAGGCGCGGAAGGCGGGGAAGGCGCGGACGGGCGCACGACGAGATCCCCGGGCGGGGAGCCGACGGCTTGCGCGAAGACGGGCTGACGGCCGCACGACACGGACTGCGGCGCGACGGGGCCGGTCTTGAAGACGACGCAGCGGCGCGCGTCGGGGTAGTCGTGCTGCAGCGCGTCGCCCGGCGCGGTGTTGACCACCGAGCCGTTGGGCGCCGGGATCTGCGCGTTCACGATCCACAGCTTCACGCACCGCGACTCGAACTTGTCGCGCGGCGCGGACAGCTGCGGGTGGGCGGGGAGGGGGCGAGGGGCGACGGGGGTGAGCAAGGATAGCAACATTGACTCATCGACTCGCCGCCGCGCTGAGAGCACGCAAGTGAATTTCTCAAGAATAAATGATAAAATACAAAATTGCGAATGCGCGGACGCCGTGGGCTTACCGTTTGGAAGGTGCGGACGTGCAGCGTGGATTGCTGCTTGGTCAGATAGAACTGGCTGTCGTCGCCGCGCACGCCGTCCATAGGGCACAGGAACTGCGCCGCGCCGCTGCGATCCACCTCGATTATCTGCTGAATGCGGCTCGACACCAGCGGCGGGCTTATAGCGGTATCGGGTGTGACGTTATCGAGGCGGAAGACGGGCACGTCCTCGGGGTGTCCTTCAAAGTAGAAGTCGCATTGATCCAGCGGCGCCGCGGGACAGCTCTCCTCCTCGTACGCGCTACTGACGGCCTCTTTTTTGGCGCCACCCGTTACAGTCTTGGATTTGTTACTGCCTGATGAGGCGCCGCCGCTGCTGGAGGCGTCAGGGTAATCAGAGTCACCCGCGTCGGTATCAGGTTCGGCGTCAGGGTTGGCGTCAGTGTCGGCATCAGGTTCGGCGTCAGGTTCGGCATCAGGTTCGGCATCAGCGTCGGCAGTGTCGGCAGCATCGGCGTCAGCATCGATATCGGCGTTGGCAACAGCGTCGGCATCGCCGCTGGTCATTGATTTCGCGTCCGCCAGTTTCGACGCCCCGCTCTCATCGGCGCCGATCGCGGCCTTCATACCATCGTCCGCAGCTGTAGCCTTGGCCTCGCCCTTCGTCTCGCCCTTCGTCTCGCCCTTCGCATCGGTAGCCTTTGCGACGCCCTTAGCCGTGGTCCCGTTCTTGCAATCTGTAGCCTTCGCATCGATCGCCTTCTCGTCGCCCTTCGCATCTGTCGCCTTCGCGTTGCCCTTCGCATCTGTCGCCTTCGCGTCGCCCTTCACATCGGTCTCCTTCGCATCGGTCGCCTCGATGTCGCCCGCTTCATCCGCAGCCGCCACGACGCCCTTGGGACTGAGATCCGCTTCGGAGCTCGGAATCTTAACGGATGTCGCTATAGCGGGAATCTCCTTGCCGGTGACTCTCACGTCGTCAGTAACGAGGATGTCATTCTCAATATCGCGGACGTCCTGGCCCTTAGTCCCCGCGGCTTTGATCACCGTGTTGGGCGTTTCCACACTCCGCACGCCAGCAATTTTCTCCGCGGGTTCCGCGTCGCCGTCAGCCTTCTCCCCCGCAGTCTTCCCGACGGGCGGAACCGCTTGCGCCGAAGCGTCCGCTTGGTTGTGCGCCTCCATGCCCTGCAGCTGCGCGAGGTGCGCCATGTGCGCCAGATGCGCCATATGCGCCACGTGGTGGAAGTGGAAGTACTTGTCTCCGTCCTCCTCCGTCAGACTTGACGGATCCGTCTCCGTCAGCATCTGGACGTTCGCCTCCGTCAGCACCTCCGCGCCTTCGTCGCTCAGCTTCTTCAGGTTCTCCGCCGTTAGCTCCGCCTCCATCTTCGCCTCTTCCGCCGCGCTCAGCCGCACGGTCTTTGTCTCCGCGGGCGCGGGGGCGGACTTGGGGGAGGGCGCATGCTTTGGAGCGAGAGACGGCTTCGGAGGAAGAGCAGGCTCGGGTGCACCAGCTGCTTTGACGGAGGCAGAGGGCTTAGGAGCGTGAGCAGGTTTGGGAGCGAGAGCAGGTTTCGGAGCGAGAGCAGGTTTGGGAGCGAGAGCAGGTTTGGGAGCGAGAGCAGGTTTGGGAGCGAGAGCAGGTTTAGGAGCGAGAGCAGGCTTGGGAGCGAGAGCAGGCTTGGGAGCGAGAGCAGGCTTGGGAGCGAGAGCAGGTTTGGGAGCGAGAGCAGGCTTGGGAGCATCAGCAGGTTTGGGAGAAGGGGCCGGTCTGGAAGAAGAAGCCGATTCGTGGGTGGAAGGAGGCTTGGAGGAGGGCGGCTCAGCGGACGCGTGGGATAGGAGCAGTAGTAGACACGCGCAGGCCGCGACGACCTGGTAATTTGTTCGCCCCATGGCGCCTACCTGCTAGAGTCTACGAGGTATCGATCGGTATGTATGGGTATCTGTCACACGTCCTAAGTGCTTGCGAGCGGAACCCGTGGTCCCGTCACTAGGAAGGAGCGCTACTGTATCTCTGGGACGAGTTTCGATGAGGTAGCCTCGCAAAGAAACTGAATTTAGAAGCTCATGCTTGGAGACAATGTGGTGAGAATTGTCTGTCTCACAAGGATGAGGTTGTCTGAGAGGGTGAGTAGGCGGCGAGAGATGTTCGTCCTGTGAAGAGGTCCCAACAGGAATTCAAGGACAGAATACTCGGCGACGCGCCGAAAAACAACGAGATTGCAGAACGAACGCGAAGGGTTTGTGCGGAGCGAGTTACGCCCGCCTGACTCGACGCCTGGTCCATTTCCCCGCCACTGTCTTGTAGCCATGGCGGACGGATCACCGCGTTGACTGGGCGCACCTGCAGCTGGTGTTATCTGGGCGCGCCAGGCAGTCGATGTGACGGGGTGGGCAGAGGATGACCTGCCGAGGCGCTGAAAGTCGAATTCAAATGTCCCGCCACTTTCCCAGGGACCTGCTGAGCGCTTTTGCATGCGATTGGACAGGTGCTTTCGCTTTGAAAATTGTCAGGGCCGTGCCAGCAGATTGCAGTGAGACTCGACATTGCGTGCAGTTTGTACTTCATAGATACCTTAAAGTGTAAATTTGATGTATATGTATGTGAATAGCTACCATATAGGATTTTTGTGACATTGTTTCCCTTTGATAAGCTGTTTATATAATATATTTTAGGGGCCAATTCAATTATTCAGCTCTCAGGGCCGTAATTAATATATTCTATCACACCAAGATAACTTGTGCTGGGATACAAACCATCTATTGTGAAGTGTAAGGTAAGAGGTTTTGGATCCCACAATCGCAAGGCACCTCACTGAACCGGAAAAGAGGTACAGCCGAACCTCCGACGCAAAACAGGCATCGTTAGTAACCGCTCAAGCTCTCGGGAGGCACACACCGCACCACACTCTCCTGCTCAATTCTCCACCTACCGTGGCGCCTTCGACATGTTGAAGCGGCTTCGGCCTATTCCCAAGCAGAAGCAATGAGGTCTAACGGCCCACATGATGGGGCTTTAAGTACGCGATTAAAATCGTCCCCGCGAAGCTCGTCGCGACCTCGAGACGCGGCGACCGCTACCTCTGACGTCAGCAGCAGGGCTTCCAGTAGCAGCAGCGCAGTCGTTATCGGCGACAGAGGCGGCTCGAGTAACAGCAGCTTAATTACAATTGGGGACAGCGGCGACAGCTCCGTTAGCGTCAGAGTCAAGCCGTCAGCAGGTTTAGCCGGTGTGACACGTCATGCCAGCGGCGCTTCAGTAGAGCTTCAGATGCGGGAAGGAGGAGATGACGTCAGACCTGACATTGATGGCGTCACTCGTCGTGCTGACGAGGTTCGCTTCAGCGAGCGAGAGAGTGGAGAGAGGGGAGAGGGGGGAGAAGGGGTAGAGGAGGACGTGCGGCCTTTGATTGAAATACCCGAGAGACACGCAGTAGGGTTGAGCGAGAGGCATGGCGGTAGCGCGTACAGCAGCGCCAGAGAGACGGACTCAGAGATTGACGAGGCGAGTGATGGGGGAAGGGGAAGGGCGGGGGAGCGGCGGACAAGGAGGGTGCGGGAGAGACGGTTTGAGCGGAGCAAGTCGGGGGACGGAATAGCGGCTCAGAATTGGCTGGCTGCCGCTGCTGCTGGTGCCGCTGGTACTGGTGGTGGTGGTGGTGGTTCAGTTACAGGAGCCGCTGTGACTGGTGCGGGTGGCGGCGGAAGCGTGAAGGCGAGCGTGGGGTGGGGAGGGGTGCGCGTGCGCGTGTGGTGCGACCCTCGTAGCCTGTGGCCCGTGGCACGCGTGCTGGTGCTGCTGCTGCTCTGGTACTCCTTCAGCACCGCGCTCAGCCTGTAAGCACCGCGCTCAGCCTGTAAGCACCGCGCTCAGCCTGTAAGCACCGCGCTCAGCCTGTAAGCACCGCGCTCAGCCTGTAAGCACCGCGCTCAGCCTGTAAGCCTTCTCTCCATACCGAGTTAAATCCTAATCCTTTCTTCCGCACCTCTTCTGTGGTCCGTGGCATGTGTGCTGGCTCTTCTGCTGCTCCCTCTTCCTTACTCGAGTCAAAAGTCGCCTCTCCTTCCTCTCCCTTCCCCCTCACCCCCCCACCCCAATCAGGTACAACAAGATGCTGATAGGGCAGCAGCACGGCCGCTTCCCCGCGCCACTGCTGCTGACCGCCTTCCACTTCGCGCAGCAGGCGCTCATAGCCTTAACCTCTCTCTTCCCCCCACCCAACCCCCTCTCCGGGTCTCCCTGCCCACACCCCAAACCCCCAGGTACAACAAGATGCTGATAGGGCAGCAGCACGGCCGCTTCCCCGCGCCCCTGCTGCTCACTGCCTTCCACTTCGCCCAGCAGGCGCTCATGGCCTCCGCGCTGCTGCACTCCGCCTTCCCCTCCGCGCTGCCCCCGCTCCCCCTCTCCTCCCATGACTACTGCCTCCGAGGTGCGCCCCTGCCCCTCCTCCCAGGTGTGCCTCTTGCCACTCCCCTCCGCCTACTCTATTTTCCCCGCTGCTCTCTCACACCCTCTGCCCTTGCCCGCTCTGCACTCCTTTGCCCTCTGCTCGGCTTGTCTCTTCCACTTGCCTGCTATTCTCGTCTCACCTCCCCGTCCTATCCACTCTATTCGTGCAATGGGTGCTCGCATTGGCACGTGTGCTATCCGATGCCATTGTTCCTGCATGTCATGTCATGGCATGGTATGTCCTTGCATTATTCCTCTCCTCTCAATGATGTCGTGTGCTGGCATGGCATGTCATGACATGGCGTGGCATGGCATGGCATGGCGCTCATGTACCGGTGGGGCAACGAGCAGTCATTCCCACAGCGGTGGCAACAGCAGTGGACATCGCTCTCTCTAATCAGTCCCTCGCTTATATCACACTCACCTTCTACACCATGGTACGGTGTGACTCATCATCGTTCATCACTACTCACTATCACTCATCATCGCTCATCATCACTCATCATCACTCATCATCACTCATCATTATTACACCAGTCACGCACGCATGCATCACACTTTCTGCCGTTATCCCTCTCCTCCATCCCCGCTCCGGTTTTCCCCCCCACACCCCACGGACACACGCACCCCGTTTGCTTTTCCATCCCCTGCCTCGCTTCCGCCGCTCACAATCACTCCCCTCCCCACTCCCCTCCCCACCGTGTTGTTTATCCCCCCATCCCCACCACCCGGCAGTGCAAGTCCAGTGCGCCCATGTTCCTGCTGCTCTTCGCCTTCATCTTCAGGTGCGACTAATTTGAGGCCACTGCAAGTGTGTTCTGGGATTACAATTTCTAAGTCAAGATGCGACTTAAGTGTGTGGAAGTGTGTTTTGATTGAATGCCTTCCCTGTTTCCGCCCAACCACATCTCTGCACTGCAACGCCCAGTACCTGCATCTCTGCCTCTGAGCGCCTCAGTATAGCCTCCTTCTGTCTCCTTGCTGCTCTGCGCATGCCCCCATGCCACCAAATCCACGCAACCCCTTGCCGCGCCACGCCACGCCACGGGCGACAGATTGGAGCCCATCAGCTTCCGTCTCATCGGAGTCATGATGCTCATCTCCGTGGGCGTGCTCTTCACAGGTCAGCCGCTTCTCTCATACTCATCGCCTTCTGAATCTGCTCCCTTCTCGCCCAGCGTCTCTCCCGCCTCACCTTGCATCCCCTCTCATCGGAGTCATGATGGCCATCTCTGTGGGCGTGCTCTGCACAGGTCAGCCAGTCAGTCTGTCGCTACTCCGATACTCATCTCCTTATGAACGCCCTCCTTCCCTCTCATTCTTGCATGCCACTAGCCCCTCCCCTCTGTACTCGTTTCACCCAACATCTCCTCTTCCTCCTCCACAAAACTCATCATCACTCACTATCCTCTTCTGTTTCTATACATGTGCATTTGTGCATGTGTGCATGCGTGTGCGCTGATGGCAGTGGCGGGCGAGGCATCGTTCCACCTGTGGGGATTTGTGCTCGTCATGCTCTCTGCCATGGCATCAGGCCTGCGATGGGTGCTCATCCAAGTGCTGCTGCAGGTCAGGTGATGATGCTGCTGCAGCTGGGGTGGGGTTGCTGCAGCTGGGGTGGGGTTGCTGCAGCTGGGGTGGGGTTGCTGCAGCTGGGATGGGGTTGCTGCAGCTGGGGTGGGGTTGCTGCAGCTGGGATGGGGTTGCGGGTTTCCCGGTTTAACGGTTTCCCGGTTTCCCGGTTGCCCGGTTTCCCGGTTGCCCGGTTTCCCGGTTGCCCGGTTTCCCGGTTGCCCGGTTTCCCGGTTGCCCGGTTCCCGGCTGCCCGGTTCCCGGCTGCCCGGTTCCCGGTTGCCCGGTTCCCGGCTGCCCAGTTCCCGGTTGCCCGGTTCCCGGTTTCCCGGTTCCTCGTGCGGGCTTTCCCCTTCGGGCTTTCTCCGTGCAGGCTTTCCCCTTCTTTCCCCGTGCGGGCTTTCCCCTTCGGGCTTTCTCCAGGTGGGGTGGGGTTGTTGCAGGTGGGGCGGGTTGCTGCTGCTGCAGGTGGTTGTGCGGTGGTATAGTGTGGAACCAAGTCAGGTCTGTTGGCATGGTTTCCTGGAGATTTGTAGGAGATTTGTAGCATAGTCTGTTGTGCCCCATCCCGTGCCATGCTAAAGTTGTATCCGAACACATACATGCATACACTCTAGAACCTTAACCCTCACTCCCCTTTCGTTGTGCCTATGCTGCCCTCCCCACTGCCCTTGCCACTGCCCTCCCCATTGCCCTCCCCGTTTCCCTCCCCATTGCCCTCCCCTCCCCACTGCCGTCCCCATTGCCCCGTTGCACACGCCATGACTCGCCCCAAGCCCACCCTCTCTTCTCCCAGAAAGATCGCCTCGGTATGTTCCCTTTTTCAAGCCCCCTCCTCCCCTCCTTCGCTCCTGCCCTTCCCGTGTATTTCCATGCCTCTGTCTGTTTCTCGTGACCCTGGCCTGGTCATTTCCCTTGCGTTGTGTGTGGCATGCTCTGCTCCTTGCTGTGTCGCTGGGCTTTTCACTGCTGCACTCTGCACCTCACTCCTTCATCACGCCCTCTTCATCGCACTTCTCCCAATTCCACTCCCCTCCATTACCTCCCCCATCCCACACCCCCCCAATGCAGGTTTGAGCAGCGCGCTGGTGTCACTAGCTAGCGTACATCACCCCAACCATGGCCATCGCCTTCTGTCTCTGCTCCTCTAACCCACACCCCTCATTTTTCCTCGTCCCCTCATGATCATGCAGGTCTGAGCAGCGCGCTGGTGTCGCTAGCATACCTCACGCCCCCCATGGCCGTCACCTGCGCTCTCTTCTCGCTCGCCCGCGAGCCGCTCGCCTCGCTGCCCACCTCGCCCTACTTCTCCCCGCCCGAGCACCTCGCGCCCACCATGCTGCTGCTGCTGCTGGGAGGCGTGCTCGCCTTTCTCATGGTACGCCCCAGGCATCTGTTCGCCCTTGCTCCTTCACTGTGTCTTATGCTTCTCCTGCCGCTGCTGCAGCCGCTCCTCATGCTATGCCTGCTTGCCTGCTTCATGGGATGCCTCGCTGCCCACCTCGCCCTGCTTCTCCCCGCCCTCACAACTCGCACCCACGATGCTGCTTCTCCTGCTAAGAGGGAAGCTCGCCGTTCTCATGGTATGGCGGAGGCAATGCGCTGCCCCTAGTTCTTCCCCGTACCTTGTGCTGCCGCTGCTTGCAGGCGTGCTGCGCTGCTTGCAGGCGTGCTCGCCCTCTTCACGGTAGCAGGCCGCCTTGCCCTCTTTCCTCATGTTAGGCCTCAGGCATTGGGCTGCCCTTCTTGGTCCATGATACATGATGCTGCTCCTGCCCTTGGGTGGGGCGCTGCCGTCCTTATCGCACACTACCATTACCACTACCATTACCACTACCACTACCATTACCACTACCATTACCACTACCATTACCACTACCACTACCATTACCACTACCATTACCACTACCACTACCATTACCACTACCATTACCACTACCACTACCATTACCACTACCATTACCACTACCACTACCATTACCACTACCATTACCATTACCACTACCACTACCATTACCATTACCATTACCATTACCAGTACCATTACCATTAGAATTACAATTACAATCACCATTACCATTACCACTACCATTACCACTACCATTACCATTACCATTACTATTACCATTACCATAGCATTACCATTAGCATTACCATTACCACTACCATTACCACTACCACTACCATTACCATTACCAATCGCATTACCATTACCATTACCACTACCACTATCATTAACCACTAATATTACCATTACTACTACAATTATTTCTGCTCATCCTGCACACCAGCGCAGTCACCTTCTCTCAGTCAACTCTATATTCCCCCCCTTTCGCCCCCCGTTTCTTCCCTTTCTCTCCCCACCACCACCCCATCAGATCATGTCGGAGTTTCTGCTCATCCTGCACACCAGCGCCGTCACCTTCTCTGTGGCTGGTACAGTGAAAGAAGGCGCCACCATTCTGGTGAGCATGCAGGGAGAGGGCTCACCCTGGTGAGTGGAGAGACCAGGTTGGACCAGGGACTTGGATTCCCCTCATCCTGCACACCAGCGCCGTCACCTTTTCTGTGGCCGGTACAGTCAAAGAAGGCGCCACCATCTTGGTGAGTCAATGCCTAGGGGTAGGGCTCATACTGTTAAGTGGTGAGTGGAGGGGTAGGGCTCATACTGGTAAGCGGTGAGTGGAGGGGTAGGGCTCATACTGGTAAGCGGTGAGTGGAGGGGTAGGGCTCATACTGGTAAGCGGTGAGTGGAGGGGTAGGGCTCATACTGGTAAGCGGTGAGTGGAGGGGTAGGGCTCATACTGGTAAGCGGTGAGTGGAGGGGTAGGGCTCATACTGGTAAGCGGTGAGTGGAGGGGTAGGGCTCATACTGGTAAGCGGTGAGTGGAGGGGTAGGGCTCATACTGGTAAGCGGTGAGTGGAGGGGTAGGGCTCATACTGGTAAGCGGTGAGTGGAGGGGTAGGGCTCATACTGGTAAGCGGTGAGTGGAGGGGTAGGGCTCATACAGTGAAAGAAGGCGCCACCATCCCGGTGAGCATGCTGGGGGAGGGGGGGGTCATCCTGGTGAGTTGACGCGTAGGTTGCTGTTTCTGCTCATCGGCGTCTCACATCGCATCCAACCACTTGCAACCCTTCACACTCCCCTCCCTCTCCCTCCTACGCCCAGGTGTCCCATCTGGTGTTCTCGGACCGCTTCACGCGTGTGAACCTGGTGGGCCTGCTCATCATCATGATTGGTGTTTCGCTCTTCAACCTGCACAGGTGATTACCTGCACTAGTAACCACCCACATGTACCCACCTGCAGGTACAATAGCTGTTGCTGCAGGCAGAAACACGACTTTCCCTTGTGCTTTCTTACCAGTCCGCACTGCTGCCTGCCATCAATTCGCAACCAAACGCTGCTCCTGTCTCCCCGCATCTTCCTCTATACACCCCTCTCCCCCCTTCCCCTCCCCCCCAACCCCCCCCCATCCCCCCCCCTTTCCCCTCAGGCTGTCTCGTCCCCCGCGGATACAGCGTGGTGCAGCGCCTCTCACACCCACCACCCCCAACGCTGCTCTCACTCCCACCTCTGTACCCACCACCCCTAACGCCTCACCCCTACACCAACCCCAATCTCACCACCAGCCCCACCTTCATCCCCCTCCGCCCTGGCCCTCCTCATCTGCCACCCGCCTTCCCACCCGCTCCCCTCGCTTTCACCCTCCCTCCCTGTACCTATCCTCCCCTCCTCCTGCTGCTTCCTCTGCCGCGCGTCCACCTGCTGCTGCCGCCAGCGTTAGCACTAGTAGCAGCGCTATCAGCAGTCCCGACAGCAGCACCATAAGCAGCACTAACAGCCATTCTAACAACCGTAACAGCAGCAGTAGCAGCAGTGGTGGCAGTGATGTGAGCAGAGCAAGGGACAGTGGCAGTGGCAGCAGGGGCGAGAGCTCTGCTGTAGGGGTGAACTCTCCAGGTTTGAGAGTTGTGTGCGAGGAGGAGAGGGAGGAAGAGTGGGGGGAGGAATCACAGCCGTTGTTGCTTGATGGCAGCAGTAACCACATACGCTCGTAGCTTTATGTTGATTCTCCATGTCAGGTGTAACGTTTAAGTACAGCTGTTATCTACCGTACCTTCCACACCACCGTGACCACACCACCATGACCACACCACCATGGTGCTCAGAGCACCGATTCTTGCAGGCTCCTTGCAGCTGCAGCCTGCAGGCGCAATCAAGCACCAAGAATTTGCACATGTACACATGTACCGTAGCAGAGCAACCACATGCACACATACCTAAAGGGCTGGCTTGGCTTCTCGGTGCACTGGTATTGACACGATGAGTGCCTGGCTATGCTGAGTTATGATTTGTGCACTCTCCTCGACATGCGCACATGACACTAATAGGAGCAAACCAGCAAGCTCTGCCGCACATGGTTGCATGCATGGTGGTCTGGATGGCAGTCATGCCTCTGGTCTTGCTCATTCGACGCAAATTTCTCATGAGCCATTTCTTTGGAAGAACAGTGATCTTTCTCTGATTCTACGCTTGTGGTACTCAGGATATGCAGATTATTCGAAAGCATGAGACTAAGGCATTTCCAGCTGGCTAGAGAACCAACCCGAGGGCCTCACCCCCTGGCAACCATGCCCTCCCCTGGCATGTGAGGGCGGTCACATCACATGAAGTAGGAGAGCGGGGTGATCTTGCGGGAGGCGCCCTCCCCAAACTGCTCGTTCCACTGCATCAGCTCCATCATTGCTGCTGCATCGCTGCTCACACTCGCACGCACCTGCCAGGCACGGTGAGAGGGGGAACACATGCCAGGAACAGGGAGATAAAGAATGTATCACAATGTGGTTGCATATGTGCTGCTCGTTCTACTGCATGAGCTCCCTGCATCGCTGCTCACACCCGCACGCTCCTGCCAGGCACAGCGAGTACAGAACACCGGAGTGCGTGTGTGTGTGTGTGTGTGGCGCATGTTACAATGGTCACATGGCATGAAGAACCACTATATCATGCCACCATCATGACATGGCAGCACTGCAACACGGCAGCATGACCCACCTTCTCCATGGCTTTCCGCATGTCCTCCATGCTGATTGGCCGCAGGCATGGTGCAGCGGCAGGGGAAGCCGGGCCTTGAGAGGCATAGTCAGCACCACCAGCGTCGCCCTCCCGCCTGCCCTCTGCGCCTCCCTCTCTCCTCTCCACCTCCTCTTTTTCCTGCAAGAAACCCCCAGTGGAAAGGTGGAAGTTCAAGTGGTCAGTGGTGCTGTATCAAGGGTACAAGGGATTGAAAGTGGAAGCCAAGACACGCAAGTGCTTGTGTTGACATTCTAGTTAGGACATGACATGGTCTGTCGGAGAATTGCCTCATCCTTGCAACCTGCTCTTCTTCTTGTTACTCCCTTGCCTTCCTTCTGATGTTCATGAAAGAGTTTCCTCCCTCACCCCGTAGGTCCTCCCATAGTGGCGTGCCACCGGATGCTAGATCTAAGGTAACAGCTTTCCACTAATATGAGAGAATAACAGGAGAAAAGCAATGATAGGGTGCAGGCTTCTGAATTTACCTGTGCTTGGCTCAGTCGCACACTTCCCAATGTGCGCCTCGAGCCAGGCCCAGTTTCTCCAGATTGGTTCATTGGATTCCCACCCCTCGATGTTTCCTCTAACCCTTCCCAACAACTTCGCCTCAACCTCCCCTAGACCCCCCAGCAACTCACCCTCGAATTGCAATCACACAAATGACTACACCTGACTCTACACTTGCATCTACACCCATGCACAAACTGTTACCGCATATGCACGAAGTGCATATTCGGTGACAGGTCGTACGGCTGTGGTACGACCGACACATAAGCAACAGAGAGAAAGAGCAACGCACACGAACCCTTTCTGTGTCCCAACCCACGCACCCCTCACCTTCTTCTCCTTGTCCAGAAACTCCTTTATTCTGAGGAACGCTGCTGTCACACAGATTCCACTCACACACGGTAAGATGGTGCCTCTCTGTGTCCCAAGCACCCCACCCCTCACCTTACTCTCTCCGCCCCTCACCTTCTTCTCCTTGTCCAGAAACTCCTTTATTCTCAGAAACGCCGCTGTCACACACAGGTTCTGCTCACACACAGTGAGAGCATAAGGGAAGGGCAGGGACGACAGGTGGGGAGAAGCGGTGTTGGAGAGGGTGGTGTATGCAGGGGTTGATGTTTCCGTTGCTTGTGATTGGCGGAGCGTACGACGGTAAGAGATTTATCAAGTGAAGGGGGCGGTGGCAGTCGGTGGCAGGGCAGGAGCATTCGGTTTCGAGATGTGCGCAAACAGAGCCCACTCACCTTGAGGTCGCTGCCAGAATAGCCATCGGTGGCAGCAGCGAGCTCATCCGTGCTGAAGCCCGGCTCCACGTCCTCGTCCTTCAGAATCACCTTCAGGATCTTGGCTCGGTTGGTGCAGTCAGGCAGATCCACAGGGAATAATCCTACTGGAAGCATGGCAGCAACTCATCACACTACAATGGTCTCACCTTGAGGTCGCTGCCGGAGTACCCATCAGTGGCAGCAGCCAGTTCATCCGTGCTGAAGCCTGGCTCCACGTCCTCGTCCTTTAGAATCACCTTCAGGATCTTGGCTCGGTTGGTGCAGTCTGGTAGATCCACAAAGAGCCTGCGGGTACACGGAGGGGGGCACGAGAGGGGGGCACGAGAGGGGGGCACGAGAGAGGGTTCTATAAATGAGTTAGGTTCAAACTCCTCATCCCCAGGAAGCACCGACTCGCGTCGACTCCGCTCACAGCCCCCCAGGAAGCATCGACTCGCGTCAACTCCGCTCACAGCCCCCCAGGAAGCATCGACTCGCGTCAACTCCGCTCACAGCCCCCCCAGGAAGCATCGACTCGCGTCAACTCCGCTCACAGCCCCCCCAGGAAGCATCGACTCGCGTCAACTCCGCTCACAGCCCCCCCGGGAAGCATCGACCCGCGTCAACTCCGCTCACAGCCCCCCAGGAAGCATCGACTCGCGTCAACTCCGCTCACAGCCCCCCAGGAAGCATCGACTCGCGTCGACTCCGCTCACAGCCCCCCCGGGAAGCATCGACCCGCGTCAACTCCGCTCACAGCCCCCCAGGAAGCATCGACTCGCGTCAACTCCGCTCACAGCCCCCCAGGAAGCATCGACTCGCGTCGACTCCGCTCACAGCCCCCCCCGGGAAGCATCGACCCGCGTCGACTCCGCTCACAGCCCCCCCGGGAAGCATCGACTCGCGTCAACTCCGCTCACAGCCCCCCCCGGGAAGCATCGACCCGCGTCGACTCCGCTCACAGCCCCCCAGGAAGCATCGACTCGCGTCGACTCCGCTCACAGCCCCCCAGGAAGCATCGACTCGCGTCAACTCCGCTCACAGCCCCCCAGGAAGCATCGACTCGCGTCGACTCCGCTCACAGCCACCCCCGGGAAGCATCGACCCGCGTCAACTCCGCTCACAGCCCCCCAGGAAGCATCGACTCGCGTCAACTCCGCTCACAGCCCCCAGGAAGCATCGACTCGCGTCGACTCCGCTCACAGCCCCCCCGGGAAGCATCGACCCGCGTCAACTCCGCTCACAGCCCCCCAGGAAGCATCGACTCGCGTCAACTCCGCTCACAGCCCCCCAGGAAGCATCGACTCGCGTCGACTCCGCTCACAGCCCCCCCCGGGAAGCATCGACCCGCGTCGACTCCGCTCACAGCCCCCCCGGGAAGCATCGACTCGCGTCAACTCCGCTCACAGCCCCCCCCGGGAAGCATCGACCCGCGTCGACTCCGCTCACAGCCCCCCAGGAAGCATCGACTCGCGTCGACTCCGCTCACAGCCCCCCAGGAAGCATCGACTCGCGTCAACTCCGCTCACAGCCCCCCAGGAAGCATCGACTCGCGTCGACTCCGCTCACAGCCCCCCCCGGGAAGCATCGACCCGCGTCGACTCCGCTCACAGCCCCCCAGGAAGCATCGACTCGCGTCGACTCCGCTCACAGCCCCCCAGGAAGCATCGACTCGCGTCAACTCCGCTCACAGCCCCCCAGGAAGCATCGACTCGCGTCGACTCCGCTCACAGCCACCCCCGGGAAGCATCGACCCGCGTCAACTCCGCTCACAGCCCCCCAGGAAGCATCGACTCGCGTCAACTCCGCTCACAGCCCCCCAGGAAGCATCGACTCGCGTCGACTCCGCTCACAGCCCCCCCGGGAAGCATCGACCCGCGTCAACTCCGCTCACAGCCCCCCAGGAAGCATCGACTCGCGTCAACTCCGCTCACAGCCCCCCAGGAAGCATCGACTCGCGTCGACTCCGCTCACAGCCCCCCCCGGGAAGCATCGACCCGCGTCGACTCCGCTCACAGCCCCCCCGGGAAGCATCGACTCGCGTCAACTCCGCTCACAGCCCCCCCCGGGAAGCATCGACCCGCGTCGACTCCGCTCACAGCCCCCAGGAAGCATCGACTCGCGTCGACTCCGCTCACAGCCCCCCAGGAAGCATCGACTCGCGTCAACTCCGCTCACAGCCCCCCAGGAAGCATCGACTCGCGTCGACTCCGCTCACAGCCACCCCCGGGAAGCATCGACCCGCGTCAACTCCGCTCACAGCCCCCCAGGAAGCATCGACTCGCGTCAACTCCGCTCACAGCCCCCCAGGAAGCATCGACTCGCGTCGACTCCGCTCACAGCCCCCCCGGGAAGCATCGACCCGCGTCAACTCCGCTCACAGCCCCCCAGGAAGCATCGACTCGCGTCAACTCCGCTCACAGCCCCCCAGGAAGCATCGACTCGCGTCGACTCCGCTCACAGCCCCCCCCGGGAAGCATCGACCCGCGTCGACTCCGCTCACAGCCCCCCCGGGAAGCATCGACTCGCGTCAACTCCGCTCACAGCCCCCCAGGAAGAATCGACTCGCGTCAACTCCGCTCACAGCCCCCCCCGGGAAGCATCGACCCGCGTCGACTCCGCTCACAGCCCCCCCGGGAAGCATCGACTCGCGTCAACTCCGCTCACAGCCCCCCAGGAAGAATCGACTCGCGTCAACTCCGCTCACAGCCCCCCCCGGGAAGCATCGACCCGCGTCGACTCCGCTCACAGCCCCCAGGAAGCATCGACTCGCGTCAACTCCGCTCACAGCCCCCCAGGAAGCATCGACTCGCGTCAACTCCGCTCACAGCCCCCCAGGAAGCATCGACTCGCGTCGACTCCGCTCACAGCCACCCCCGGGAAGCATCGACCCGCGTCGACTCCGCTCACAGCCCCCCCCGGGAAGCATCGACTCGCGTCAACTCCGCTCACAGCCCCCCAGGAAGCATCGACTCGCGTCAACTCCGCTCACAGCCCCCCAGGAAGCATCGACTCGCGTCGACTCCGCTCACAGCCCCCCAGGAAGCATCGACTCGCGTCGACTCCGCTCACAGCCCCCCAGGAAGCATCGACTCGCGTCAACTCCGCTCACAGCCCCCCAGGAAGCATCGACTCGCGTCAACTCCGCTCACAGCCCCCCAGGAAGCATCGACTCGCGTCAACTCCGCTCACAGCCCCCCAGGAAGCATCGACTCGCGTCAACTCCGCTCACAGCCCCCCCGGGAAGCATCGACTCGCGTCAACTCCGCTCACAGCCCCCCAGGAAGCATCGACTCGCGTCAACTCCGCTCACAGCCCCCCAGGAAGCATCGACTCGCGTCAACTCCGCTCACAGCCCCCCAGGAAGCATCGACCCGCGTCAACTCCGCTCACAGCCCCCCAGGAAGCATCGACCCGCGTCAACTCCGCTCACAGCCCCCCAGGAAGCATCGACTCGCGTCAACTCCGCTCACAGCCCCCCAGGAAGCATCGACTCGCGTCAACTCCGCTCACAGCCCCCCAGGAAGCATCGACTCGCGTCAACTCCGCTCACAGCCCCCCAGGAAGCATCGACTCGCGTCAACTCCGCTCACAGCCCCCCCAGGAAGCATCGACTCGCGTCAACTCCGCTCACAGCCCCCCGGGAAGCATCGACTCGCGTCAACTCCGCTCACAGCCCCCCCGGGAAGCATCGACCCGCGTCGACTCCGCTCACAGCCCCCCAGGAAGCATCGACTCGCGTCAACTCCGCTCACAGCCCCCCAGGAAGCATCGACTCGCGTCAACTCCGCTCACAGCCCCCCAGGAAGCATCGACTCGCGTCGACTCCGCTCACAGCCCCCCCGGGAAGCATCGACCTGCGTCGGTAGCACACCTAGGCAGGGGCCTTCAGAAACACACCTAGGCAGGCGCCTTGAGTAACGCACCTATGATCATCAAGGTCGTGCGGGCGGTTGGTGGCACGGAGCACGAGGATGCCTAGAGAGGCAGCCAACAGGTATGCATGGCAAGAGAGTGCTTCAAACCAAGAGACCTCAGCGCAGCACGCACCTTCTAGGAAATCGTCGTCAAGGTGATGCGGGCGGTTGGTGGCACCGAGCACGAGGATGCGCTCGGCTTGCTTGGATTGGATGTTGAGAGGCAGCCAGCAGCCACACATGCCGTGAGACAGTGCTTCGATTCAAGACACCTCAGCCCACCAAGCACCTTCTGGGAAACCGTCTGGGCGGTTGGTGGCACCGAGCACGAGAATGATCAGAGGCGGGTTTGTAACAACCCAACTACCCTGGCCCAACTCAGCTCAACTCACCTCAGCCCACCACGCACCTTCTAGGAAATCTCCTGATGACGGCGTCGTCGAGGTCGTGCGGGCGGTTGGTGGCTCCGAGCACGAGGATGCGCTCGGCGTGTTTGGAGCGCAGCCCGTCCCACGCGGCCATGAACTCGTTCTTCAGCTTCCTCATTGCACTGTGCTCCGAGTCTCCTCCTCGCCGCCCCAACATGCTGTCCACCTGGAGATAGGGTCACAGGAAGGAGATAACAGGCGCACATGTGAAGGAGCCCACATGATATCTGCATGTTGATGCGTGCGCAGCATAGAACAAGAGGCAGTGCCATGCCATGCAGCTTAGCTATACGATCACCCAACCCAACCTATGAAGAGTGCGTGATCCTTCATGCCATCCATTACCGCGCACCCACCCATTTCCTCACCTCATCCACAAAGATGACACATGGCGAAATTTTACTGGCCAGTGTGAACACGGCCTTCACATACTTCTCTGCCTCTCCGAACCACTGGTGGTGTGAGAAGGGGAAGAGGGGAGAGGAAAAACTAGAAAGGTTCAGAACAAAGGACTGATGGAGATGTGGCCGGCAAGGGAAGCGAGCAGATCAGCTATGAAAAGCATCGTTAGCTTGTAAACACAGAGAGGAGCGGCGCAACACAAAGAGGAATGGAGGAGGTAGGGCGAGAGGTGCGAACCTTTGAGGCCATGGAGAGGGAGATGAAGCTGGCTCTCGACTCTGTGGCCACTACCTTGCCCAGCATCGCCTTGCCCACTATCAGTCAACCCACCAGCCGCATAGAGATGCGCAGCTTGAGCGAGAGGAGGAGCAGAGGCGGAGAGGACATAGAGGAAGAGAGGGGTACGGACCTTTGAAGCAACCGAGGCCATGGAAAGGCTGATGAAGTTGGCGCCTGACTCCGTGGCCACTGCCTTGCCCAGCATCGTCTTGCCCGTGCCCGGTGGACCGAACAGCAGCAGCCCCCGCACCGGCTGTGAAAGGAGGGGGCAGAAAGGGGTGGGGTAGGACGGCGGTTTGGGTATCACTGCAGGTAACCTCCCCCGGTCCCACCTTCCTGACTCGGTCACTACCGCCTTGCCCAGCATTGTCTTGCCCGTGCCCGGTGGACCAAACAGCAGCAGCCCGCGCACCGGCTGTGAAAGGAGGGGGCAGAGTGGGAGGGGTGTAGGAGGACGGTTGGGTGATGCAAGAGTGGCGGGGTATCACCTCAGGTAGCACCTCCCCACGGTGCCACCTCCCTGACTCCGTGGCCACTGCCTTGCCCAGCATCATCTTGCCCGTGCCTGGCGGGCCGAACAGCAGCAGCCCCCTCACCGGCTGTGAAAGGAAGGGGCAGAGTGTTGGGGGGGGGGGGGGGGTAGGAGGGCGGTTGGGTGAAGCAAGAGTGGCGGGGTACCACCGCAGGTATCACCTCCCCATGGTCCCACCTCCCTGACGTAACCACTGCCTTGCCCAGCATCGTCTTGCCCGTGCCCGGTGGGCCGAACAGCAGCAGGCCCCTCACGGGCTGTGAGTGGGATTGGAGTGAGAAAGGGAAGAGGAGGGAGCAGGGGTTGGGTGGTGCAAGAGTGGCGGGGTATCACCTCCCTGACTCAGTCGGTAGCAACTGCCTTGCCCAGCATCGTCTTGCCTGTGCCTGGTGGACCCAACAGCAGCAGCCCCCTCACCGGCTGTGAAAGGAGGGGACAGAGTGGGGGGGGGTAGGTGGGCGGTTGGGTGATGCAAGAGTGGCGGGGTATCACCACAGGTATCACCTCCCCTCGGTGCCACCTCCCTGACTCTGTAGCAACCGCCTTGCCCAGCATTGTCTTGCCCGTGCCCGGTGGGCCGAACAGCAGCAGGCCCCGCACCGGCTGTGAGGGGAAGGAGGGGTCAGAGTGGGGGGCATTTGGTAAGTTATTGAGCAATAGTCAGAGTGGTCAGGCCTTGCAGTGGCAGCATGACCACCTCCCTCAACGCCTCCTTCACGCCCTCCCGCAAGCCGAGTGGCATTTGGTAAGTTATTGAGCAATGTTGCCGATGAGATTACCTTGGTGAGCTGCCCCGTTTGGAACAGCTCTGGTCGTTGCAGTGGCAGCATGACCACCTCCCTCAACGCCTCCTTCACGCCCTCCAGAGCACCGATGTGCTCAAAGCGCACGCCCAGCTCCTCCGCAGGTATCACCTCCCCCAGTAGCAGCCTCTCAAAGTCGTTGTCGCACGTCACGTCCTGATGGGGAGTGGAAGGGGGTGCGAGTGAAGAGGTAAGGGATAAGAATGTGCTCAAATCGCACCCCCAGCTCCTCCGCAGGTATCACCTCCCCCAGCAGCAGCCTTGGCACATGTAACGTCTTGGCGATGGGTGGGAGAAGGTGTGAAGGAAGGGAAGGAATATGGTGGGAGAGTGTGCGGCATCAGACCAGTGCATAACATAGGAGCCTGGTAAAAGAGTTATGGCCACTGAGCAGACAGATAGGGCGTTAAACAATGAGTGACCCCACCTTGGGGAGCCATTAAAGCACGCCTTGAGCGCATTAAAGCCCACCTTGAGCGCCTTAAAGCCCACCTTCAGCGCCTTAAAGCCCACCTTGAGCGCCTTAAAGCCCACCTTGAGCGCCTTGCGCTGTGTGGCTGGCTGCTGCTGAGACGCGCCCTCCACCACCTCCACTCCGTGCCGAATGCTGCCACCCGGTCGTGATTGCAATAGAGAGTCGGTGTATGCATAGCAGCAACACACAATGAGCAGGTCGGGCGAATGTGACAATAGCAGGAGTTGCTACCATCAGTACGACAAACGCGCACTGCTTAACTCAATGGAAGATGCATGCAAGTGCGACTTGGCGGAGTGACAGGGCAACAAGGTGACAGGGGAAGGGGGACAGGGGACAGGGGAACAGACAGGGTGACAGGGTGAACGGCGAGTGGGTAATAGGGTAACAGGTGGAGCAGACCTGGAGAGCGAGAGGGGGAGGCGGGAAGCAGGCATGTCGACTTGTGGGTTGTGCTGCAGCTGGTGACTTATGGCCCACCCCACCATGCGCTCCGCACCTGATCATGGGTAAACGGATGCACATGGATGGGCATGAGCGCAATAGGCATGTGGATACGGAATGGAACATGCACACCCCACACCGCACATGGGCTTTGCTGCACCTGGTGGCTTATGGCCCGCCCCACCATGCGCTCCGCACCTGATCATGGGAGCATACATTCAGAGGGGATTGAGCAGACTTATGCATTGAAAACCAAGATGTGAGGTACACGCTTATCCAGTAAAACGGTAGGAAGGAAAGGCATGCGGCGATAGTTGTCTTACCCTCCTGGGGAAGAGAGTGCGAGGCGATGGACAGTCTGTCGATCTCAGCACACTCCACTCCTGCTGTGCACATCACCTGCATACATACATATACATCATGTGCATTGATACAACAGAGTCAAGCCAAATGCATGCGCTTGGATCAGGCATTTCGGATCTAGTAGCACTGTACGACAGAGATGGAGGTAAGCCGGTCATCCTGGTTAGCTGGCCACACATCACTGTCCACACACCACCACCAATAACCACCCGCACCCCACCCACCCTCCCATCACCACAACCCGCCCACCCATCACCACACCAGGCCCCACCCCACCACCCATCACCGCACTCCACCCACCGATCTAAGCAGGCGGCGGTTGCTCTCAGCACGCATCAGCTCCACGTCACCCTCCAGCTGCCTCGTCCAATCGCGCTGCGCCACGTCATCGTCTTGCGCGGGCGGCAGCACCGGGATGGACGTGGGGAAGAGGCGAGAGACAGCCCTGCCGCCCGCCTTGGCCCCGCCGCCCTCCCCCCGCCCGTCCTCTAGCCGCGATGACAGCTGGTCCTGAGGGATCGGAGGAGGACGGTGCATGAGACCAAACAGTATGAGGTGCAGGTTGGAGGTGCAGGTTTGAGGTGCAGGTTTGAGGTGCAGGTTTGAGGTGCAGGTTTGAGGTGCAGGTTTGAGGTGCAGGTTTGAGGTGCAGGTTTGAGGTGCAGGTTTGAGGTGCAGGTTTGAGGTGCAGGTTTGAGGTGCAGGTTTGAGGTGCAGGTTTGAGGTGCAGGTTTGAGGTGCAGGTTTGAGGTGCAGGTTTGAGGTGCAGGTTTGAGGTGCAGGTTTGAGGTGCAGGTTTGAGGTGCAGGTTTGAGGTGCAGGTTTGAGGTGCAGGTTTGAGGTGCAGGTTTGAGGTGCAGGTTTGAGGTGCAGGTTTGAGGTGCAGGTTTGAGGTGCAGGTTTGAGGTGCAGGTTTGAGGCAACGCGTACCAGGAAGGAAAGGCGGGGCCCTACCAGGAAGGAGAGGTCGAGGAGAGCAGAGAGCTTGTCCGTGGTCTTGGGAGCTGCTGCTGCTGCTGGCGCCTAGAGGGGCACCGCACAGCAAGGGGAGGTGGTGGGATGGGAGGAAGGCCTACAGGGAAGGAGGGGTGGGTCGGTGGCATACCAGGAAGGAGAGGTCGAGGAGCGCAGAGAGCTTGTCCGTGGTCTTGGGGGCTGCTGCCGCTGCTGGCGCCTGGGGTGCAGTGGACGGGCACGGCAAGCAGAGTGGTGAGATGGGAGGGACGGATTCCAGGCAGCAGGGCTGATTGCACAGACGGAGAGTAAGGGACCATTCATTCAAGGGAAGGGGATGAGGTTACGGGGTGGAGGGACGGGAGGTGTGAGGTGGGAGCCATGCTGCTGATGGCCCTTGCCGCATCATGCATGCCTGCCACCCACCTTGTCCTTCTTGGGCGGCACTGTGTGAGAGCCAATCACCACCAACCGCAACGGCTCACTCTTCTCCTTCCCCTCCTTCCCCTTGTCCCCTTTCTCCCCTTTGTCCCCTTTCTCCCATTTCTCCCCCTTCTCTGCGCCTCTCTCCCCAACAACGCCCATGCGCTCCATACGCTCCAGCCTCACGAGCCGCTCGTAATGCGCCGCTGCTATTCTTTCTGCGCCAGGAATGAACACAATGAGCGGCGATGTTGCTGATATGGTGGCTGCGACCTGCCACACAAATCACGCAGGGAAGGGGGCACAATCCACAATGACATATTAAGGGAGGGGGCGCTCGTAATGTGCTGCTGCTATTCTGTCTGCGATCGGGATGAACACGATAAGAGGGGTTGTAACTGCTACGGTTGCTGCCACCTTCCAGCACAAGGGATGAACACAATGAGCGGGATTGAGGCCCCCACCACCCCCAAGCGCTCCATACGCTCTAGCCTAACAAGCCGCTCGTAATGAGGCGCTGCAATTCTGTCTGCGGGATTGAGGCCCCCACCACCCCCAAGCCCCCCACTCACCGCCATGCAGTGGTCCACCAGCTGCTTCTCCACATGGTCTGCGTGTGAAATCCACTGAACATTACCCACTGCCATCACGCCGCCAACAAGCTCCCATCCGCCCACTCACTGCCATCACCATCACCCACTGCTCCTATCACCCCCATGCTCCCCTCACCCCCACCCACTCACCGCCATGCAGTGGTCCACCAGCTGCTTCTCCGCGTCGTCTGCTGCTGCTAGTGAGGCGAGTCAACAATCGACTCCTCTCACCATCACTGCCTGCCATCACGCCATTATTCCGCCACTCACCGCCATGCAGTGGTCCACCAGCTGCTTCTCCACGTCGTCTGCTGCTGCCCCTTCAAGCCGCAACTCCGACACTGCCACGAGGCAGAGAGCACGAGAGGGGAGGGGGAGATGGCGCACAGAGAGAGGTGACTGCTGAGGCGAATGATATCCTGCCCCAACAATCCTCAGCATCAACACAGGTGAGCCCAGTGATGGGGCGAACGAGGGGGGGGGGAATCTGGGGAGAAAATCAACAGGAAGCGCATACTTACCGTGGCACCACGCCCCGTGCCCATCGTCACAGACGTCCACCAGACTGTGGCCGCCAGGAATGGGCTTGTCGAAACGCACGCCCACGCGGTGGGGGTTCTCCTCCAACACCACCACCACTCGGCCCTTCAACCCCACTGGGGGGCCGCGCCTGACATGAGTTAAGGGAAGGGAGTGTATTGGGAGGGGGTTGGAGAGACGCACAGGGATGGGCTTGCCAAAGCGCTCGCCCTTTGGTGTGGAGGAGCATAGGGGCAGCGGTGGGCGAACAGGAGGGGCAGGCTGAATGGTGCAGCGCAAACTGAAGAGCAAGCATATGAGCATGAGCATGGGGGTCCGGTCAGATGTGCGAGAGGGAGGGAGGAGGAATTAGTGAGAAAGGAAGCAGAGGGGGCGAGGAGCAAGGGGGAGAGCGAGGCAGCAGCTGCAAGAGGCTCGAATACTGACATGGAGGGTGGCAGGAGCGAGGCCGAGGGCGGTGGGGGCGCGGCAGAGGAGAGCGAGGGCGGTCCCATGTACCGTACCCTGTCGCCTGGAAGAGGGGTGCGCGAAGGCAAAGGCGAAACAGGTGGGACGGGGAAAGAATCGTGAGGCAGGGAGGGTTGAACAGGCAGAGGGGCGGAATGGCAGGCCCATGTAGCGTACTCTGTCACCTGGAAGAGGGGTGGGCGAGGGCGGGAAAGAGCGGGAAGGTTCACAAGGAGGATGGGGCCATGTACCCGACTCTGTCCCTTGAGAGAGTGGGCAGCAATGGCAGATATTGTTCTGGCTCAGCGAAGCAGGGTGCGCTAGAAAAAATATATTTATTATAATAATAATAAAAAAGGAGGTATGCGTGGACGCTACCACGTTGCCAGTTCATAGAGCGCTCCTCCAGAATACCTTTCTTAAAGCCCTTCTTTGACCCCTCCACACTCTCGCTGCTCTTCTTCCCCTCGCTCCCAGCACCCTCCTTCTCCTTCTCCCCCTTGCTCTTCGCCTTATGCCCTGCACCTGCCACCGCTGCCCCACTCCCCGCCTCCTCTCTTCCCCCTCCCTTCCCCGCACCCTCCCCCTCATCCCCTCTGTCCTTCGTTGCGCTCTTTGATCCCTTGCTGCTGCTGCTCTTCTTCTTATGGTGGGAGGAGGAGGAGGAAGAGGCTTTGGAGTGGGAGCGGGGGATGAGCGAGGAGGAGAGCTCCTTCAGCTTGACTGCCCGCAGATCCACTCCAGCTGCCCCTCTTCCCCCCGCGCCCCCACTGCTGGGCTTACTCGAGGCGCCGCCCTGCTGCCCCTCCTCCTCCGCCTCCGCCCTACTGGCCTTGGCATCGTCACCAGCAGCACTGCTGGTGTGGGTACCGCCAGTGAGTGCAGCGGTGGGGGGCGGTGTGCTGTCAGGCTGGGTGCTGGCAGAAGGAGTACCAGCAGCAGCGGTTCCTTGCTCCGCCTCCTCGCACCTGCCAGCAGTGGCAGTAGAAGCAGACGAAGCAGCAGCAGCAGGGGATGACGCAGCAGTTCCAGTGACGATAGGAGCAGCAGGATTAGGAGGATGAGAAACTGTGCTGCTGCTGCTGTTGCAGCCATAAACAGGCACAGCAGTGCAAACATCACCACCTTCCTGCACACACGGCACACTGTGCACCTCTCCTGCCTCCCCTCCTGCTGCCCCAACCTCCCTCTCCGCCTCTTCCCTCTCCTCGTCCTCCCTCTCCGCCCCCTCCTTCTCTGCCCCCCCCCTCTCCCCCTCCCCCTCCCCCTCCCCCTCCCCCTCCCCTCCCCCCTCCCCCTCCCCCTCCGCCTCCTCCACCTCTCCCCCCTGCAGATCCATCGCCTCTGCCAGCTCCACTTCCCCTGACGCCACGTCAGCAGGTTCATTGCTTTCCACATCAGCAGCCAGGGCGGATTCACCGCCTCCCCTATCCGCACCTCCCCTCTCCCCAGATACTTGTTCCCCCTCTGCAGCCACACTCGTGGGACCAGCGCCGTGTGCCTCCTCTGGCGCCGCTGTCTCTCCCGCCCCCTCTCCCTCCCCACTCACTGCACCGCCCTCTCCTTGCCTCCCCTCCTCGCCCTCCTCCTCTTCCTCCACCTCCTCCTCCTCCCCGTCATGCACCTCTGCCGCATCCCCAGAACTCTCGCCCACACCTCCCTCAGTGCCCGCTCCTCCTCCCTCCCCGCCCGCTCCTCCTCCTTCCCCGCCCTCTCCTCCTCCTGCTCCTGTTGCGTGCCCTCTCCCAGCACTCACCCCTGAACCTGCCACCGTATCTGGTGTCTCCCCTGCCGCTGCGGCTGTTGTTCCCACTCCTGCTGCTGATTTGGATGCTGATGCTGAGTGTGATGCTGGCGCTGATTCTGATGCCAATGCCAATGTTGCTCCACTGGTGAGGGCTTGAGGCAAAGCACCGCCTGACTTGGTTGCCAGAGCCACCTGTGTTGCACGGAGCAAGAGATACAAGCCAATTTGTTAGGCACCTGTACAAGCTGTACCTGCACCAGCCGCAACGTACCTGCACCAGCAGTACCTGGACCAGCAGTACCTGCACCAGCAGTACCTGGACCAGCAGTACCTGCACCAGCAGTACCTGGACCAGCAGTACCTGGACCAGCAGTACCTGGACCAGCAGTACCTGCACCAGCAGTACCTGGACCAGCAGTACCTGCACCAGCAGTACCTGGACCAGCAGTACCTGCACCAGCAGTACCTGGACCAGCAGTACCTGGACCAGCAGTACCTGGACCAGCAGTACCTGGACCAGCAGTACCTGCACCAGCAGTACCTGGACCAGCAGTACCTGGACCAGCAGTACCTGGACCAGCAGTACCTGCACTAGCAGTACCTGGACCAGCAGTACCTGCACCAGCAGTACCTGGACCAGCAGTACCTGCACCAGCAGTACCTGGACCAGCAGTACCTGGACCAGCAGTACCTGCACCAGCAGTACCTGGACCAGCAGTACCTGGACCAGCAGTACCTGGACCAGCAGTACCTGCACTAGCAGTACCTGGACCAGCAGTACCTGCACCAGCAGTACCTGGACCAGCAGTACCTGGACCAGCAGTACCTGGACCAGCAGTACCTGCACCAGCAGTACCTGGACCAGCAGTACCTGCACCAGCAGTACCTGGACCAGCAGTACCTGGACCAGCCGTACCTACAAAGCGACAGCATGCATGTCACACCTGCAGCAGCATGTTGGGGAGATCAAAGATTAGCAGCTTGGCATCCAGGTGCCGAGCCAACGCCCGAACCAGCTGCTCCTGGTACCGCTCCGAGCCTGCAGATTCGGGGTGCAAGCAAACAAACAAAGCAGGGACAGCATTGTGGTGAGGCGAGCGCTTCACCCCAATCAGTGAGGGGCGAGTGCATCACCCCAATCAGTGAGGGGCGAGTGCATCACCCCAATCAGTGAGGGGCGAGTGCATCACCCCAATCAAGAGGAGCGAGTGCACCACCCCAATCAGTGAGGTAACAAGCCTTGCAGCTTGCGAATTCTCGAAAGTGTGTTGCACACAGGCGCACATGGTAACAACTAGACGAACCCGCTGGCTATAATAATCGATTGCGAGACAGGGTAGAGACTTGTAGGCTCATATTTGACTCCTCGCTTTATCGCATCACAGACAAAGATTGTAAAATGAGTGGCTGCAGACGAAGGGAATTTGCGCTGAGAAACGGGAGAGAGAGGGAGGGGGGGCTGGGGGTGGAGAGAGGATGAGAGAGGGAGGCGACCTGGGACCTGGGGGGCGCAGAGGAGGATGCAGAGAGAGAGAGAGAGAGCAGGTCGGCAGTGACGCGAGGTGACTCTTGATTCGACTCAAAAGTCACCTTGCAGAGAGAGAGAGCAGGTCGGCAGTGACGCGAGGTGACTCTTGATTCAACTCAAAAGTCACCTTGCAGAGAGAAAGAGCAGGTCGGCAGTGAAACGCAGGAACTCGGGGCGAGGGAGGAGAGAGAGAGGGCGGAGACCTGGGGGAAGGGAGAGGGGGGACCTGACGGGAGGGGGAAGGGGCACCTGGGGGGCCGGAGAGCAGGATGCGCGCGGAGAGCGAGGGGAGGTCCGCGGTGAAGCGCAGGAACTCGGGGCGGCGCAGGCGGATGAAACACGCGTCCACCAGCGCGTTGCGCGTGGCATCACTACCACAGGGGGGATGGGGAACGGGGCCAACAGGGAGTATGGGCGGAGGGGAGCGGGTAAGGGAGGTGGAAGGCGCGCAGGCGGATGAAACACGCGTCCACCAGCGCGTTGCGCGTGGCGTCGCTGCCACGGGGGGGAAAGAGGAACGGGGTTGGGTACACGGGGAGGATGGGCAGGAACGGTTAAGAAACCAGAGCTAGCACGGTCAGTAATAACAAGGACAGGGCAGTGGGTGATTAATAGCCCTGAATTCCCTCCCCTCCCTCGCTTACGCGGGTCTGCGAGCAGACCTGAGATAGTACGGAAACGAGTCGAAGGAGACTTGTAACGCGGACGATTCGATAACAGCGCTCATGACCACATCGCGATGCAGCTGGCCTTCCTTCGTCAGAGGCCCCACGCCGTACCCGCCGCTCGCGGTGATATTCCCGCCGCCGCTGATGATACTACTACTGTTGCTCGTGCCGGCCTTCTTAGTGACCTTCTCCTTAGTCTTAGTAGTCTTAGCGTCTTTCTTTCCGTCACTGGTGCGTAGCATGCCGATTAACAGACCTAGCGAATACGGAAACACCGTCGCCGTCACCGCCGCCGTCGCGCCGGCAGCGACGCCGGCGGAGACGGCGGCGACGAAGAGGAAGATCGAACGGCGGTCGATCCATGCGGCGTAAGACGAATCCCCATTCATGATGGATCAACCGTAAGTTTAATCGCAAGTCTGGATTATGAGCACCATCAGTCCGTTCCTACACGCGCGAGCGACGAGCGGTTCGGTCAGAATTCTATTCTCTACGCAACGTTACTCTACAAAGCCGAATTCGATCATCTCCTCGAAGGTGCTCGCACGGTAAACGAACGCTGGTGAGCAATTGTGATGACAAAATCCATGGCTCTGCTACTTTTCCTGGGCAGCGTTGCTTGCTTCACAGTGCTCAAGCTGGTTGTGGCTGCCTTTCGTGTCAGATTATCCAATACAAACATTGTTCGTTACAGATTTACGAGTCAAAACTGGCTCATGGAGGGGCGAAGTTCTCAAGAACGGTGACCTGACACATACCAGTAGTAGAAACAGCTAATTGCACCCAAAACATACCCCAATAAACGCTAAAAAGGCATCTACATCTGGTTTACAACATATACTACATTGCAAAATTCATTTAAGTGTGGTGTAAATTAATCTCAGCTCTTCCCTTCCAGGGTGATTGTGATTGTAACTTCGTTGTCTCCTCTCAGCACTCTTGCCTCCACCTGCACCCACAGCAAAAGCAATTGCATCATGTCAAACATTAGAAACCATATTTTCTACACAATATACATTAAAAAAATAGCCTCGCAACAAGTTCGAACTCGACGCTGGAGTCTTTTGGAAGCTCACCTTCTGGCCAACCTTGCAGCGGTCGAGGATGCGGTAGAGATCAGAGCCATTCCTCACAGTGTTGCCGTCAATGCCCGTGATGATATCCCCCAGCACCAACCGCCCATAGCTGTCCCGCGTTGTTGGCCGAATGCCCTGCACGCACCAGCACCGCACAGAACCACACACAACCACCAAACGGCCCCTGTTAGAATAAGGTCATGATACAAAGTGGCAGTGCCAGTCAGAAAAACCTTAGCGTACTCCACTCACTATAAACATATGGGGATGTGCATGCAGTCATGCGTGCTGCATGCACTGATGCGTGCTCCAAGCGGGCTGCACTCACCGGTTTCCCTGCCGGGCAAGAAGCTCAAGCACAAACACGAGCACAAGCACGAGCACAAACACGCCCGCCACACCCAGCTGCTTGCCCGGGGGCGAAGGAAATACCCAGCACTGGCCGCGTGCCCCAGGTGTCTTAAAGAAACTCGCTCTGTGCTGATGTGTGCTGCACCCACCGCACCCTGATAAAGGCTGTACTCACCGCTTTCCCTGCAGGCCCGGAAGGGGGAGCATCGAGCACGAGCACGCCTGCCACGCCCAGCTGCTCCAAAGACTGCTCAGGGGCGAAGGAGATGCCCAGCACAGGGCGTGTGACCTGGCCGTACTTGATTATCTGCTCCACTATGCCCGCTACCTGGTGTGTGTGAAAAGGGGGTGGACGAGGAAAAGTGGAAAAAGAGGGGATTTTGAGACGACTCAAAAGATGCCCAGCACTGGGCGCGTAACCTGCCCATACTTCACTATTTACCCCACTACACCCTCTGGGCCGCGAAGGGTGCACAGGAGACACAGGGCACAGCATGCACTGCGGGGATGCAGAAGCCGACCCCAGAAGAGGCCCCAGAGGGCGAGTAGATGGCGGTGTTGATGCCGATGAGGTTGCTGGAGGTGAGTCTTGAGTCGACTCAACAGTCACCTGGCACTGCAGGGACTAACCGTATCAGGCCTCACCCGGCACACAGGGGCACACAAACACTGCCAGCACTGACCGTGTCAGCAGGGATGGAGAAGCCGACCCCAGACGAGGCCCCGGAAGGCGAGTAAATAGCGGTGTTGATGCCGATGAGGTTGCCGTTGGAGTCGAGCAGCGGACCCCCGCTGTTGCCCGGGTTGATGGCCGCGTCTGTCTGTATCACGTCCTGGATGGGCCGCCCCGTTGCTGCACTGCTGATCTCCCTCCGCAACCCACTGTGAAATGGGGAACGGGAGAAGTGAGAATGGGGAATGCACCAACACATGATTGTTGCGTCAGTCAGAGCCGCTGTTGCCCGGGTTGATGGCCGCGTCTGTCTGTATCACGTCCTGGATGGGCCGCCCCGTTGCTGCACTGCTGATCTCCCTCCGCAACCCACTGTGGGGATGAGGGGGGTGTTAAAAGCATGTGAGGAAAAGGAGGAGTGAAAGTGGTTGTTGGGGTATGTGAGGAAGGTGAGGCAGGAATGGTTGCTGTATTGGTTTGATTTGCACTGGTTCACAATAAACATGAAAACACTAATAAACAGTGAAACGGGGAAAGGGACGGGCACACGGACAGACAGATAGACAGGCAGTCGAGAAGTGAGTGCATCGGTGCAGCAGTGAGGACGGTTGTGAGGCTTGTCATGTGAAGCGTACCTGATAACGCCTGTGGTGAGGGTGTGATCCAATCCGAACTGCACATCCAAGCCACAGATTGGGAGGTGAGGGGCAACGGGAGGAAGCAGAGGGAAGTGGTGATGACGAGCACATGAAAGCATGCAAGATTACCCCTCATGCTAATGCATGTGGTACACGGTGCATCTATTTCCAGTCAGAGCATAACTTTTGGAATCAAAACAAGGTTACCAGGTTATCTGGTTACTGCACTCCACACTCACGGGATTCCCAATGGCGTAGACGCGCTGTCCCACTTGCAGGTCGAAGGAGCTGCCCGATCTCAGCGGCCGCAGCTTGCTCCTGGGTGCATCGATGTGCAGCACTGCCACGTCCTTGTCGCGTTCACAATGTTACCTGGTTACCACATGCACAGCACACTCACGGGGTTGCCAATAGCGTACACCCGCTGCCCCACTTGCAGGTCGAAGAAGCTGCCCACTCTCAGCGGCCTGAGCTTGCTCCTGGGCGTGTCGATGTGCAGCACTGCCACGTCCTTGTCACGGTCACAACGTTACCTGGTTACCACACTGCATTCACACTCACGGGATTCCCGATGGCGTACACCCGCTGCCCCACTTGCAGGTCGAAGGAACTCCCCACTCTCAGCGGCCTGAGCTTGCTCCTGGGCGCATCGATGTGCAGCACTGCCACGTCCTTGTCACGGTCGTACCCCACCACGTCAGCCGCGTACACCGATTGGTCCGCCAGCGTTACTCTGTTGGGAGCAGGGGAAGCAGCAGGAGGTGAGGGACGCAACGTGCCACCAGTGCTGGGCATGGCATGCATCGCATGATGGCATGCTGGCGCTGGGCTTGGGAGGAGATGCCACACAAACACTTGACGTGCTCTTTTTAGTGGTTGACATTCAAGGTCGCCATGGTGATTTACGTTCAAGTTCACAATAGTCTCACTTCAAGTTTTCCTACTCCACTGTTCATTCCTAGAATCAGTGTGAAGAGACAAGGACTGTCCCTAACTTACCTCACCCCCTTAATTTGACTTGTCTTGACTCGACTTGACTCACCGCAGGTCGCTAGAGTTACGAATCACGTGGTAATTCGTCACCACGTGGCCTTCGCGGTCCCAGATGAACCCCGACCCGGACCCCTGCGGCACCTCCATCACGTCAAGTGTAAACACGTCCCTCCGAACGGCCAGATTCGTAATGTAAACGACACTTGGGGTCGTTTCGTTGAATAGCTGAACCGTCGCCTGCTCATCCGGCATCAACTTGCGCGGTGGAGCTTGCACGATGGCCGTCGCCGGCGCGCTGACGGACGTCAGCAGCACGGCGCTGACGGCCAGCGACACGAACAGCCGGCCGGCTTCTCTCAGGATGTCGGACGGTTCCGGGAGGTGGAATTGACGGCTCAGATGCGACCGCCAGAGGGCAAGGCGGTGGATCAGGACCGTCCATGGGGCTTCCGATGGTGACAACGACAGGAGATTCCGGTCTGGCTGATCGAGCGACTCGCAGCACGGCTTCCGCGAAACGATCCCCTCGTCGTGCGCTTCAGCTCCGTTGCCTGGACTACATCCATTAACGAGTCCATCCCCGTTAGAAGCTACGCTGCTGCTGACACTGGGACGCGGGGAGCTGGTCGCATGGACCGTGGCGATGCGACGCGGGGACGCAGTGCCGCGGAGACCACGAAAACCTACGCCTCTAGTAGAAGCCGCTACTAAGCTTTGCGTGGAAAATAGCTTCTTGCTAAGAGACGGAAAGTGGAGGCTAGGCGAGCCGCCATAGTACGAAGTGTATGAGCGTTGAATAAGGGAAGCACACGAGGAAACTGGAGAGCTGAGCTTGGGTTGCCGTGAGCTAAGCGAATGCTGAACGCACGACTCCGGGGGAGCAGCGCAGAACGCGACTTGAGATAAGCCAAGTTCCATCGTGCTCACTGATACCTGATAATCGACCAAGAGGGAGAGCTGTCGACCTGTCAGGCTCTCTCGAGCGTTGCACAGATGCTGTGAGACTAGCGCAAGCCTAGGGAATTCCGCTGTCGGTGAAAATGGGAGGTGTGATGGACATGTTTTGAAGGTGCTGGTGACTTGAGAAAGACGACCAACTAGCTTCTGCCTGTTCGTCTGCAGATCAGTTTGTACTAGTTTTTATTTCGTTGCGCAATGGTTCAGACCGGTGACGACCAATCACCGCTCCTAATCGCGATCTAACCTACTGGACCGAGCTTTATGAATCATAAATAAAGGGCACTTGGGCCCGATGACAGGGCGCGAAGGAATTTGCAGAAATTTCGGGAATTCTCAAGATGCGTGAGGCTCAAGGAATCGTGGGATGTCAGTCCATGTCAGACGGGGCGTGTGTACGTGGATTGTACACGTGTAGGCTTCTGAGCATTTCGTGCTGGACAGCTACTCTGGAGGTCTCCAGAAGGCAGGCAAACGTCAGAGTTTCAGTTCACTGCGGTTTAGTAAGATGCAGAATTACCTACTTTTTGAATCACCTATATTTTGAATCAACTACTTTTTAACGGCGATCTGCGGGAGGGCACAACGGTGCAACAAGCATCCTGACCACGAGCATCGTGATCTCAAGCATCCTGATCACGCGCATCGTTACCATGAGCATCGTGACTTCGAGCATCGTGAGGATGCGTCACAATTGCTGTCAAAATGAAGCTAGGTGTTGGGAAACTTAGGAGTCATAGCTAGGCAATCACGGCGGTTGCGAGAGGGAAGGGAGAAGCGATAATTGGCCAACAAAAAAAGGGTTGCACTATAGGGTTTGGTGTACATATAGGCAAGCAAATGGTGCACCATTGTCAAATATTATAGCCTCCAGTGGGTTGTCAATTTATATGCATGTTTAGTTAGGTTAGGCTATATGGGGGTTAGTACTAGGGGGTACACATTTTTATCTCGACATTCTTGTACTCCCCCCCTTGACCTAATCAAACCCTCCTAGCCCAAGCCTCTTGACATGGTATCAGAGCATGATGTCCTTAGGACCTTAGAACCATTTCCTTTAGGGCCCACCTTAAAATCGCATGTGGTTACCGCGTTACCCCGCGCCCTCCCCTACTACGAGTCGCGCTACCCCTGCTGGCCGCGCGCCATAGCTGCAGCGTGCATTTTCCTCTTTTTTTTTTTCTTTTTCTCGCGCGCTGCCCTGCCCGCAGCCCCGCGCGCGCTGCTCGTCGTCGTGTCACTTGTCTTCACTCCGACCGTGGGGGTGAGTTTCGCTCCGGCATTCTCGCCAGATTCTGTGCTGAGCAGGGCATCACCCAGTCCTGGACTCTTCCAGACTCTCCACAGCAGAATGGGGTTGCTGAGCACCGGTTAGGCCTGGTCATGGAGATCGCCCGCACCTCCATGATCCACGCCCGCGCGCCCCATTTTCTGTGGCCCTACGCGGCTCGGTACGCCGCTCACCAGCTGAACCTCTAGCCTCGCGTCTCTCGGCCAGGGGCTTCACTAAACAGTCTTTGGACAGGGTCTCCTGGTGTTGCGTCGAGGTTTAGTGTCTGGGGCTGCTTGGCTCTTGTCCGCGACACCTCTGCGGACAAGATCTCACCTCGCGCCGTCCCCTGTGTCTTCCTTGGTTTCCCAAAGGACTCCTCTGACTTCACCTTTTACCACTCTCCCACCGGTTTTTTGACTCTCGTGACGTCCGTTTCGACGAGTCCGTCCCCTACTACGTCCGGTACCCCTGTCGAGGTCTCCCGGTTCCCCCCCCTCCCCTCTTCCTGGCTCCAGCTCCTCCTCCTCCCGCCCCTGCTCCTCCGGTACCCCCCCCTGTTCCCGCTCCGTCTGGTGTGTCCCACGCTACTCCCCCCCCCTCGGTACCCCCCCAGGTCTCTCCTCCTTCCCCACAGTCGTCCTCACAGCCTCCGCAGCAGCCGTCAGCGCTTCCTTTACCGGCCACTGCGGACTCTGAGGGTGTTGGTGCTCGAGGTGAGGGCTCTGGCGGTGCTCGCTCTGGGGGTGTTGGCATTGGCACTGAGCGTGTACCTGCCGCAGCTGCTCGTTCCGAGGGTGCTGGAGCTGGTGGTGGTGCTGGAGCTGGTGGTGTTTCTGGAGCTGGAGAGTCTGGGGCTGGTGCTGGTGCTGGTGCCACTGGAGGCACCACGACTGGGGGTGCGGGTACACCTCCTACAGGTGCTGGTCGTGCTGCCGCGGGAGGTACTCGCTCTGGGGGTGCTCAGCCGGGTACTGTCGAGGATGGAGCCGGTTCTTCTGCTGCATCTCCTGACACCACTCCTCCTCCTCACCCCTACCCGACTCGTTACCAGGCCCTTCTTCGTCTAGAGCGTGAGGAGCAGCAGCGTTTGGAGCGTGAGAGGTCGGAGGTTCAGCAGCGGGTGGAGCGTGAGAGGTTGGAGTTGCAGCGGGAGCAGCAGCAGCAGCAGCAGCCGCAGCAGCCGGAGCAGCCGAAGCAGCCTCCGGCCACTGTTTCTGGCCTTCGGGCCCTTGGTCTCCCCTCCTCTCCTCCTGTGTTCGGTCCTACGTTTCCTCCTCCGGACTCAGCTCCGGCTGTGTTCCCTCGTTCTCAGTCTCCTCCGTCTCCCTCTCCTCTCGCCCACACTTGGACCTCTCGTCCTCCTCGTGCTCGTCCTTCGTCACCTGTCACTGACCTCCGTACCGTAATGTTTCGTCCTAGTCCTCCTCGTCCTCCTCCGTCTGTTCTTCCTCGTCCTCCTGAGTCGTCCCTCACTACCTCCTTGTCCACTCCGGTCACTGACTACTACCGCACGTACCGCCCCACTCTCTCTCGTGTTCTCGCCTCTCTTGTTACAGACCCTCGTGCCTCTCCTTCCTCCGTCGCGGTCCTCACTGCCACTGTCACTGACTTTACTGCTACGCGTCGCCTTGACTACGCCACTCGTGTTGTGGTCGTTCCTCTTGTCCGTCCTCTGTCCGCCGGGGGTGAGTCTGCCCTTGGCTGTGACATCCTAGAGGACAAACAGTTTGAGCTAGAGTTCCTGGCAGCTGCTTCGCCTCATCTCTGTGCCATGCTCCTCGCTCCTGAGGGAGACCCCGACGCTCCTGACATACCTACTCCTCGCACTTACGCTGAGGCAGTGTCAGGGCCTTGGGCCTCTCAGTGGAGAGCTGCCATGGACGCAGAGATGGCCTCCTACAGGTCCACAGGCACTTACGTTGACGAGGTTCCCCCCCCAGGGGCGAACATAGTTGACGGCATGTGGATCTTCAAGGTGAAGCGGCCGTCGGGATCTCCTCCAGTCTTCAAGGCACGCTACGTGGCTAGAGGGTTCAGTCAGCGTGAGGGAGTTGACTTCTTTCAGACCTTCGCACCCACCTTAAAGATGACCACTCTTCGGGTGTTACTACACGTAGCAGTGTAGCGAGACTACGAGCTACACTCTCTTGACTTCTCCACTGCCTTCCTCCAGGGCAGCCTACACGAGGAGATCTGGCTGCGTCGTCCTCCGGGCTTCACTGGCACCTTCCCGCCTGGGACCCAGTGGAGCCTCAGACGACCGGTCTACGGTCTCCGCCAGGCACCCCGTGAGTGGCACGACACTCTCCGCTCTACTCTGTCCGACCTCGGGTTTGAGCCGTCTTCCGCCGACCCGTCGCTGTTTGTTCGTCGTGGGCGCACACCTTTCTTCGTTCTGGTCTACGTTGACGACTTGGTTTTTGCCACAGCCGACACAGTTGCACTGGCGGAGGTGAAGTCCGAATTGCAGAAGAGACACACCTGCACTGACCTTGGGGAACTGCGCCGCTACCTTGGCCTGCAGATCTCCAGGGACAGAGCCGCTCGCACCATCACTCTGACTCAGTCACACTTGGTGCAGCAGGTCCTTCAGCGGTTCAGGCTTCAGCACTCTTCTCCTACACCCACCCCTCTTGCTGTAGACCACAGACTCACTGGGCCTTTTCCTGACGAGCCGTTCGAGCCCAGTGGTCCCTACGCAGAGCTGGTGGGCTGCCTCATGTACCTGATGACATACGCGCACTAGCCCGGACCTCGCCTTCCCTCTTAGCATCCTTTCTCGCTTTGTTGCGACTGGGAGACACCGTCCTGTTCACTGGATGGCGGCTAAGAGGGTGGCGAAGTACCTCGGCGCGACATCAGACATGGGGCTTGTACTTGGAGGGATACAACCAGTTGTACTCACCGGTCACTGCGACTCCTCCTACGCCGACGACGTTGAGACTCAGAGGTCTACGCAGGGTTACTGTTTCAGCCTAGGCTCTGGAGCTGTTTCGTGGAGGTCTACTCGGTCCTCCTCTGTTGCGACTTCTACCGCAGAGGCCGAGATCTACGCTGGAGCCCTCGCTGCACAGGAGCTACGTTGGTTGACCTTCTTGCTCACTGACCTTGGTGAGCGGCCGAGCTCTGCACCGACCTTGTTTGCTGACAACAAGGCGATGATTCTCCTGTGTCGTGAGCCTCGACTGGAGAGCAGAGTGAAGCACATCAACGTTAGGTACTTCCTCCTTCGGGAGTTGCAGAGACGCGGTCAGGCACGTCTGGACTTCGTGGCCTCCGAGGCCAACACTGCAGACATCTTCACCAAGGCTCTTCAGCCTTGTGACCACCGTCGGTTTTGTCTGCAGTTAGGCCTCGTTGAGACTGGGTCTACTAGACTGCAGTAGTGATTTCTTGCCTCTTGTTTGCTTGTATCATATATATTAGCTTGTACACTCTTGAACTGGCCTTGTGGCCCCTTGTTTGTGCTCAGACTGTGTGGTGACATTGTGATCCACCCTGAGCTGTGTTTTCTCTCTTGCTTGTGACTGGTCTTGTGACCTTAGGTTGTGTTTTTTGTTGCTTGGCATTCCCCACTTAGGCTATGGGGGTGTGTCAAATATTATAGCCTCCAGTGGGTTGTCAATTTATATGTATGTTTAGTTAGGTTAGGCTATATGGGGGTTAGTACTAGGGGGTACACATTTTTCTCTCGACATTCTTGTACTCCCCCCCTTGACCTGATCAAACCCTCCTAGCCCAAGCCTCTTGACAACCTCCAACAGTTTATAACAATAACTACAGTAACTACAGCAAGCAGGATATAACTGAAATATAACTTTTACACACCCTCTTAGCATGCTTGCAGTAGGAACTAGTGCACTCAGCACTCCCTGAAGGGGTGAACAAGGTGCAGTAAAAGACGGCAGAGAGTGGTAAGCGAGGGAAACGAGGCAAGAGAAGGAGAGGAGAGGAGAGGAGTACTAAGGGGAAGGTAAGAGAGAGAGGGATGAGGAGAGGAGGTGTGGGGTGGCTGCGGCGAGATAGGGCGGAATGGGAGGCCGCGACGTCACCGCTTACAAACCCCCTTTTACAAAGGGTGGGGGGAGGAGTGAGGGAAAAGGAGAGAAGATGGGGGGCCATGCATGATTGTACCAACTCAAGCCTGCGTTCCCTCTTAATAACCTTCAGCACTCAACTCAACCACCCCCGTTTAACCTCACCCCCTGTCGTCCTGTCAATTCTCACCCTCACCCTCCTTTCACCTTTACATACCCGCCACCCCCTCATCTCCCCACCCCACGGCGAAAGCCGCAGATGGAAGGGGGGGGGCGGTAGCTGCTGCTGGTTCTCACATCCTGACGTGGGGCAGGCGGCGTACGCCGCCGCTGGCGTTGGCGGGTGGCGCTGGTGTCTGCGCTGGCGGTTCCCACCCGTCACCCCTACATCTCCCCCCCTTTCCCCACCCACCCCCCCCCCCCCCCCCCACGGCAAAAGCCGCGGAAGGCACATGCGCTGGCGCTCACGGATGACGCAGGCGCCGGCGCTTCGCGGCTGGCGCAAGTGCTGGCGCAGGCGCTGGCGCCGGTCGCTGGTCGCTGACGCTCACGACGGGCAGGGCGACGGGCGCGACGAGCAGGGGACGGGACGGGCAGAGCGCAGGGCGCGACGGGCGGTGAATGCGACGGGCGGGACGGGCCGTGCGCAGGGGAAAACGGGCCGCGCGCAAGCAAGACGGGCTGCGCGTGGAGCAAAACGTGCTGCGCGCGGGGCAAAACGAGCTGCGCGCGGGGTGCATCCGGCTGCGTGACAAGAAGGTCCATGTCTCTTAAAAGGACAGTAAGGTTCCAGGATGGGACCAGCTCTGACACCATGTCAAAAGGAAGCTAGGCCTTGGGAGACTTAGGAGCCATGCTAGGCAATCACGGCAGTTACGAGAGAGAAGGGAGAAGCGATAGTTAGCCAACAAAAGAGACGGTTGAACAATAGGGTTTGGAGTACGTATAGACAAGGAGGAAAGGGTGCACCACCGACAGTTTATAACAATAACTACAGTAACTACAGCAAGCAGGATATAACTGAAATATAACTTTGACAATTGCAACACCGGGGAGGATCGGGACCGAACACCGAAAATGTGTGCATCGCGTATGAAAAACGGGTTTCAATCTGCATGCGCAACGTTAGGCTGCTTCTTCGAGCCAAGTGGGACACGACCAGATTTGCAAGTGGGGGGGGGGGGGGGAGGGGGACCTCTATGCCAAGGGTACACCCAGATTCTAGCGCATGAGCTGTGCTTCGCTGACACGTCGTATAATTTCGCCTATTTTGTGACGATGTCGCCCTGTTACCACATCGATAATGGGCGACAGTATGCGACGGTGATCGATCATCGCTGGCACTGGTGGCGCGATTTTGGTCCCCCCGCTGCCAATTGCACGATCGATGTGGTATTTAGAGCCATACAATCTCGTCAATCTGCTATTTCACGATCTTCGCGTCAAGATAAGCGAAATCGGGATACATAGTTTTCGCCAATTGGCGAATACACTGTACATTGTGAACACCGATCCTACACAGGATCGGTGTTGCAATTGTGACACGTCCTGATCACGAGTATCGTGATCACGAACATCGTGACCTCGAGCATCGTGACTTCGAGCATCGTGACTTCGACCATCGGGACCTCAAGCATCGTGACCACGAGCATCGTGATCACGAGCATCGTGACCACGAGCATCGTGACCACGAGCATCGTGATCACGAGCATCGTGACCTCGAGCATCGTGACCTCGAGAATCGTGACTTCGAGCATCGGGACCTCGAGCATCGTCACCACGACCATCGTGACTTCGAGCATCGGGACCTCCAGCATCGTTATCACAAGCATCGTTATCACAAGCATCGTTATCACGAGCATCGTGATCACAAGCATCGTAACCTCGAACATCGTGACCTCGTGCATTGTGATCTCGTGCATCGTGACCTGGAGCATTGTGATCTCGAGCATTGTGACCTCGAGCATCGTGATCACGGGCATCGTGATCACGAGCATCGTGATCACGGGCATCGTGATCACGGGCATCGTAACCACGAGCATCGTAACCACGAGCATCATGACCTCGAATATCGTGACCTCGAGCATTGTGACCTCGAGCATCGTGATCACGGGCATCGTGATCACGGGCATCGTGATCACGAGCATCGTGACCACGGGCATCGTGACCACGAGCATCGTGATCACGAGCATCGTGATCACGAGCATCGTGACCACGAGCATCGTGACCACGAGCATCGTGACCACGAGCATCGTGACCACGGGCATTGTGATCATGGGCATCGTGACCACAAGCATCGTGATCACGGGCATCGTGACCACAAGCATCGTGACCACGGGCATCGTGACCACGAGCATCGTGACCACAGGCATTGTGATCATGGGCATCGTGACCACAAGCATCGTGATCATGGGCATCGTGATCACGAGCATCGTGATCACGAGCATCGTGACCACGGGCATCGTGATCACGAGCATCGTGATCATGGGCATCGTGATCACGAGCATCGTGACCACGAGCATCGTGACCACGAGCATCGTGACGACAGGCATCGTGACCACGAGCATCGTGATCACGAGCATCGTGATCACGAGCATCGTGACCACGAGCATCGTGACCACGAGCATCGTGACCACGAGCATCGTGACCACGCGCATTGTGATCATGGGCATCGTGACCACAAGCATCGTGATCACGGGCATCGTGATCACGAGCATCGTGATCGCGAGCATCGTGACCACGGGCATCGTGATCACGAGCATCGTGATCATGGGCATCGTGATCACGAGCATCGTGACCACGAGCATCGTGACCACGAGCATCGTGACCACGAGCATCGTGATCACGAGCATCGTGATCATGGGCATCGTGATCACGAGCATCGTGACCACGAGCATCGTGACCACGAGCATCGTGACCACGAGCATCGTGACCACAGGCATCGTGATCACGAGCATCGTGACCACGAGCATCGTGACCACGAGCATCGTGACCACGAGCATCGTGACCACGAGCATCGTGACCACGAGCATCGTGACCACGAGCATCGTGACCACGAGCATCGTGACCACGAGCATCGTGATCACGGGCATCGTGACCACAAGCATCGTGATCACGAGCATCGTGATCACGGGCATCGTGATCACGAGCATCGTGATCACGAGCATCGTGACCACGGGAATCGTGATCACGAGCATCGTGATCACGAGCATCGTGACCACGAGCATCGTGACCACAGGCATCGTGACCACGAGCATCGTGACCACGAGCATCGTGATCACGGGCATCGTGACCACAAGCATCGTGATCACGGGCATCGTGATCACGAGCATCGTGATCATGGGCATCGTGATCACGAGCATCGTGACCACGAGCATCGTGACCACGAGCATCGTGACCACGAGCATCGTGACCACCGGCATCGTGATCACGAGCATCGTGATCACGGGCATCGTGATCACGAGCATCGTGACCACGGGCATCGTGATCACGAGCATCGTGACCACGGGCATCGTGACCACGAGCATCGTGATCACGAGCATCGTGATCACGGGCATCGTGACCACGAGCATCGTGATCACGGGCATCGTGATCACGGGCATCGTGATCACGAGCATCGTGACCACGGGCATCGTGACCACGGGCATCGTGACCACGGGCATCGTGACCACGGGCATCGTGACCACGGGCATCGTGATCATGGGCATCGTGACCACAAGCATCGTGATCACGGGCATCGTGATCACGAGCATCGTGATCATAGGCATCGTGATCACGAGCATCGTGACCACGAGCATCGTGACCACGAGCATCGTGACCACGAGCATCGTGACCCCAGGCATCGTGATCACGAGCATCGTGATCACGAGCATCGTGACCACGGGCATCGTGATCACGAGCATCGTGACCACGGGCATCGTGACCACGAGCATCGTGACCACGAGCATCGTGACCACGAGCATCGTGACCACGAGCATCGTGATCACGAGCATCGTGACCACGAGCATCGTGACCACGAGCATCGTGACCACGAGCATCGTGACCACGAGCATCGTGATCACGAGCATCGTGACCACGGGCATCGTGACCACGAGCATCGTGATCACGGGCATCGTGACCACGAGCATCGTGATCACGGGCATCATGATCACGAGCATCGTGATCACGAGCATCGTGACCACGGGCATCGTGATCACGAGCATCGTGATCATGGGCATCGTGATCACGAGCATCGTGACCACGAGCATCGTGACCACGAGCATCGTGATCACGGGCATCGTGATCACGAGCATCGTGATCACGAGCATCGTGACCACGGGCATCGTGATCACGAGCATCGTGATCATGGGCATCGTGATCACGAGCATCGTGACCACGAGCATCGTGATCACGAGCATCGTGACCACGAGCATCGTGACCACGAGCATCGTGACCACGGGCATGGTGATCACGGGCATCATGACCACGGGCATCCTGACCACGGGCATCGTGAGACATAGGCCCTGTTCGATAGCAATTTGGGAAAAATCTTCCCACCATTGTCCAAGCACAATGGTGGGAGCGTAAAGACAAAAGGTTAAGCGTTCGGCACCGCCGGCAGGGTAATGATTAAAGCCGACTGCCTGCCGGCTTCGATCACCTCGCCCAACGGCCAAGGTGTGTCACACCACAGGCTCAACAGCTCAACGGTCGTTTGAAGTGGAAACAGTGGCCAGTGAGCGAGGCGAAGGTTTCCCCACGGTGATGTTTGGTCTGCCCAAACAAAAAACCCAGATCGAGTCCAAAAGGGAAAAAAAAGGAATGGGTGACACGAACCTCACGCTCAACTTGAGGACTCAAGAAGCAAACCCTGATTTCACCGTATGTTTCGGTTGGTTTTTCATACCCTTAATTTGGGCAGCTTAACCTGGGGAAACCTTTCGTTTAGACTATCCCCAAATAGCCCCTCCGTGTGGAATGGTTGTGACTTCTCCTGAAAGTAGAAATGGAATTGGTGTCGAGCGGGGGGGTCGTTTTGCCCGAGAGTAGCTGTTTGGTCGATGTAATGATTACGCCGGCAGTCACTTTAGGGTGCGCTTTGGGGATGTTGGTGGTTGTTAGACTTCCCGCCTTGTTTTGGCGCGAGGGCGGGAAACCCGAGCCATCGCAGCGGTTTCGTTCGCGCGGGCGGGAAATTAACCTGGTCGCATGGGGGTCGCAACAGTCGCATGGAGTCGCAGACCATTTCCCGCCCATTTTCTCCCACCGTGGGATAAATTTTACAGATGTGGTCACCCTGCTATCGAACAGGGCCATAATTAACAAATGGAACTCCAGGGGAAGTTCATGAGACATACCGTAACAATAAATCGGCACACTATACTTAATATTTACATTTTGGGATCTAGATCTAGGCAGCAAATGATTTGCCACATCCACAGGTAGAGGAAGCGTTAGGGTTGCTGAATGAGAAGCCACCACCAATAAGAGCGTCGCTGTAGTCTAGCCGCATGCCGTACAGGAAGAGAAGGCTCTTGGGATCGCACACTGCAAGAGTGCATGAAGATACGAAAAGAATGTCAATGACGGAAGAGGCAAGCCTATAACGACAAGTAACGGAAACCTGAAACAGGCGGCTGAAAAGATATACGCACCCATAGAGAAGCCTTGGTAATCGACAATCGAGTCGCCTTCCTGAATGTTGGCTCGTTCCTCAAAGTCCATGACGTACGAAAATCCCGAGCAGCCACCCTGTCTGACGCCAATGCGCAGCAGCAGATCCTTGTTCAGCTCGGCGCGCATCTTGGTCAGATGCGCCAAGGCCTTCTCAGATAGGGTAATCGCCGGAGTCACTGACGGAGCAGCTGGTGCTGCGGTTGCTCCTGCAACGGAACAATTCAGGAATGAATATGTCAAGTGATTGTTTAGGAGCTGTAACCGGGATGAGGAGTCGCGTGTTAATGTGGCAGGAGATGGGGTCGTGTGAGGGTGATGATAGAAACGGGAAATTGCTTACCTCCAGCGCTGCATCGTACAGCGGAGAGGCGTTTCTGAGATCGGAAGGCTACGGATTTGCTAACGCTCTTCGCGCTAGCAGGCTGGGCCTTGAATGCTGCGCGCTGCTGTGGAGCACTGAACAGCGATGCGCTAACAAAGGCCGAGGTGGAAAGAGCAGCCATGACCAGGGTCGGGATTTTAGAGCGAGTCACACAGGCCTGATTTTGATAGAAGCAGGCAGCCTTACAGCGACTGCTAACACGCCTTCTGCGCGATTCTAAGAGTGCGAGGCTACGGACTGGACGCTACAATCAGTGACTGACTACTTGGCAGAATGGAGAAGCGAGGCAGCAAGCAAAAGAACAAAAAATGGCTGGTGGAAAGGAAAGGTCAGTTCAGTGCAAATGGGAGAGAAGAGAATGGATTCGGTTCATGAACGAGACCTGACGAACGGGCTAGGTGAACCATGCTTGCGAAACGGGTCCCTCGCGGACGCAAATATCTGCCCTGTGAGGGTAACCTATGGGGCAGTTGGCGAAATCGGAAACACTCGCGCGATATCTAGCTTTGCCCCGAAAAGGCATCGGCGATTCATGTATTCCCACGTGGACTCCTATGTGTGCGCGGTTCTGTGAGACGTCCTTCTCGTCATGGGCTCCAACCTCAGGGACGTCAAAACAATGCGCCTACAAGCACTTTCAATAAGTGTAAGCATTACAACATACGGTAACTCAAAGATGCAAAGACAAATCTATTTCTTGCATGGCAATGGCCTTGCCCAAGGACTTGACTTGGTGAGCCTTTTGCTGTATAGCTGGCAGACTATGCACATGTTCAATCGAAGCACGAAAAGCAACCAGCGAGGCTTGCTTGGCAAGAGCAACCTTGGTTGACCAGACTTGTGTGGATATGAGCTGGGGCAACGCCAATGGGTTACACAGCACTCGCCTCTTGAACCCCTCTTTGGCTGTTTCCTCCCTGTCCTCCGTCTGATTATTAACATCACTCCATCGCATCACGTCAGAATAGGTCCTCTTGTGTTGTGCCGCATGCACTTCACTCAGCATGGCACTCACTACCCGCTGAGCCTGCTGCTGCTGCTGCTGCTCCTGCCGCTGCTGCCACTCCTGCTGGTGCTGGTGCTGGTGCTGCTGCTGTTCATGTGCCAACTCAGAACGAGTCAGCAGAAGGTCCTTAGCCATTACAAGGGAAGGCCTGCGGGAAAGTGAGACAGGACGCACGGCACCAGAACCCATCTCCCGAGCCAGCTTGCCCACGCCTTCCGCACCTGATCTCCGAGGCACCTCGGACATCTCCCGAGCCAGCATGGCCATACGATTGGCATCGGCACTGCGCTGCTCCCGAAGCAGCCGATTTCTGTGAGGCACTGGCTCCATTGCACCAGCACCTGCACCTGCAGCTGCTCCCGCCCTGCCACCCCAGTCACACCCCACCTGCTGCTGCTCCTTCCTGCCCAGACTATACCTCCCTCTTGCACGCCCTGCCCCACCTGCTCCTTCTGACCTTCCTGCCCCTGCATGTGGACAATTTTCCCAGCCCCCTGACTCATCCAGCCATCTTCCCCCGTCCGACTTCCCCCCTGCCTCGAACCCCCCACTCAGGTGCCTCCTCATATGCCCCCCCAGAGCAGGCCCTGAGGCGAAAAGGGCCCCGCAAACGCGGCAGGGGTAACCAGGTGGAGGAGGCAGCGGAGAAAGGGGATCCAGAGGAGTGGTATGACGAGAGAGGCAAGCAGGGGGAGGGGAGAGAGGAGCAGGAGGGGGAGAACGGGAAGCGCGGCCGGGCAGGGAGAGAGGGGAGACAGGAGAGTGGTTGGGGGAAGGCGAGGGGAGCGGGGATAGGGTGGGAGCAGCTGGGGGCTGAAAGGAACGCCTGGGAGGCAGGAGCGGAGCAGAGAGCACGGTGGAAACGGGAGCAGGACGAGCAGGGCGAGAGGAGCGGGAAAAGGAATGAACGAGATTCTTCTGTGGAGACCCATGGCTGCTTCTGTAAATCCTGCTGCGTGCGTCCTCTGTCCCACGGCCGTCATCTTCACCCCCTCGGCCTGTGCTGGTCTGCAGAGGTGGCAGTGTTGGAGCCAGTGGGGAGGGCGTTGGGAGCAGAGCCAGGCTGATCTCCGTGCACACTGCAGCTGCAGGGGCAGCTGTGGCAGGAGATGTAGCAGCGGCTGTAGGAGCTGTGGTAGGAGTTGGAACTGTAGCAGAAGCCTCAGCTGTAGCAGGGGCTGCAGCTGCAGCAGATTCAGGGTTGGGCTCCAACAGTGAGTGGGTGCTCTTCAAGGCCGAGTGGTGCTGCTGGCACAGGTGCTTCAGAGGCGAGAGTTTCGAAGGAGAACCATTCACTGCCGAGGGTTGCGCTGCCGAGTGCATTAAGGCCGATCGCGTCCCGGACAAGTGCTCATTCAAAATAGACGTGCGCGTGCGAGAATCCTTTTCACCCTCCATCCCATAGCAGCAGCCCTGGTCACTCGCACGCGGCCCCTGCAGTGCATCGCCTGCCTCCTGCCCTCCCTGCTCGCCAGCCGGCCCCAGCAGCCACAGCACTGCTGTCTTCTCACTCTCGCCACCAGGATTGCCATGGGTGCGGCAGCGGACAGGAGAGCTGCACTCCTTGCCTCCCCAGGCGCTGCTGCGGCTGCAGCAGTGCTGCTGCTGGGGTTGCTGCTGCTGGGAGTGGTGCTGCTGGGAGTGGTGCTGCTGCCGGGAGCGGTGCTGCTGGGAGCATTGACTGCAGTGTTGCTCAGACATGATCCTGGGATGATGAACACTCTGCAGAGCAGGGGTGGCATCCAGAGCCATGCCGCGGCAGCTCTTGCCTCTGCTGCTCTGCTGCTGCTGCTGAGAGTGCTGCTGCTGCTGAGAGTGGTGCTGCTGCTGGGAGTGGTGCTGCTGCTGGGAGTGGTGCTGCTGCTGGGAGTGGTGCTGCTGCTGGGAGTGGTGCTGCTGCTGGGAGTGGTGCTGCTGCTGGGAGTGGTGCTGCTGCTGGGAGTGGTGCTGCTGCTGGGAGGGGCGGCTGTGGTAAGTTGCTTGGCCGGGTTGACTCTCTAGACTCTGTTGACTGAGGCGAGTCCCAAAGAGTAGCATGCTGGCAGGCTTGCTGACAGAAGAAGGAAACTTCTACGTCCGCGCCTTGCAAGATATTAAGGCTTTTGTGTATCGGGGTACTGTGTTAGTCAAGCAGGATAATACGGTTTCAAGTATCAGAGTATGTGTGAGTTGGTGCTTCTGCTGGCGGCCTGCCTGGGAGAAACGCGTACGCCTGCAGCTGCTGAAAGGGCTTTGAGTATCAGACTGTCGAGGTGGGAGGGTTCGGGCTGCTGCTGGTGCGAGTGCTGGACAGGGAAAGGAGCAAGATGAGAACTAGCAGGGAGGAACCGGTGCAGTTTCTGCCTATTGCTGAGACAAGCGAGTTGAGTAAATGCGCTAATGAATAAACTCGCCTTGCTCGTCGTCTCCCACTTTATTCTTCCAAACGTCGCCCAAGCTCGCCCCTTGGCCTCCTTTCTCCCCTCGATCCCTGTCTCCCACCTCGCCTGTCCCTCCCGCCCCTGCTCAAGACCCCGACTCGATCCACACCACCTGCTGCCGTGCCTTGTGACCCGCCACCTAGCAGCTAGCGGTTGGAGGTTAGCGGCTAACGAACTGGTACCCGTGAATCCCTAGGGACGGGTGCTTCTGGAAGGACGACTCGCTGGTGTAAGGAAAAACGGACGGATTAAAAAAAAGGAGGTCACATTCTGGAAGCACGGGATGCTCTTTCCACGAGCCCGCAAATGTCAGCCTACTTTCCGACGCCTCAAAAGTAGACCGAAGGGGTTTGCACCTGTCACCACGCTGCTGTTGCTACCTTTCGCGTGCCTTCTGCCTTCGGTGCCTGCTGTCGCCTGTTTCGCCCGTCCCTTGTCCCACACGCAATTTTCCTTCTCCCCCTGTCTCTCCCCTCCTGCCTTGCAACCCGCACCGGCGTCGACAACTCGACAAGGCGCGTGACGCGAGACGCGTGAGCGCGCGAGGAAGCTGACACGCACACGGCGAACTCAGCAGCAGCAACGTCGTACGGACTCGGCTTCTGAGGCGCTTCAAATATCAGTCAGGCTCGGCAATTCCGAGGGTCGCACGTCTGACTGCAGCGCGACGAAGCGACGGACAGCGCGTCTGTCAGGAGCCAATCACACGCGATTTAGCTGACGGCCGACTGTCGACCGGCTTGATCGTTTGATATGTGCGACTGTTGGGCCGACCTTGGGATTTACGAGCCAAGCGTCGCGAGCCAGAAGAAATTTCGCACGCCAGCGACAGTGCGCGAGGAGCGGTGTTCAGGAAACGGGGGGAGAACCCGGAGGACAGTCTAAGCGGGCATTTGACCTGAAAGTTCAAATGGTTAAGACAGAACGGACAACATGTCGCAACGCCAGCGTAGCAAGTACTGACAGCACAGCAGCAGTTGACAGATGGACTGGCGTACAACTTATCCTGATTGACAGCAGATACTTATGCCAGCTCAACAACCCTGCCGTACGGCGTAAACTCGTGCGCTGGATTGCGGGTTGATCCTAATGCTCTGTTCGCTACACCACTTGAAACATTGTTAAGTGGTCGCATTCTAGACGTCGCAACACAATAATATCTTACGCGAAATATCAGGACCAGCTAAGCAGAGATCGGCATAGCTCGGCACAGTACGGTCCAGCTCAGCACCGTACTGACCGCTGGTGGTCCACGTGGACAGGTCGGTACACACTCTTCCTCGCACCGACGACCTTGGGATCTACTCTCGACGCGCATCGACATAGCGAGTGGTAGCATTTAAAAGCTTAGGGAATCAGGCCAAATTCGCGGTTCGGGTGGATGCTTTTTTGGTATACCTTTCCCTGAACGAGAGCCGTTTTGAGCCTGTCAGATCTGAGGTCGCTTGCGACGAGCCGTGCGATCTGTGCGATCTGCGTCCGACGCGTTGACTGACACATCGCCAAGCGACTCTTAGTCGCCACTGAGCTCATGATACGGCGGCGACAGGATGAGCGACAGGAGGATGTGCGACAGCTCGACGACGGGTGGGAGAAAGAGCGGTATGATGTGCGATCCTGCAAAAGACGCCAGCGATCGCAGACAGATTGCTCAACGATGCACGATGACAGCTGCGAGACATTATGCGACAGGCGTGCTGCCAGCAGATGCCCTTGCGAAGGGAACGAGTGCGCGACTGGCCGACAGCCATGACTTGGATGAGATAGAAAGGAGATCGATGAGACGAAGCACGAGTGACAGAATGACAGCCAGTGGACCAGAAGAGAAGGCTTGGTGGAAGCCTGAGGGTTGCAAAGCGGTTCGAGTGGTGAATGGAGATCTGGATCTGAAAAGTTGTTTATTTTGCAGATACTGTTCTATATAGCATGTTGCTGTTTATGCTGAATCTAAAAGGAGGTCATTGAAAAAATATAGGCAGATTAGACTTTGGCAGGCTAGACTTTCATCTCTGTTCCCATGTCAAGGCCAACACATTCTCCTTCCTAGGCCCTATATCATGATCCTAATTGCAAAACTTGATGCATAGGAAGGCTTTTCTTGCACCTATTCCTTATTTCCCATTTCATCGTTTCCAACACATGGTTTTTCCTACACTCTCTCATTCTCTACCAACACATTGTGAAACAACACATAGACAAAGCTTTGGATTTCGGCCACCAGCACAGGGAGTGCATTTTCAATCCCTTACAGTGCCTTCGTGCCCACGAGCACTATCAGCATCCAGCATCTCAAGGCATTTCTCCGTTGTCGAGAGGCTAGCGCACCGCTCAAGTGCCATTCCCGTTGTCGGCAAGGGTGGCCCCATGCATTGCAAAGGCTGCTGGTGCAAACCTGTAAGCACAGCCAGAAATGCAGGTCAGGACACCCAAAAAAGAGTCATTCAAATGGTGAACGAGTTAAATGCAAAGGCAAGCAAGACATAAGCTCAGCTCAGAATCGAAGTGGCCACTCACCCAGTGCTTCCTCCGCCTCCGCATCCCCCATTAACGCATCCAGATGATTTCCCATGTGTCCAGGCCGGTCTGCTTCCGTATCTTCTAATCCAGCACCCATCGCTGCAAACCCCTCCTCTTCCATCGCCCTCCCACCTCTCTCCGTTTCTTTCTCGTCCCCCCTTGCCATTCCGCCCACCAGATCACCATAATACTGCAACTGCCCCACAATAGGACTCTCCTGCTCCTGCACATTGCGGCCGCTCGGCACATGGTAACTGTGGCTGGGGTCCTCAAAGCCACCACTTGACTGCCCAAAACCGCTAGTCGGCTCCTCGTAACCTCGATCCCCAGGGAGCAGAGCCATGGCAACAGCAGTTTGCCAGCTTCCTTCGAACCCCTCCTTCAAGTCCACGTTTGCATTAACTTTCATACTTGTTTCTGCCCTTCCTCCCTCTGCTACCTTCTGTGCCTGCTCCGGTGCACCTCCTGTACCTCCTATTTCACCAACCAATTTCTGCACCAAATCAGGCCTGAAACCCTCCTGCACACCCGCAGCCCTACCAGCACCACCGCCATCACCACCAGCAGCAGGAGCAGATGCGGTGGCAGCAGCGGCAGCGGCAGTGGCAGCGGCAACAGCCGCAGAGGCGGTAGCGGCAGCAGTAGCAGCAGCCACAGCAGCAGTGGCGGATCCAGCAGCAGTGGCGGATCCAGCAGCAGCATGCATCCCGTCAGCATCCGGTGGGAGCGTGGGGGTCCTAGGCAGGGAAGGCACAGAGAGCAGCCTGAGAGGGCGGGGAGTGTGCCTCTCGGAGGAGGGTTGCTGGGGTTCCATCTGAAGTGGGTCTTGGGTCGGAGGAAGGACGCTTTCAATCCGCTCGCCTCCCTGCACGATACTCCCCTGGAAGCGATCCATGGAGTGAGCGAGTGGTAGCGAGTGTGAGAGGAGGAGCGACTGTGGGGGAGGGAGGGAGTGGGGCTGGGGACGCAGGTCTGGTCTGTGCTGGAGGAAACCCAAGGAGGAGGTGGTGGGGGGAGGTGGGAACTGGGGTAGGACGTCCTGCGTTACGCTGGACATTGTAGGGAGGGCAGAGAGAGGGGCTCGTGAGGGGGTGATGGGGACGGTAAGAGGAGGTGCGGTGCGGGGGGTGATGGGGACTGCGGAGAGGGGGGTGGGGTGTGTGGAGAGAGCGAGGACGGGCGCTGGAGTGGTGGGAGCGGCGAGGATGGATGGGCTGGCGACGGTGGGGGGCGCGGCGAGCACTGCTGGTGGTGCTTTCTGCTCCTTGAGCATCTGCTCGGTCAAGGGGTGACACAAATACAATGGAAGAGAAAGGGGATGATGAGAGGTGAGTTGGTCACGAGATCAATGGTGTCGGTAAATTTTACATTTGGAAGGAAAAGTAAGGATAGGTGGAGGGAAGGTGGTCAGAGGAAGGGGTACCAGTCTCACCAGGTGGCCGAATTCGGAACGCAAGAAGCTGATGGTGTCGCCTGCTGTGAGACCGTACTTGCGAATATAGTCTCCTGCACATGGTAACAGCAACGTGTCAATTAATTGCAGGTTGTGCGAGACGCAAATATTTGCAATGTACGAAACAATGAAGTCCAACAGCTGTGCTCACCTGCGTGTTCTAACACATACATCCTGCTCCGGTTGTTGGGCCAGAACCTGCAGAGAGACACGCAAAGAGGCACAGTGTCAGTCATGACCCAGAAACTGACACGTGTAGCAGAAACACCAGTCGCCTCCTGCTTGGCTCTCCACTTGTGAGGAACCAAGAAGGTACCAGTTCATGATGAGCAGCACACACACTGGTAACGAAAGCACCACTGGCCGCCAATGGAGTCCTCTACGATGATGAGAATGCCCTCCTTGCTCTCCACGTGCGGCAGGGGAAACAGATACCTCCACCAGGAACGCTCATACCATCCATACCAGTACCAAAAACAACATCAACGTTGGAGCAACACATCTGTAGAAGTAGTACCACTGGGCGATCAGACCTGGCGAAAGCACACACCTGTACCGGAAGCACCACTGGCCACCGATGGAGTCTTCAACGATTATGAGAATTCCCTACTTGCTCTCCACATGCGGCAGGAACTACTGAAGACCTCTGCTAACAACACCACATACCAGTACCAGCAGCACCATCACTATTAGAGTAACACACCTGTAGCGAAAGCACCACTGGCCGCCAATTGAGTCCTCCACAATGATGAGAATGCCCTCCTTGCACTCCACGTGCGGCAGGAATCGCTCTGCCGGCACTTTGGGCAGCACGACCCGCCCCAGGTGGCTCGTGTCGCTTGCTGTCAGAAGCTTCTCAAACAACACGCCTATTGACTTGCTCTGAGGGTGGAGCGATGGGGGAGAGGGGAGTGCAAGGAGGGAGTGGGCGGAAGGGGGGAGGGGAAGGAAGAAGCGTCTCAAAAGATTCCAGCACCTTGACCAGCATTTTCCTTCCCAGTGAACCTAGCATCATAAGTGAAAACAGCATTTTGCTTGCACTTGGAGAAGCATACAACAGCAATCAGGCGTATGGCCTACTACCTTATAACCACATCCCTTCCCTACCTTGGAGCCATAGCCACGGAAGCCAGTGCCTGTGGATGGAGAGAGATCCTGACTGGACACGCCTTGCAGTTGCTTCGGCGTGCTTCCAGGTGAGCCGCCTGATTTGGAGTCCACGTCAGCACTTCCGTCCACGTCAGCAGGCCCTGCCACGTCACCAGTGGCCTCCATGCTGGCGATCCTACGTGGCATTGCCATCGCCGTGCCCCTGCTGCCGCCACTGCCTCCGCTGCCCTCTCCCTCGGACCGGGTGAGAGACCCCCTGCGTGTCAGCGGCTCTAAACACAGGGCCCTCACTTCCCTGCATGTTTGGAAACACAAGCAATAGCCAATGACAAACACAACACAAAAACAGTGTTGGCAAGTTTATTATATCAGCAGCATTGCATCCCAGCCATGCACGTGGCAGACAAGGGGTTCCGAACAGGCAATGGTATGAAGCACACGGCTTTACAGCAGCCGACGCAGTGCAGTCTCACAGCCATACCTGCCTTCTGACTCTGTCAGTGAAGCCTGTGGGCGCAGCCTGCTGCCACCGATGACTCCCCCCCCACTGCTGCTGCCACTCACATTCCCATGCACCACCATCTGCCCCGGACTCATTGGTTGCACCACACCCATCGTCCCCTGCTCATTCCCCATCCCTCCCATCCCCTCCCCACCCACACTCAATCCCCCAGACATCCCCTGCACCCGCATCCTCTGCTGCCCCATCCGCCCACTCCCCCTCGGGGACCCCAGGGATCCCCCATGCGCGGGGCCTCTCCCCCCTGTGTGCCGCCCTTTGCCAGGAATATGCGCCCCTGGGTGGTGGGCGCGCAGGGCGGCCCTCCTCTTGCTGCGGTTGCTTGCAGCCACACTGGGGGAGAGTTTAGCCAGGGACGGGGTGGTGGGGCTGGCGGAAGGAAAGCCCCCAGAGAGGGGAGAATGCGTGGGGAAGGGGAAGGAGCCAGGGGTTCTGGAAGAGGGGGAGGGTGCGCCCATGGGGGCGTATGCGCCTATGGGGGAGTGTGCGCCGAAGGGGGGAGGGCTGGGGGGGATGGAGATGGAGAGGCGTTGGAATTCCGCCAGGCGTGGGGAGGGCAGGTGGGAGAAGCAAGGGGAGGAGAACGGAGAAGGCTGACCGGGCGAGAAGAGGGGAGATGGCAAGTGAGGAGAAGAGAGAGGGGAGGAGAATTGGGAGGAGAGATGGGGAGAGGAGGCGAGTCTGGGGGATGAGACACGGAATGGGTCGCCCCCGAGGGCCCTGCCTGACTGCTGCAGCTGCTTCCTCGCCCAGGGAGGAAGCCGTGACGACCGCTGCAGACCCCCATCTCCTCCCTCTCCCTCTGCTGCTCCTCCGCTCCCCTTACCCTCACCGCCATCCACTCCACCTTGTGTTTCCCCCCCAACCCCCCCTGCATCACCCGCCTGTGCCCCATCTGCACCAGCGCCCAATGCCTTGCTCTCTCCCTCAGTGGTTTTCCCATCACCACCTGCACCTCCCACTCCCTGCTCACCCTGACCCTGCTGCTGCTCCAGCCCCCCCTCGTGCAGCTGCTGTGCCTGAACCCCAGCAGCCGAAGCGCCACCAGAACCCATTCTGGCTGTTCCCCCCAGCCTGCCTGCTGCTTGGAGATCCCTGTGGAGACTAGCGGACCATAGCATGGCGTCAGTCATACCCGCACTGGACGCACCACCACCACCACCACTGCCAAAAGATGGGCCGGAATCAAAACCTAGAGCTCTGTCATTCCAGCCGGGTAGACCTCTCTCCTCCGGCGCATTGAGCAGGCTCTGGAAGGAGGTGCTGGCTGGCTGCTGCAGATATGATCTCTCCGACATGCTGACGTGGCCGGATGGCAGGATGACGTGGCCTGACGGTGTGCGGGTAAGAGGCGACTGGTTCAGGCTATGGTGGTACTGAAACAATCCGCTCATGCCAATGCCACTTCCGATCCCTTCCATTCCAGCCTCCCCTTGACCCATGAGCATCCTGCCTTCTTCCATTGTCAGCCTATGAGACAACCCCCCAGATGCTCCCACCATACCAGGTAAATCATCCGCCCGAGCTATTCCCTGGCCCTGTGATCTTCCTGAAAACTGCTGGCCGTTGAGAAAATCTAGCCCTCCTGACCCCATCCCCATCCCCATTGCGGACAGGCGAGATGAGTAATCAAGCGCTGATGCCCCATACCCAGCAGCTCGGTGCCCCAAGGAGGACCATGGAAACTGATTGGATTCGCCAGGAGCAGCCAGTGGGCCTTCCCCCATCGCAGCCTGCATCGCCTGCATCATGCTTCCGCCTTGCTGCTGCCCCCCTGCTGCTGCCACCTCTGCGTCAAATTCACTCAGCGCACTGAACCCCCTCCCTCCAGGATCTGATGCTGAGAACCCACCTTCCAGCATCCCTGTGAAGGCCGCTCCTGAGGAATTCCCTGGCGTTCCTCCTGGTGCTACTCCATGGGAGAATCCAGGCATGTGTGCTACGGTACTGCTGGTGTCCAAACGGAAGGGGCTCAGTGTCTGGAGAGGCTGTGAGGAGTGAAGAGCGGTGAAGCGGTCCTGGAATCCGGCAGCAGGGGGTGTTGCGTGCCGTCTGATGTCCCACAGGTGCCTTCCATGCTGAGCGGGGTTGATGTCCTGAGGAGGAAAAAAAAAAGAAATTAATCAAATATCAACCACCACTTTCCGTAACCAAAACAAGGGTACAAAAAAACGACCAATGTAGCATCCATAACAAGAGACGGGTAAAACACACCAATGAAAGAACACATCACCCTGAGGCAATAACGTAGAACGGGTACGAAAATAATCTCAAGCTAAACTTACTGTTTTCGGCCTGTTGGTAGTAAGCCACTTCTTAAGAAACCGCATGTCCGATCCAAGGTCTAGACACAGCTCATGCGCTGATCCTGACGTCTCTATGCCCTCCAGCCGCCATTGAATGGACTCTCCGAACGCTCTCATACGATCCTGGACAAAAAAAGGCACAAAAAGAACGGTGGTTAGACAGTGAGAGGTGTATCAAAGGGATGAGATGCATGAGGAGATGCATTGAAGAGATAGAGTAAATGGAACAGATTTATCTGAGGACAAAATATGTATACCTCTTCGCTCGGTAACAACCTCTTTCTTCTGCCAGCCTGCCGCCTTGTGACCTCCGCTGGTCCTCCTTCTGCTCCTCCTCCTCCTCCTCCACCATCGCCTGTACCATCACAACGAAAACGACAAGAATGGTCCTTAAGTCAGCTTTGCATCAGTTTAAAGAATCAAGTTGATTACTGAATCAGAGATGGCGCAGCTAATCAGGCATGCACGATTCATCCCATCATTCATGCATAGTCAGTTCATGATTTCATGCATAACCGACGGACCAATCACCCATGAATGATTCAAACACAGACTACATCCCAGCCATGCATGATCCATGCATAAGATGGTCACTCATGAACCTCACGCATGCAAAATTTGCGTAGCAGTTATTCATGCATAGTCACATAGATTATTACCAGAGGGTGGAGAGAGCACACGGTGGCGAGGGCCTCTAGGAGGGCTGTCGAGGGGGTCAACGAACAGCCTTCTCCGCACGTTCAAATTATCTGCTCCCGATATTGTCACCTCTTGCAGCCCCGATAGATCCACACCCCTCAGGCCTTCCGAGGCTGCAGGAGCGGATAAACCCCTACTGCCATCAGCAGGTTGTGTCACAGCAGGTTGTGCAACAGGCTCCGTTCCTACTTCTTGGGATCCTACACCGTCTCGTTGATTTCGAAAAGGCGGGATCTGTACATCTGCTGCCTGGATAAGCGCCAAGAACGAGGATGGTTCCGGGTTGGCATTCGTTTGCCCTGTGGATCTGGATCTGTCATCCGTTGCAAATAGTGGCACATTTCGCGGAGAGGGAGAGATGGGATCTCTTAAAGTGTCTCTGACGCAACTGAATGGCATCTCAATTTTATGCAGCTCGGAATCTGTAAAGCCAAGCGCTTTAGCGCCATGGTCAGCCTCATCAGACCGTGGTGATGGAAGAGTGCAGATAACGGTGTCGTTGTTAACACGAGGAGCCTGCAAGCAAACGCAAAGGCATTTTATGTTAGTATCCGTGATTTTATCCCAATGAATGCAAGATAGTGATAGAACTACCTCGTTCACGCCATCCTTGGAACCTCCAGAAGAATCTGGCATGTATTCCCTCAATGGACCACCAGAACTAGCAGCAGATGCCATCCTGCAAACAAACACGCGCAAAATGATATTCGACAATACGAAATATGAATTTTGAAAATACATAGTACCTCCTTGGGAACCTGCATTTGAAAATGGATAATAGTATTCAACGGCAAAACCTGCGGATAAAAGGACACGAGTACAAACTGAGACAACAAGGGTAAGCCAAAGAACAGAGGCCGCTGAGCTACATGAAATATTAAATGTATCGCTCCCATGATCGGTGCTAGATTTTGTTAGTATTAGCTCTGATACCTGGCATGCACGTTCTCCAGAAGCCAGCTTTAGCTCCGAACGAAGTTCAAGACGTGGCTGGGAGAACAAACGCGAAGCTGACTCGAAAGGCTTGCATGGACACACGAGCAGCTGCAAGGAACCCACAATGCAAGGGTTTCTAGGAGATTGCAGGACAGGAAGAATTTGGAGATGAGAGGAAGGAGCATGAGGGAGAGAAAGCCCGTAAGCTCAGAAATCGGATTTCCTTCTGGCTTTGGCCAGGGGATTGTGAATTGTGTATTGCATTTGAAGCAGGAGGTGGCGTGCATTGAGCAGACGAGGCATCCAACCTTGGCATGCTCGCACTCATCGAACCGCGAGGAAATCCTGGCCGTTCACGGCTCAACCCAATGCGCGATGGCCAATGTACATGGATTTTGGATGACGCGATATACGTCAAATAGTCTACACTTAGCCTCCTGAGCATCCAGCATACGGTACTTGCACTTCGGCAGCATTCACAAGTTATGCAAGGAACTTGAAGTCGGGAGATATGATGCCAATACCGATACCAGTAGTTACCTGCAAGAGAAATTGGCCGGCTGGGAGATCACAACGGTCAATTGCTGTACTATTACTAAGCTTTTATGCCAGAACCAGCAGCAGCGGTTTACATTATTAGGTGCGTATAGTTCCAAATTATAAAATCCTAACTCAAATAAACCTCCTGCACCATAGCAGAATCTTCACTGCCACAGTAAACAGTGGAGGCTATATGTATGACAAAATGGAGCTAGCATTGAAGCTCCAGAACCGTAACAGACAAATCGTCATGCAATTGTCGGCGGTAATCGCCTGCACGTATTTGAAGGAGTTGTTCAATCGTCATACCTGCAAGAAGCATGCCAGGTATGTCGGTCAGACTGGGAACAAACAACCACCACCGCAAACGAACCCCATCATGCACATCCGCAAGAAAGCACAAGCAGGATCCGGGCACCCACCTGCTCTTCTCGCAGCTCGATCAAGCGCCTCTTGCACCAGCGCATGCGAAAGATTCGGCCCACAAGCGCCCTTACACGAGCTCCCACAACCACCCTCAGCACCGGTGCTACCAGCACCAGAAGCCTTATCAGCAGCAGCCAGTGTGCGGGACACAGAGGCGGCAGCGTCGGCAGGGGTCATGTGTTGGTAGAGACCGTCGGAGGAGAGGACGAGGTAGCGGTCAGAGGGGGAGAGAGTGAGGTGGTGGAGATGTGGCGAGGAGGAGATGTAGGGCTGAGACCCCACGTACTGCACTCGCAGCATCCCGAGAAGCATGGCGTTGACTCGAGGCTGGCGGATGGAAGAGGGGGGGGAGGCGAGGGGAAAGGTGAGCGGAAATTGACACACATCTAAGAAAAGCATTTGCATGCATGAGGTAGACAACGGGGCAGCACAAGGCGAGAATAGAGTGAGCATGACGACCGGAAGTGGACTCAATCAAATAAAGGCTTAAGGGAGCGTACATTCTTAAGGTAGGCAGCACCAAATGCCCTGGTGGCCTTGAGCTTGCCCTTGACTCGCATCTTTGTAATCGCATCAGGGTCGTCCGCCCTCTCCCTCCTCAACCTCTCCACCTCCTGGAACAGGCACCAGTGGCAGGCAACAACATCACGAGGGCGAAACGTCAGAATGAGATACAGGAAAAAAAAACCACCAGGAAAAATAATAAATGTTCAAAACTGAAGAAGATGGGATATGGCTCTCACCTTCTCATTGCTCGTATTGTGGTCCTCTGTCAGCTGGGTCGCCCGCAACTCCGACAGCTTCTTCTGCCCGTCCCCCTCCATCTCCGCCCCATCTCCCATCGCCCCACCTTCCCCCGCCTGCCCCGCCTGCCCCTCCTCCGCCACGACCACGGCGCGGCAGTCACCGAGGTTCATAACGTACAGCTCGCGCCCGGCCACCACGGCCACCACGAGGCACGCGCCCGCCACGGCCAGCTCCAGCCGCTCCGCCATTCGCTCCTCTAACGACTCGAAATACGCCGCCTCGGTTTCGCTCAGCGCCGCCGCTAGCGCTTGCAGGACCATCTCATGCCGCTGCGATGTGTCTTTCGCCTCCGCTTCTCTCTGCGCCGCTACTTCCGCCGGAACCGACGAGGCACTCGAGTTTGCCTCTCCGAAATCCAACCCGCGGGAGACTAATTGCTGGGCGAAGCGCGTGTGCAGATTAGCAACGAGAAAATCAGCTGCTGACGTGTCAGTAAACCCGTCATACACGGCGGAAAACACGTAGCCGTTACCCGAGGCCACCACCTGCATTCGGTCCTCCCCCGCCACCCCCTCCGCCCACTCCGCTCCCTCCGCGGACGCGCACGTCGCTCCGCCGTTCCCCCGCCCCGCAGCGTCGCTATTTAAAGACCAGGAAACAACTATCCCTTCCTCCGCTTCTAGTCCTAACAGCTCCGGCTCTCCACCCTCGCAGTCCGCTCCCTCCCCCTCGCGCGCCCTTTCCGCGACCGCCGCTTCCGCCGCGCCTCCTGCAGGCCTTTGCGGATTTCCCGGAATAGGAGAGCCACAGGATTGGCCAAGGCTCATGCTGATCAAATCCTCACCTCCCACGGGACCCAGGGGTCCTGTGAGGGTGATCGCATTCATCGAACCCGGAGAGTTTCTCAGAAAATTCCTCCGACTCGACGGCAGTAGCCGACTCGACGACCGCGACGACAGGCGAATCTTGTCGCCAATCGTCGCCCAGCCCGTTCGCGAGTGATGCTCCCGATGGCTGCGACTGCTCCGCGTGATTCGCCACTTTCCGCGCGACGACTCGCCTGGCGACCTCGCTGCAGTCTCCTCCTCTTCAGCCATAACAACCGTCCCAGTCCACGACACCTCTCGCACCGGCTCCTTGTGGCTGCGGCTCAGCGTGATCCCAGTCTGCCCCGCGTCTACATTCTGCACGGCGCTTTGCACTGCGTTCTGCACCGCGTTCCGCTCCGCTTTTTGCGCCACGTTCTGCGGCACTTCGAAAATAGCCGCCAAGTCGCTCCCCTCGTCTGGTCCGTGCGCGGAACCTCCGGCGCCTTCATCGAACCGCCTGTCTTTATTCCTCAACCACCCGTTCAGATTCGGCATTGACATACTAAAATTAATCCGTTTCAGCAGGTTCTCCGAACCCTGTCGCTTGACGGAAAGCGACTGCGATCCGCGCTCCGTTCCGCCACAGGGGGAGGAGGACCCGGAGGATCCCGAGGAAGAGCATGAGCCAAGAGCGGAAAGGGGGAGGTTGGGGGGGAAGCTGCGGAAGGATTGCGTGCTAAGGAACAGCTTGTGCGTTATTCCGCCACTCAGCGTGGAATGCGGGCTCAGGGCATTCGCCTCGATCCCCGCGCCGGTTACCGCTACTACTGCCGTCCCGCGAAGCGCGGAGGGAATGGCGATAGGCAGGCTGACGTCAACCGGCGATTGGAGACAAGGGCTTGGTTGGAGAAAATGCTGCTGACTGGCCAGCTTCCCCGAGTCTGGAGCCGTCGCTGTGGAGTCAAGCGCTGATGCTACTATGGAAGACCGAGCGACTTGAGAAGTTAAGAACGAATTGCGTGAGGGCAGCGAGAGATTGAACGGCCTAACGGGCTGAAGCTGTTCAACACCTTCCACTCTAAACGGCTCTGAGGGAGGGGTTGCTGTACTGTGAAGCGAGGACGCTGCAAGCGCGGACGCACCGAGATCAGCGGGGACAGGCGTGGAATGCGCCATGGATAGGAGAGGGAAGAGACAGTGGGAGGTTTGCACGTCAGCAGTCATGTCCGATGAATGCGTCTGCCGCCCAAATGAACAAGCCTATCATTCAAGTCTATAAAACAGGGAGGATCTTAACTAGGCCTCTAGTTTAAGACCTCAATTTCCCGTCACGGCTGATCACCAAGGAAGCTCTTTAAACTGATCCTTGGACTGCTAATCAAGGAGACTACGAACAGACTGCCTCAGTGCCAAAAGAAAAATCGTTTATGCGCTCGAGCACAATATAAGCTAAGCGCATAGGCAGCTGATGCGTGGAGCATTGGATAATGGCTTGGCAACACACCACAGTGCATTACCACTTGACTCTGCTTCTCCCTACTCCCTCAGCTCCTCTTTTCCTTGCAACTCCCTTGACAGCAGCGCTGCGATCTGTATCTGAACGGTAAATTTGGTCAAGGGGATAACACAGTAGCCCCCGCATTTCTGCACTGTATCCTATCTATGGGATCGGTCGGAAAGGAACCTTGGGAACAGAGCAGGATAAACCCCTGGGCTGTTTTGGGGAAGGCGGCTCACCATAGTGCGCGCGGAAACTTTTCCACCAGGGCGGGAAAGGTAGACTGCGCGTCGGTCCGCGGAAGCCTAGCCCTGGGTCGAGGCGGAGACGAGAAGCAGCGAGAGCCACGCGCTGAGTTGTCTCGGGAACACGCGGCGAGTGGCCTGCTGCGAGTCTTGGATATATCAGTGTGGGATGGATTGGTTGAGAAGCTCGGGAAGTGGGGACCACACGTGACAAAGGAACAGCAATGTGCGCCTGGTTCGGCTTTGAACGGTGCCAGCGGGTCCGCCTTGGCGGTTCAGTGCGCGAGCGATCACGTCAGGTCAGGAAGCCTAGCAGGGCAGGTTGTGGTCTGGTCTGGCTGGCGGGGCGATTTATGAATGATCAAACTCACGCGCGGGCGGCAGGGATATTCACCTTGGAAGCTTCCAGCTAACATAAAATGTCAAGCCAAATTATCGGGCAGAATGGCATGAGAGCTTTTGCAAAGAGGGGGTTCCCCATGAGTCATGACGCCAGAAATTGTTTCTCGTGCGGCCTTGAAGGGCACTGCCGGATGATCGCAGACAAGCAAATTGTTCAGCAAAATAAATTCATCGTTACCCTACAAGATAAATAACTTGTCCAGCAAAGCAGGGCAACGGCAAAGTTGTTCAGCTCTTCCTTCACCACAAGCACTTGATTTGCATGCACGGCTTGCAACTACCATCCCGCCGCAGAAAAATAGCAGCCAATAGTTTCCATGCTGACGACTTCAACCACCTCCCATTTGCAGACACATGGGAGGCCAGCCCCTTCTAATTTGCAAGTCATTGGCCACAAAACATTGAAGCCAACCAATAACGGCAGTCCTGCTGGCATGATTCCCACCTAGGATTGAGAGCCCAAGTCTCCGTTATACAAATGCAACCCAATCACTATAAGGAGTTCCTTGTACATGTACACTATGTTCAAAGGGGTAGTTCTCACATCCGCTATTGGAGAGGTTTGAGGTTGAATGAGCAGACTGTAGAAAAGAAGACAATAGGGTACCTCATGGATGACATTTTTTAGATTTTAGATAAACCTTGTGAAACCCAGCCAGTAAAAATTCCAACTTACCGGTACATGCATTGCTCTGCACACCGGACAAGCACATGTCTTTACCGTAGGTCTGTGCTTATACACAGGGTACAATACAACCAGAAATTCAAATCAAATTACGAGGTTGATTCAATTTGAACAGTGAGGTCCCTGACACCAATGTCATTGAAAATGGAATGGACGTGCTCAAGAACCTTCTGCTCATCCACGCCTTCTCTAACCTGCAAAACAAAAAGTAGCGTAGAAATAATCAATGTGCAAATTCGTTTTGTCTGTTGATAGCTTGCGTTGAAACATGACAGTCTCAACCCAGCAGCTATGAACAATAAAGCATGTAGCATGTGGCACGAAAAAAGTGCTGTAAACTCACCCGAACGGTGAGTGTCCCCACCACATGTCCGGGGACCACTGCCCAGAAGCGATGCTCTGTGCACTCCTCTACGCCTTCATATGCCGCCACCTGCTAGGTGACCACGCGCATGCACAAAGCACATAAATAACATATGGAACAACAGGCACACATGGCGAGGCTCTCATGTTTGGTGTGAGAACCCGAGAAGCACTGGTGCATGCATATAACGACAGACGTGACATGCAGAGTCAGAGTTACACCAACAGTTGCAAGAATCACAGTGACACACAAATTGATTAGAGATGAGAGCAGTGGGAATGAAAGACCCACATGGCGAATGCATTTGTGCAGGGCGGGTTCGGAGATGCCTGCAGCGGCCATCTGCAGCAGGAGATTGCCGGACGACTGGACCAATGGGAGCGCAAGGACGAGCACTGTGAGGGAGACGAGGCCCAGGCAGATGGCCTCTGCACTGTACACCCTGGGAAATTCGGTAGGCGAAAATGATTGGGTCGAGATAAGGGGGAAAAAGGGAGGGAGGGGAATCAATCAGGGAGACGCGCACTGCGAGGGAGACGAGGCCCAGGCAGATGGTCTCTGCACTGAAAACCCTGGGAATTGAGACAGGAGTGTTTAGAAAGGGGGGGGGGGAGAGGGGGGTGAGGGGGAGGATGGGAAAGAGGGGGGAGGAGCGGGTGATTGGGGGAGTCAGGAGGGAGTGAGTGAAACGAGGCTCAGGCAGATTGCATCTGCACTGCACACCATGGAGATTGAGGCAGATGCGAAATGGGTAGAGGTAGGGTGAGAGAAAGAGCTTGGCGGGAGTCAGAACTTGGGGATCCAAGTAGAGTGACGACATGTGTGAAACACAAGATTGAGATTCTGAAAGCAGTTGATCAACCTGCAAACGAGACCTGCAAAGAATCGATTATTGTTGACCGTTTTGCATGCGTACAAGCGGGGTCTTACCCTATTGCAATGAACCACGAGGCAAGGACAACCCCACCACTGCAACAGGCAAGGGGGACGAACACAAGGGAAAAGCAGGTAGAAGAAAATGATGGATTCGACTGTCTCAGGCATGCAAGCAAGCCGATCACTTGATGAGTGAAAGTAAATGACCTGATGGGACCAGGAACATGGCTTGATGGAAGTACAGTAATCACTCTCGGTTAGTACCTTCTGATAGAGTCACAGAGCAGATGCAGCAGAATGGCGTGATGGTTCATGTCCCTTGGTTTCTGATATGCTGGTGTGACACAGGGGAGAAGGAGCGAAGGGAGATGGAGGAGAGGGAAAGTGTGAAGGTTTCATGTCCCTTACCCTGTTCATGTAACCCTGCTTACACACCCCTGCTCACACACCCCTCCTCCTCACTCAAACAGGCACCTCTGCACTCACTTATTGTGCGATTTTTGAGGCGCCTAAAAATCACCCCTCCTCACACAGACCTGCAGTCTCATACAGACACCTCTGTACTCACTTATTGTGCGCCGAGCAAAGCTTTTAAAGAAGAAGACTCCGAGGAGGTTGATGAGTAGATGAACCACCGCGGACAGCACCAGGTAGTGCCTGCGCAGGTGGTGGGGAAAGGGAGGAAAGAGAGGCAAAAGCTCTTGAATAAGAATACTCCGAGGAGGTTGATGAGTGGATGAACCACCGCGGAGAGCACCAGGTAGTGCCTGGGAGCACACAACAACAGGTAGAATGCAAACACTCATTTGTGCTCAGTTTCGTCCTCGATATAAGCATGCAGGCACTCCACTGCTAGAGTGAACGAATGCAAACACTCACTTGTGCTCATTCGCGATATAAGAATGCAACTACCTCATCCGCGATGCAAACACTCACTTGTGCTCTGCCTCATCCTCGATATAAGCATGCAGGCACTCCACTGCTAGAGAGAAAGAGAGGAAGAGAAGGAAGAGCTGCACAATAAGGTGGTGAGGGGGGAGGTGGGTGGGAGGTCCAGGGCGGGGGGGAAAAGGAGAAAACGCATTCAGCCCTGTAGTTCCATGCCGTTAAATCTGTATCAGTTGAATCTGTATATGTGTACAAAATCTCATGGATGCTTGCACTCAGCTGTTGGTGTCAGCTGTTACCACTCCCAGTCTCTCTCACAACACAAGGCAGGAGGATGAGGAGCGATGCCAATGGGTTCTGAATTTGCACACAAAAGGCAAGCAGCACATCACAAGAGCAATTGAGGGGGGTTCTCGCACTCACTCCATTGGTGGAGGCTGCTAGCACCTCCAATCTCTCATGGCTGGAGGCAGGAGCAACAGCGATGCACTTCGATTCGCACTAAAGGGCAAAGCAGCGCATAATCATAGCATGCATGGTGGGTTGTTGCACTCTTCTCGCACTCACTCCATTGGTGAAGGCTGCTAGAACCTCCAATCTCTCATAGCTGGAGGGCGCAGCCAGTGGGGAGGATGCCCGAGGAAGCAGTCAGAGGGGGGCAGGAATCCAGAGAGAGCAACAAACGGCAGGGGAAAATGCAGGAGTGGGGAGGGGTTATGAAACAGAGGGGTGTGAAGGCAGGGTCGAGAGGGAGTAGCCATGCTGATGTTGAGACGTAAGGAGAAGAGCACTTTTGAGGTTAAGTGCAAATGAACAAAACGATGCACGCATGGAGGCATTAGCTGAAGGTGGCACCTGGGGAAGGTGACACCATCGGATTGTCCTACCTGGTGGTGACGTCTGCAGGCCTAACCGTAGGTGAACACGAGCATGGCGGCAAGTGAGAGCAGGAGGATGCACCTGGGGAAGGTGGCACCTGGGGAAAATGTGTGAAGTTGCAAGACGCAATTGGCCTACCCGTAGGTGAAGGTGGCATCTGGAGGGCGTTTTCCCACGAGCATGGCCGCGAGGGGGGGCAGGAGGATGCACCTGGGGAAGGCAGCACCTGGCGAAGGTGTGCTAGTGTGCAAGAAGCAATTTGCCTACCCGTAGGTGAAGGTGGCATCTGGGGGGCGTTTCCCCACGAGCATGGCCGCAAGAGAGAGCAGCAGGATGCAGCAGCCGAAGGACAGGTGGAAGGAGTCGGAGACAAGCTCTGGACGGGGAGAAGTGGGAGGGGTGCAAGAAGGAGAGGTGGAGGGAGTGAGAAACGAGCTCTGGGAGAGAAGACGTGAAGCGCAGGGAGAGCAGGGGGATGCAGCAGCCCAAGGAGAGGTGGAAGGAGTCGGACACGAGCTCTGCGACGGGATGGGTGGGTGGGAGAGATAAAAAGAAAGGCTCAACGTTTAGAAGCAAAGCTCAACGCTTAAAAGCAACACTCAGCGCCCAGCCTCCCACCTATTCGGCCAATGACCAGAGCAGCCCCACAAGGAGGGATATTTTGAGTCGACTCAAAAGTTTCCTAATCACCAAGTCAAGGTCAACAGCCAACCACCCACCTATTCGGCCAATGACCAGAGCAGCCCCACAATGAAGGCAATTTTGAGTCGGCTCAAAAGTACCCTAGTCACCAAGTCAAGGTTAACAGCCAACCACCCACCTATCCGCCCTATGAGCAGCCCCACTATGAGCTCCGCAGTGGAATACGCGGAGTTGAGCGCAATCAGCAGCGCCAGGCGCCTCATCCCCCCCGCTGACCGCTGCTGCAGCGCCCCCACCACCGCCCTCCCCCACCACACCCCCCGCCACCAGGGGGAGGGGGTGGGGGGGAATTGGCGGGCAGGGGAAGGGGAGGGGGCAGGGGACGCGATGCTCCAGGGCGTGTGGGGAGTGCGGAGGGAAGGAGAGGCGGAGGGGGAAGGGGAGGGAACCCAGGGGGACGCTGGGGCAGGGGATGCCCAAGTAGAGAGGGAGGAGGGATCACCATTTCTTTGAATAAAATCACCCTTGCTACCGCCTCTGCTGACATCCGCAGCACTGCTTGAACCCTCCCTTCTCTCTCTTCCTCCTGATACCACTGCTGCACCTGCTGCTGCCCCTATAGGTGTGTTCCCCCCTCTTCCCCGCTCCTCCCCTGCAGCTTCCGCGCCCATGTGCTGCCTGCGCGCGGAAAACTCCGCCACAGCAGCTGCAGCCGCCGCTGCTGCGCCCTTGCCTAGCTCCGAGCCTGTGGAGGAGGTTCGGCTGGGAGGCGGGATGGCAGGCTTGGCAGAGGAGGAAGGGGACTGGCTCAGACAGTTGTTGTCACTGGCGCTGCGCTTTACACGGCTGTTATGTGAGTGGGCCGCGGAAAGCGGAGCGGAAGGGGTAGTGGAAGGAGTGGCTGAAGGGGTGGCAGAAGGGGTGGCGGAAGGGGTGGCGGAAGGGGTGGCGGAAGGAGGAGCGGGATGGGAGGGGAGGGAGGCAGGGGAGGGGGAGCCTGTCTCGTGAGATGGCAGGGGGGCGGAGGCCGGAAAGGCGGAAGGCGGAACCTGCCTGTGTGGGGTAAGTGCCAATCCGCCATTCCCCTCTCTGTGTGCCGCCACACACGCAGGCTGCGGATCGGACGGTTGGGGACGGCCCCCTGACAACCCATCTTGATCATGTCTGCCATGATCGTGAGGATCTGAGCCGTCCGTTTGAATCTTCTCCGCTTTCTGAAGAGCCGCACCCCCTGCGACTCTCGCCAGACCTACTTCACCCGAACCAGCTGCAGCACCTGCCGAACCTGCCCACCCCGACCCTGATGCAGCCATTGGATTCGCCCCTGCCGAGCCAGAAATCCGATCTGCTGGCTCGGCTTTCGTCCCCTTCTGTCCCCTACCTTTAACCGAACCAGTACCCTTGGCTCCTACTCGTTCATCAGTAACCGCATGACTACCCGCCTCTCCATTACCGAACCTCTCCCGGGCCTGTTCCTCATCTTCGACTCGTCGGGTGCTGCTAGGAGCCGGAACCGCAGCAGCCTTATCGGGCGTAGCAGCAGCACCGGCTGTTGAGACGAGCGCGTTAGTCTTAGCGCCGCTGCGATTGGCGATAGGAGAGGGAGAAGGGGAGAAGCCGTACCAAGTTCGGCCGTTTGGCGACGCGGACGAGACGGCGGGCGAGGGGGCGGGCGAGGCGGCGGACCAAGCGGCGGAAGAGACGGAGGGTGTTGCGAAGGCGGGAGGAGTGGACGATTGCGCTGCTGCTGAAGGCTGCGAAACGGCCGGCTGCGACCAAATCGGGTTATCACTCTGAACCATGTTACCACCTTGGCTAGGGTTTCGCGGGCTGGATTTGGGTCGCGATGGAGTTGAGGCGAGCGAATGGAGCGGAGGGCCGAATCTTGATGCTGCGCGGATGGCGGCTTGCGGAGTGGCGTAACTAGGATCTGAGGGGTCGCCTAGGGAAGCGAATGCGGGGGACGCGGAAGTGGGAGAAGCAAAAGCGGGAGGCGGAGTGCGGATTGCAGGGGAAGCGGAGGGGGAGGAGGTTGATGGATACAGGAAGGGATTTGATAGAAAGGGATTTGTGGGAGCTTTTGGCGCTGCGGTTTGAGGCCGTGCGTCCCGCTGCGAGCTGGCCATGGCGACTGAAATGCGCTAAGAGACTGAATGACTCTACAAATGGTGCCGGGTAGAAAGACGACTTATAAGGTGCCTCAAAAGTCGTCCCGCTGCGACCTGGCCATGGCGACTGAATGCCTGTACGAATGCTTCACGATCAGCACGAGAATGCGAATGTTGTTAGCTGATAGCGATCAGCATTGAAAAGGGATCGGTTTTTCGAGCAGTTATGATCACACGCGTCTTGCTGCGAGGTACGGTAACGGGATGAGAACTAGTCGTGTGGCAAATATCGAGGCACCCCACGATGCAGACAACCAATGGAGAGTCGAAACGCGTCTACTTTGACGAGTCGCTCTTTTGGTTCAATGCTTCCAATATGAATTCAGTTGAACAGGAGTGGAGGACCTGAAAAACGAATAGACTAAACGGACGTCGTAGCCGCATTCAATCAGCATCGAACCACAAAGATTGGTAGATTGAAACGGGACACCCAGCATCACCTCCTCCTACATAGGAAGCTACCTGATCGCCTAACTAACGCACCTAGAACGCAAAATCGTTATGGATACAAGCTAGCTTGCTGCACCATCTATATTTGATTATGTAGAGCATGTACACCATGGAAACATAAAACATAACTACCCCCAAACCGCCCGAATGTACTAACGGCACAACACCCTGCCATTAGGGAGAAAATAACATGCCCCTCACAACCCATGTTTCTTTTCCATCATTCCCACCAACCCCCACCTCCCTCACCCCTCTCCTCTTCCCCCTCATATCCGTGAGTCCGACAGATACAGGGGCCTTCACCCCTAGAGCCCCCCCTCATCCTCCCTATCCTCCTTCTTTCTTTCTACCAAGTCCACGTTCCCCCTCCCCATGGACGACACAGCTTGCAACAAGATAACTCAAGCATGCTGTTGTAGTCCCACCTTAACAAGCGCCTTCAAAGGCCCCAAGAGATATGACGAAAACGACATGTGAAGTTCTGGACAGGCCCCTCGCAATACAGGCGTCCCTTTTCTGTCTCAAACATTGCCTGAAACGTCCACCTAAGCATCCCCATGTCTCAACGATTAAATGTGTGAACTGCATATCAAGATTGTTTGCTAGCAACGGCGCATAATCGCTCGTCTTCCTAGTAGTGGCTGGTATTGTACGGTCCATTTATGAACTGAGCCCGATGAAAGGGTTGTGTGATTTGCGCTCTCTCTAACGTGTTATAACTGCAGAATGAAAGCTGCGAATTTTGTTGCGGATGTGCGAGCCTTTTCGCTGCGATTTGATGACACAACGACCTGCTAATAACATCGCCATGCCACACCTAAAAAAAAAAGAGGAAATAATTTTCTCCTTACTTTCCATCATCTCGCATACCACATGGAATATACGGTGTAAGATCACTGAACTTCCAATTTTCCATATAATTACCTATTCAGACTGTCATGCCCAAAGCGTACGCCTTGTCTGATTAACCACCATGCGACCCTACGCGTCAGTCCCAAACATTGCCCCGGCTCTCCGTGTCACGAGAAGAGAAATTTGTTGAGCATTCCTGTGCGTAACAAGAGCGAACTATGACCGAGAACGCGGACCAACGGGCTAGGTAAGTCGAAGGGACGTAAACAGTTGGAGAATCTCGACCGTCAGTGGAAAAGCATCGAGCATGTGCACTAGGAAGGAAAAAGGCAGGAAACGGGCATGTGCATATTGAAACGGGTTTCTGCGCCGCATGGTTGAACTTCGCTGTAAAGAGAGAATGTGCCCCTTAGAGTACATGGCTAGCTATGTCGTCTCGTATTCTCTTTGCGGTCCTATATGAACCTTATAATTACTTATGCTACATCACATCCACTCTGACAGGTGTCAATAACTTCCGATGCATAATCACTATATGATTTTTTTTGGCTGATCCTGGCTAACTCCTTAATTGGATCCATAGATTGTCCAATGTTCGCTCATGCTTTCCCTTGAATTTCAGCTTATTTTCCTCCCAGTAGTGCATTCCCCATTGCTTGAAGTGATCTTCCTATCGGCTACAAGTATCTTATTGAGGGGGTATGGTTGCGTTGACTCACCAATGAAGCATGCCATTTTATCAGAGTTGGTTAGCAAAACTAGAGCTATTCATGCACGGTGCGGTGAGTGTGGAGAATCGCGGTTCGATTCCGTTGTTGGCACACTTCCTGTGCCCTAGTTGTAGGCCCTCCCAGTGGGATTGTTGGAAGTCGACACTGGAATGGCCCAAAATGGTCTCCCCAAGCGCTACAGACATCATCTCAAGTGGTATGGGTGTGCTCCCACCAATAAAACATGCTATTTTTATCCTAGTTGGGTAGGAAGATTGACATGGAAGACTAGCTTGCGCTTTTGCTCTTGACTATGCCCTCCACTTGGGGGGATGTACTAAAGGTGAAATAAATGGAAAGCATCTCAATCCGAAATCATAGTGTAACACTGTTAGACTACGCGCCACGGTTTCCAGGTTCTCGCGACGGCACAAATCTGCGTCACGTGGCATGCTTGAATAGGTGCGGCGTCCTAGCTGACCTTCCCGTGACGCTGAGCTGACATTTTCGAAATGTATTTGACGACGCAAGCCGAGCCTCCGAAGTCAGTTTAGGATTTTGCTTCCGAGCTGAATCACACTATTAGAAATCGCCATCATTCAAGTGTAAGTGCATGCTTTCTATTGTGCAGAAACTTTCCGTAGGAGTCTATGCTGACCAGCATGCGTTGTTTGGGGCAAGCAAAATTTTGAACCGTAGCGCAAAAATTTGGCCGCCAAGACTTCGCGAAATCCGGCGCCCCCAATGTATCGCAATGCCGAGGCTGGCTTCGGCGCAGGGCTTTCGTGTACGGCCCGTTTACCGAGCTTGTCGGTTTGGGGGACGGTCCGTTGTCGCTTCGAGCTAGGAAAACTAGGACGACCGTCGATTTTCTGCCCAGTAGCAGCAGATCCCTACAGCCCCTCGACCTCGGACTTTTCGAGACGTCCCTGAGGATCTCCCCGCCCTCGTGAACCCGGCCTCTTCGTGTGTTGACAATCCAGCCCAGAAAACATCCCCAAACCAAACCAGGCATTTCTTCCTCACCTCACCTCCCTCCCCCCATCCGCCCTCCCTCCTCCTCCCCCACCCACCCCCCGCGTTCGTTCTTGACCATCTCTCTGTTCGGTTGGATCATTGCGCGTTCTATTGTGCGAGCGTTTCATTCACACAACTCCACCGATTTTCAACTTGGATTAGCTCTCACCGTGCTGACTGCTTTGCAGTTCTGGACGGTGTATGTTCGGTCACTCCTAAGCCGTTGGATTGGCAGGCAGTGGCGTAGAGGTGGATGATGCCGAGAGCAACGTGAGCGTTCTAGTGAGGAAGCTTTACGGAAGGACTGTTGCACTTTATTATTAGCTGACAGTATTAATACTGAGATACGATGGCAAAAAGCGTTTCCGGAAGACGATTAGACGCGACTCTGCGAGCGAGTATGAGCAAGCATCTTGCTTGGTCGTTTAACGCCCGGAGCAACTGTAGTGACCTAGTCTGTAGCGACAAGGGTGCATTTTCAGCAATGTGCTCCAAGAACGCCACATGGCGACGCATGTCGAAATTAATTGCTGTGCTTACCGTCATCAGTTTCGTTGCGCTAACGCGCGAAGCATTAATGACTGCCACCAGCGACGGCCGGAAATTCCTCGTCTTCTCTAATCCTCGGCCGGTTTTTGCGGGACGAGCAACAGAAGACGGGGTGAACGAGGAAGGCAGGAGCCTGAACCGTATTGTCCCTCACCCGGACGTCGTTATATGGGCTAAGGTAACCTTTCCTTGATGGAAGCCTGCCGGTGTTTCAATCGAACGGCTCATGATGGTATTCAGGCGGCCCTTCCTCAATGAACAACTCGTTTTCTTACGACTGTCGCTGAAGGATTAACATATCAGGCACCGTCAAGTAGATTCGTTTTATGCGTATAAACTGTTCCTCAAAGTCCGTATTTTGTTTCCCGTTTCTCGTCTCCCCGTTTATCATTCCATTGTCATCTGCGATCCCACACATTCAGGGTCCGCTTCACAAGCGGCTGGAGGCAGTGTGCGCGGGATACGCGCTGCACCACCTCCTGTCGTCCAAGCTGCCTACCGGCGTTCCGAATACCAGCGCCGCGTCTTTCCAGCAGCAATCGCAGCAGCGGCCGTTGCGCCTGGCTGTGTTATGGCTGCCGGATCGCGCGATGCCGCACGTCACGCTCAACCACGTGCTGGGCCCTCTGCCTCCCCCGAGCGCGCTCGGCGCCGCGCAATCCGGCGGCCAGGATGGCGAGCATGCGCAGGAGTCGCCGTCATTCGCGGCGGATTCGTCCGACGAGGCGCTCGTGCTGCAGCACCACCCGAGCTGGCTCAACTCGCCGCTCTATACCTATGGGGTATGTTCTTTTGCAAACGTGAAGCGCGCCACGGTTCCTCGTTTACAAATTTGTCGACCCCTTCGCGACGATGTCTTATTCGCCTGTCCGTTTTTCGCGAGCGTGCGCTCAGTCGTCGGCGTTTCGTTCGCTTTCGTACATTAAGTCTCTAGGAATCCTGGTCATACCCCCCTCTTCTCTCCCCCTCCCCCGCTTGTTCGCCTTTCGCGACGGCTCATCCGTACAGGTTCTTGACTCGAGAATCCCCCAGCCGATATCTCAGGAGCAGCTGCTG